TCCAATGGGAAGAAAACGGAAAGAAAACGATAGTATTTGGATGTAGGTTACGCGTACATCTACAGCTATGCAGCTAAGCAGCCTAGAGGTCAAACAGTCAGTAGAGTCCCAGAAGAGAGTTAGATTTGCGCACATGGTTCACCCAGAAACCCCACAGAGCCCCCAGCCCTTCCACCAGCGTTGTGTAAACCCGTTACACACTCTTTACCTCTCTACGTCACGGTAGTTACTTCTTCCTCCTGTACCCTCAGCATCTCCAGAATATAGCATAGTCTCATTGACTTGGCTGCTGGTCCCCTCAGTGTTTCCCAATTGGCCATTGGGTTTCCACTTTTTTTTCAATCACAACTACGCTATCCATCCTAATTTGCCAGTATGGCACCTGGACAACAGCATTCACGGCCCCGCCCCCCACGCTCAACAGCTCGGCACCACTTCTCCCTCCCCTTGAGGCCTCTCGCCGTCGCCGGACGCCGTCGGCCGAACCGGCGAAGCTTCGCGGAGCCCGGGCACGTGGACGATGCCACGCTGTCGCCGCAGGCTTCTTTTCGCTCTCACCACATTGAAGACCCTCTTGCTGGCGCGTCAGAATACCCCGCTGCGTCTCCCTACCCTGTCTCGCCACCCGAACCCCTCCTCCAGTCGCCTACAGCGCCTACGGCACCTCCCACTCTCCCGCTGCTGCCCCCCGTCAACCACCGGCACATCAAACCTGTCGTCCAGCCAAAGACCCACAATCTCGTGTTTTCAGCCTGCTCGTGACGGGCCGCCGCACTTAAACGACGCCTACATCGCCTCTGTCGCTTCGTCTGGCGCGGCAAACGGCCTCTCGCTTGCGTTCGCGTTCGCCACGCCCCTCTCGCTTCGACCACCAGCACAGCTCCCACTCTCAGTCGCGTTCTCGCTCGCGTTCGGTCTCGCTCACCCGTCCCCATTCCCCGTTGCGCTCTCCTTCTCATTCCCACTCCCATCTCCATTCCCGTTCCCGCTCCACCTCTCCCAAACGTCTGTTAAGTGCCGTGTCGACCAAAGGGACGGAGACGGAGACGGAGTCGGAGTCGAAGTCGGAGACGGAATCGAAGTCGTAGAGCACTTGGGGCGGAACACCACAGAAGGATGTTTGGGTGACCGGGGCTTCCAGTTGACCAAGACAAGACAAGAGGAGAAGAGCGGAGTCGAGACGACGCTGGGAGATAGAGACCAGCAACGTTAATTTACAAACTGAAGTACGTGATAATACATCAAAGTATTTATAGTACGAGAAGTAACAGAAACAGAATAAGGTATAACAAAGTAAGTAACAAGATTAGAACAAAGTCAAGTAAAGTAGAAGAGGAGTTGCATACGAGGAACAAGGCATAGATGATTGCATAGATCATAAGTCGGGGTAATTGGAAACGCCAGGATAGGCAGTCAGTTTTGCTAGCAAAACCTGGGCTACTGGTCAAGGGTATTACTCGCAAAACTGGGCAAGCCCAAACTGGATGCTGTGACAGGAAAATGTGACATTCAATCAATTGTGAATATCTCAATGAGTTTGATAGCTATGACTAAGCTATTACCAGATATGGAAAGGCAAATCACCATTTCTTCAGGCCGAAGACCCGGATAAACATCTAGGTAGGCTTGTGATGCAGGGCAAAGGTATACATCCTAATTGGGTCGAAATTGATGTATCTTGACAGAGCCATCAAAAGCACTGATATCAATCAAAAATCGTTCCACATCAATTACTTTATCTAGATGCCATCAATTTCATCATCAATATCATGATCTAACACCTAAATATGCATAAAATAAGTTTTCAAAAAGTGTGACATTTGTGACCCTTGGGCAGTCCCCCAGGTTTTGTGAGTAACACCCTTGACCAGTAGCCCAGATTTTGCTAGCAATTCTGAGTGAATGAGCTGGAAACGCTCAGTAAATCTTCATTGCGTAAAAACCAAATACCGGAGACGGATATCGGAGACGGATGCCGGAGTCGGCACGGATATAACAACGTCCCACAAAGCCTACTCGCTCAAAGCCACACGATGACGAAGCTAGAGTGCCCCAAGCTTGTCGACAAACCCGATGCCCAGTCCATCGAGCTCTGGCTCGGTGCATGCGAAGACGTCTTCGAACACCACGAGGACATGAACGACGGCGAGGAGCTCCGTGACCGCACGAAGGTGCGAATGGCTGGCATGAAATTGGAGGACAAGTCCGCGAAAGTGTGATGGGGCAACAACCGCGAAACGTTGAAGGCGGCGACGTGGGCAGTGTTCAAAACGAAGCTCAAGGAGCGGTTTGTTCAGAGCAACTGGCGCATCTTCGCGCTCGGCAAGTTCTACGACATCCAGCAAGGACGCACATCATTCACGGACTTCGTTTCCCGACTCGAGACCGCTTCCGACACTCTCGCAACTGCTGGTCCGGCTTACGCAATCGACAGTGCGACTCTGAAGAAGCACCTCCTCTTCCATGCCCATCCTACCCTTCGTCTCCGCACATGCGGCTCCCCGAGTTTCCAGTTCGCTTCCATGACTGTCGAACAGCTGGTGGCGGAAATGACGGTGATTTGGGAGATCATGGTTAAGGAAAATCTGGTGAAGGTGCAGGATCTCCCTGCCGTGCATCCGCCTGCTGTTCCGGCTGCCCCTGCGGCAACTACTGCTCCAGTCCCTACCATGCCGACTTCTGTCCCAAATGCGGTGCTCCCGAGGCTGTTGCCTGCAGAGAAGGATGCGCTCAAGGCTGCAGGTGGCTGCTACCGTTGTCGCCGCTCGCCTTCCAGCCTGGGCTGGGTTAACCACCAGTCGCACAACTGCCCCGGAGACCCCGCCAATGGCATTCCTGCTCGCCACAGTGTCCTTCGCGGTCCTTCCGCACCTGGAGTCCGATGATGATAATGGGTTATGGGACGACTACGACAGCCCGAGTGATGTCGGAACGGACGACTCTGATCTGGCTTACCGTTGACCGCCCTGCATCCGTCTGCTGTCCCTGCCGTCAGCTATCATTTGTTTACCTTACACCAACTTTAATTCCCTTCTTCTTTCGGGCCCCCCTGTTCCCTCTCATCTCTGGTGCAATGGCGATCCTGCTTGTGGACAGGTGTTCGAGGATGCGTGCCATCGGGTTTGGACAATGTTGTCGCTGGTGCTGATGGACATTTGTTGGTTCTTCATTATTTTTAGACTTGATGAAATGTTTTAGAGGTGGGGAGGGTGTAAACCCGTTACACACTCTTTACCTCTCTACGTCACGGTAGTTACTTCTTCCTCCTGTACCCTCAGCATCTCCAGAATATAGCATAGTCTCATTGACTTGGCTGCTGGTCCCCTCAGTGTTTCCCAATTGGCCATTGTGTTTCCACGTTGTTTAGTCGCCTCAATCCATTATGCAGGTCCTCAAGACTTGCTACGTCATCGGCACTTGTCGTCTTCTTAGAGGCATACGTTTGGGTAGAGCGTTGGCGGCTATCTGCATAGAGCAGAAGGGGATTCGGAGGGCAGGGAGGGAGCATGAGGGAGAGGGAGAAGAGCAGCCGCCAGGTCACAGACCGGACGTCACCCCGGCCACGTGCACCGGCCACCGGCGTCACGGCGGCTCACATAACGCCGCGCCGGGAGAGGGGTAAGGGCGGAACTTCAACACTGGGAGAGGCCAGGGTGTCCGATCACCCCTTTGCGGGCCCACGTATATAATGTGCGATAGCGTACCATATACTCCATTGCTTAGATCATCTATAATACCGCTTCTCTCTGTGCAAGGAGGAATCACCAACACAGTGGGCCTGAGACAACCCGATTCGAACCTCTGACTACCACCAGCGACAAGGGACCAAGTTAACGGGCCCTTTCGGTTTCGATCTACCCCGCTCGCCTTACTCACGGGCCCGACGATTCATCTGTTCTGTTCCAGGCGCATGTTCTTAGGAGAGGACCTTGCACAGCTCAACCTGCAGTCTGACACTGTTAGACTATCCAGAGTTTCCTCAATGCCCTTGAGCAATCATCTTGACCATTGTGTCCAAATGGAGACATGCCAAAGTCATGACTCATATAACTACTCATGGCTGCTTGATAGAGATCCTGCTAACCTCTGGAGCAGTCTTATTATACAAAGAATAGAGAGATAAATCTGGAATTTATCTCTTGCCTTTCTTCCATAACTTTCTCAGGGGGGGTTCTAGATTAGCCCAGTGTATGTTATGTTGTAGTGATAAGGATATACACTCTAGACTCTAGTACAGTATATACTGCACAAACTTAGCATTCTATAAGAAAGGAATTGTACTAAGTAGATGCTAGTGCAGTAGTTATTTGACTTTTGTAACTTGAAAAAAATAATGTTTTATCGTAATCTTATTATACAAGAGAGAACCCGTGAGAGTATGTGTGACAGCTCTGATGAGCCAATAGGAAGGCCCAGTTAGGATTTCCTAATTTGGGACACAACTTTTGCAGGCAACGACACGCCCGTGCATAGCACAGGCTACTCCTCGTAGTGTACATTTATGCAAAAAATAGGGGGAAATGATTGAGATTTAGCTAAATAGTCACTAAAGCAAGGTGTTTAGGCTGGCCACTTGGCCAGCACCTAGTACTCGAAGTCGGATGGCAAGTTGGTCAGGGTTACCTCAGCAGGCAACTGAGTCACGTGCTGCCAGTTTGCCAGGGGAACGCTCAGCGGCAGCGCTGCCATCTTCAGTGATTCTCTTTGCGTATTACTATCTGAGTCTGAGGCACCCTTCATTTGGCAGCTTGAAAGTCCGATTCCCGAATCATGATGGCCCGCTGCGGACCGTGTTGCTTAGTCAGTCCACACAACCTTCCTCTCGACCACGATTTTCGTGGCGCCAACACTCTCTGGCTTCGCTGTCAATGTCACCGGGTGATTGATAATGCGATAGTGGCTCCAACAGAAGGCGACAGTACCTGTGGACCGATGACGTCAACTTTCTCCATCTTTTTAAAGTTGGAGCCACACAGTTCGATGGCTGCTTCGACCCACCTATGACCTCAAGGGATTATCGCCAGTCAACCCAAAGCAAACTGCGCCCACACTCAATCAACCCGTCGTTGTCCTCAGATACCGACAGCAACTCGCCGTCCAATTCTTCTGACTCTCTCCCTCCGTCGAGACATGAAGCGGACTCGGGCTGGGCGATGTGGGTTGGGAATGTCCCCTCTGAGGCCACGTCTGCAGAGCTCCGCGCCTTCTTTTGCCGCGGCTGCGATGTTACCATCGTATCAATTCGGACAATCCCTCACACCAAGTGTGCATTCATCAACTTCAGCACCGAAGACCAACGCCAGTCCGCCATCGCGCGTTTCAATGGAGTCTCGCTACGAAGAATGGGGCCTCCTCTTGTGTGTCGCGCGCGTGATGGGAGTGAACGAGAACACACAGGCGTTTGGGCACAAAGAGGGAAAGGCATGCACCAGAGATGGATCGAAAAGCATACTGGCGCCAAGCTAATGAAGGAGAAGACTAGTAGCTCCGAGAGCATTCAGTCCGATTCGTCAACAAGTTCGAGCCTGTTGGCAGAGTTCTTCCCTGAGCGGTACTTCATTCTCAAGTCGTTGAGTCAGGTGAGCAAACACCACTATAACCATTTTCTCCAAGACTAAATTCCCAGCAGGACGATCTCGATGCGAGTGTCCAGCGTGGAATATGGGCAACACAACCGCACAACGAAGATACTTTAGACCTCGCATTCAGAACAGCCAAAAATGTTTATCTCATATTCAGTGTCAATCGGAGCAGGGAGTTCTATGGATGTGCAAGGTTTGAATCTCTCCTATTTCCTAGCATGGAATCATGCTTGACTTTCTTAGAATGGCTGGTCCCATCGGCGCAGTTGCTAATGGTGACCGAGTTGAGTGGGCTCCGAGAAGAACCAGCACCCACCAAAACTCCAATTCGTCCATCACACAGGAACCAGCCCTTCTCTCATCACCCACTCCCCATCGTTCAGTCAGTGTCGGAAGTCTTGGACTCAAATTTGAGCGGCTGAATACTAGCGACGATGCTGCCTCTACATCCGACGACACTGTGACCCGTCGTAAGACTGTGCCATCACGAGACTCCTTGCGCTTGCGCGCAATAGCAAGTGGACCCATACAAGCACTGGATCTCCCCTACGAATCTGGGAGTGTATGCTCGGATGATATCGTGTCACAGGTAGACTCTGGGCCAGCTTCAGATCACCAGAATGACTGGGGTCGCGAGTTTCGGCTCGAGTGGCTCTCCACTAAACGATTGCCATTTCGGCGCGTCGAACATTTGTACAACCCTTGGAATAACGGAAGATGCGTTAAGGTCTCGCGCGATGGAACGGAGCTGGAGCCGGGGGTTGGGAGAGCCTTGACAGGGATTATACTGGATTCGCGCGAAAAATCTGCTAGCTCTTGAAGTGCGTCAGCTTGAATTCGACGCATTACTGATACTTTCACATCTGGCCACAGGTCTCTGGGGGTTGTACTGTCAACGAGTCATGTTTTGCTATGTCGTTTAGGGTTTGTGTGGTATATGGACAATGGTCGTTTATGGACTCGTTACATCCCGAAACTTGTTGTGCCACGTGAGCTCGAGGACAAAGTGATGAACAGTATCAGCCTCACTATTTAAAGTGGTTAATACAATGACAATTAGTGCTACAAATTTCTATTTCTTCAACGGTTCATTTTGTCTCTGAGCCCGCCACCCCTTCCAGGCGGCCACCGTCGCTTTCTACATCGTAAGTGTTGATATCAGTGAGGTTTACTTCGATTATTGAGGCAGGGTTGGTCATGACGATGTCGCTGGTCACACTGCGCTCGGAAGTCTGCGACCATCCGAGCGCGATGCGGAGGTAGATGAGAACGTGCGAGATGCCAATAACTTGCGGCATGAGGGCGCCACTGAGGTGGCGGAGGTCGTTTCCGACTTTCAGGGTGATTGCATAGAAAAGAGTCCATAGGCTAGAGAGATCCAATTAGCATCAAATGAATATGACAGGCCACATACGCAAGGATTACCGCGCTCTCAATAACAATTGCTGCCAGATGCTAGCAGAGGTAATAAAATCGGAGCGACACACATCAAAGCACACATACGTGCAAAGTGCGTGCATCCTGGTGAGGCCCGTGATATAGGCGACCAGCAATAAATGCTGAACCGACACATGATCATTTCACAGCCCACGCCTTGTAGAGAATGCGCACCAGTGCAGTAGAAGATGATTCTGAAGATGATTAGCAGGTGTGGTTCCTTGCTATTGGCAGACATACGCCGTATTCAAGATTAATCCGACCGTAGTTGTGGCGCGATTATACGACTGTCCATGGTATAAGCTGACTAGTCCAGCTGTCCCGCTTCCTGGTTTCAGACTGTGTCAACGACACGCAGGGAATGGAACTAAAATCACACACCCAAAAGCGCGCACCACGCCAATAGGGGCAAAACCACGATCATTCGATTCCGACCCCAGATAGCCCATAGTCGGTGTATCTGGAGGACCTCAGTTGGTGTGCACCGGTTAGTCTGTAGTATTTGGCTGACCATGATACCGTCCCCAATCCAGATGGATATAAGAATGGATACTGCTGGCGGAGGGTGTGTAGAATAGTAATGAATGGCGTGTTCAGCGGGAGTCGGCCCTCGGAAAGCGCGAACAAAGTTGACGACTATAGCGATCCAATGCTAATACCGATTGAGCTTGAAAGTTGGATACCAGTCTGCGACTCACGCCGGTACAAGTGAGTGCGAGAGCAGCAGTCGCAAAAGCCAGCAAGCTCTTCAGACCTTGCGGTCCATTGGAACGGGTGAGCTTGAGGTATACCGCCGCGCAAAAAAGGACGAGAAATGCACCAAAAAGCAGGCTTTCCACCACGACGATAACAATGTGTATCGTCACGGGCGAAAAGCCCATGCCTGGGGAGAGAAAGAAATCGGAATTTCGTGGGTGTGGGTCGCTTTTATTGGCGGTAATGATAATGAAGCCCGTATCCCACGTTCTGAGTCCTCCTTTGACACGAGCATCTCAAGCGACGGCGGTCGTCCAAGCCAACAGTAAATCAGCGAAAATATAGCAAGCTTTTTGGCTCGGCAGGGTGGCTGAAGGTGGCTCTTGTGAATGAGGCTATAGATAGTCTGAATGAGGCACTCAGTCCACTGCACAACCACTGCAACGAAATTTGGGTACCCACTGAGACCGCCCGGCTCCGTAGATAGCCGAGGTGAGATTTTGGTGACGAGTTTGCGCTTATATAATGTCGTTTTGCTGGATTCGTCGACTGTAACAAGGAGTTGTTTGAACAATTTGAACCTAGAGGTGGCTCAGGGTAGTTCCTTACATACAAAGTGGGCCTCAATCGAGACACTCGTAGCAAGCGAAGCGTCCAAGTTGTTCAACTTCAAGTTGTTGAGTGAAGCAGTCACAGTTGTGTTACACCTTTCCTCTTCTCTCGAAAAAAATCAATTTCAACCAAGGCGATGCGCGTGCTCTGACTATCGGCTTAGGATCACACCACTATCTCTAGAATCTAGATGACGACGAACCCTACGCTTGCCAACCTACTCTAGTCACACGCCGAGTCTAAGTCTAAGATAAGAAGACTCCGGAGAATCTTGTGTTTCGTCCCCACCATGAAGGCGATATTAGGCCTTGTAGCAGCGGCCACCGCAGCACAAGCGGCACGCTTTGTGAACGCCAGCATCGACGATACGTCTCCTCAAATCGTCTACACCCAGCAACCGTTCATTCGTTGCACTCCATCGACCTGTGGCTCAGACTCGACCGCGAGGCTATTCAACGGTACATCGACTACTACCTCTGGGATGATTATAATCCCTTTCGTTGGTGAGTATTGTGCGTGGGGTAGACAAGTCTTGCTAACCGAGGTACAGGCAACGCGGTCTATGTTTATCTCGGGGTCGAGGGGACGATCAATTTCAATCTTGACGGTGTTCTTCATGGTGTTCTCACCGGATCCGACTCCAATGATGTCAGTCTGGCATTCTACGAACCCGGACTGACGAACAGCAAGCATGTCCTCACCATCTACCCCTCAACTTCAGCGGGCTCTGAGATTGTGCAGTTTGACTACATTCTCTATGCGTGCGTGAACCCAAAGCCTTCGCTGGATCGCTCTGATAAGGCTTTTCTAGACACCAATTGCCCAGCAAGCATATCGGTGCCATCGTTGGAGGTGTGGTTGGCGGTCTCGCTTTCATGGCGATACTTGGCAAGACAGCACTGTGGCTGATGCGGCGGAGAAGACAACGGCGACTTTCGATTCGTGGAGTCAGACTGGGAGATGATTGGCCTGACAAACCCAGCCTCCAACTGGATGGTGTGCTGCCCCAGAAACCCAAGCAAGCGATGTGAGATTTCTTGCCGTTGTCTGTAGTTGTCTGTAGTTGTAGGATAGATTGAGAATGTCGAAATAACGAGTGTCTCTTGCGTGAGCAGAGCTTTCCAAAAGAGGGTGTAGTCCGCATCTATCGGTCCGATGTCTGCTTTCTTTTTGGGTAGCCAACTTTGCCTTTTAAGTTCCGCATAGACGATATCGATAGCTGGGTTTGCATTCCTCTCTCTTCCTTCTCAGATGCGATTTCCGGTTTCCATTCTGTTCTTGATTGCGACAGTCTACGGACGACTGGTGAACGTCACCCTCGATGATACCTCGTCGCAGATCATCTACAACAACCCACCATACCGATGCACCACCAGTTCTATCTGTGACACCAACTTCCAGTCGGGACTCTTCAATGAGACTTCGTCGACCACCACTACCATGATTATTATTCCGTTCTCGGGTTGGTCCTCCTTTTCCGTCATGGTCAGTGATTCAGCCAGGTGATAGGGACGGCGGCATACGTTTATCTTGGTATCAATGGCACGGCAATCTTCCAACTCGATGGTCTTTATGTCGGGGAGTACGGCGGAACCAACGTGAACACGATTACACCTGCGCTCGCGCTCCACAACCTGTCAGACAGACTGCATGTTTTGACCATCGTCGGAGTCGACCCGGTTCGATGGGACATTGCAGCAGCAGTTCAGTTGGATTCGTTCGTTTACACGTGGGTCCAAGGCATAATCCAGACTTGGACTGATTGATGACAGGTCGAAACGAGCGACAAATCATACGGGGGCCATCGTTGGCGGCGTTGTTGGGGGGCTGGTATGCATCGCGTTGATTTATCTTGGAATGACGCTGCTTCGTCGCCGACAGCAAAGCAAACGGGCAGCACGCGGATCGTGGTTTCGAGGAAAGTGGACAGATAAGCCAAGTATTCAGATGGAGGGGATGGAGGTGCAGAAATGAGCTGAATTTGAAGAAGATGTCGATGTGTATGATTGCGAAAGGAAGAGCTCCTAAATTCAGAGCGCGCGTGATGCTTCGAGTACCTGATCGGCGCCATTCACTGAAAAAGCTGCCACCATCACCATCGACAGTTTCCCCAGATGCCCCACCATGTCCACCGAAATCTCATTTTCCCCTCCTCGGTTAATCGTCCTCATTGCGGAACTCATTTTGACGGTTCTGACCGCCTTTGGCCTCCTTCTCATTCTGCTCCTTGCCCTTGGCCATGACGACACAGCACCGCTGGGCATCCTCCATATAACGATAGCCTGCACACTTCTGGTTTACGCTGCGATGGAGGGAACTGGCGTATTGGTTCGTAGTCACTGGTTTAAACGAAACACCCTAGTTGCAAGGTGTAAATGCCTGTGGCTGGACGGGAGAGAAGACGAAGAGTCGAAGATGTATGGGACGAGTGTCATCGACAGGGATGTCAAGAAAGGTCCGTTTTCGATGACCCCCGGAAGGTCGAGAAAGGGCAGAATTGTGTGAGTATCTGCAGTTCAATCCTGAGCATCTTAACCAACAGGTTCTGTAGATTATTATGAGCTACGAGTCGCAACGAGAGAAAAACCGCGCACGAAGTTGAATGAAGTTGTACATATACCATTTTGAATCTCATTACAACGGAATAAAGTAGCGAGAAACGGCGCTTGGAGAGACGGCCTCCACGAACCACAGCATTATTGGGCCTCTGCCAGCCTAATAGCCAGCCTCTGCCAAGCTGTAACTGTAAGGTCTGAATCATCAATCGTGATGTGACTACTACTCTGATGGTCACTTCACACTCTCTTCTTCGCTTGACCGATTCGTTTTTGGTGACGACGTGCTTTGGCTATGAGTTGAAGCTTCTCTAGACATCATTTGGACCCCGTCATGATTCCAAATGCCAATTTTTCTGAGGGCTTTTGACGTCTCTTCATTGCTGGGTTGAAATCCGACACAAACCCTCTGGCGCCAGTTCCTTGAATTCGTTCGTTGATTAGATATCTGGTCTTCGTGTGCTACTTTCCAAATTATGGCTCAATCTCATGAATATCCTGTGAATGAGATGCTCATTAGCAATAGCGGCTAGTGACACTGGCAACCTGATTTATTCGACATTGCCAGTCCTCGCACCTACCAACTCCGGCTCCGAGTCTGAGGGATGTAACAAGCATTACGCGTCAAGTCCCCAAGCGCATCAAATAGCTACAAAGCTCCATCAACCGATGCCGCCATTGTGCTCTTTGTTCAACTAGCCGAGTTCAAAGCGCCAGCGCCCTTTATCTATATTTCATGGCGAACACTTGTGACTTATCCCTCTCATACTCAACATCCACCACGGAAGCTCACTGCAACAACAATCCCCAAACAACCAGAACGAATAACCTCCATGACCCCATATTTCTTCCAACCAGAGAACACGGTTTCCCTCCCACCTGTCGAGCATGTCAGTGGTCATTTGATGTTCCCGGATGCCACTCATATCCGCCCACAGAAACTGTGCCATCCCCACAGATTCCCACAGAAGCTCAATGCGAGTCCGTATTCTCAAATGACGGCCTCTTTGCCCAACGACGACGCATATGTGCCATGGCGAAGGGCCGAAATCTTCTCTCAGCCTTTCCCTGACCCATTCGAGAGCACCCACAGTATTCTAGGGGAACTCAACTCAGATAGTGAAGTGTACCTGCCCCCGAAACGTCCCCGCGTCGTGTGGCTGGGTAGCGAAACGGACAATCCCATTGCCGGTGGCAAGGCTCAGAAAGGCAATCTTTGGCTTTGTCGCCGGCTCTCTCCTACTCAAGATCCCCCGGAGCTTCGACAAGTCCCAGTTGCTCCATTACCAATCGGTAGCGGAAGACCCAGTCGACAGTTGCCCGACATGACCCAAAACACTTCCTTCGCCAATAACTATGTTCTGAGCAACGCGATGGCGGAGCGAGCAGCAGAGGATGCCGCCGCGACTTACTATTCGTCGACTCTTTCGATGTTGTCTGGCCTACCAACATCCCCAGAAAACGACGACGACGACGTACCCTATCTTTTAAGGATGGGACGTGAAGGTGCTCTGCGACCGCCTACGCCACCCAACGCCGCATTGTTTCCCTCGCCCATCCGGGCAGCAATTTGCCAATACCTAGGCTTTGAAGAGCCTCTTGACGAATTTTCTACTGACTCTAAGCCGCACGAGTCTCGACTAGAAAGCAGTTCGGCTAGCTATCCCGCCAACTTTTTCGCTGATCGGTATCCTCCGCCTTTATCCATTGAGGAATACATCCCCGACGTTTCGTATTTTCGCCCCCGAATCACTGCCCAGGACGTCCTCGCCATGGAGGCGAGCATCCAACCAGGCACCCTAAGCGACTTCGCAGAACATTTCTTCGCTGGGCCTGCCTTAGCCCTTCCATCATCGCAATCGGAAGACCATGATTGGGATTGGGAGTGTGTCCCCCGACTCACTCCTGAAGAGGCGCGTGCCGAAAGGCTGCGTCGGATTCCCGGTCTCGCAACAGCCGAACCATTTCGCCAGCCTGAGCTCGACCTTCATCATCGCAAATCACCGGATATCCACGCTACCACACCCGTATTCAGCCAACATATTCGACGCTCATCTTCTCCGAGAAACCCGTCCGATCTCTCCACAGGTCTGTTCATGGTTGCTCTTGGACTGGACAAAGTCGCTACTCCCAAGCCCAATGCAACTGCAGTAGAATGGCGCAGAGTTGTGGTTAATCTAGAGAGCATGTCATTGGTCTAATCACCTGTGTCAGTTCCCAGTCATCTTTGACTTGTAAAAGTTGTATTGCATTCGATGATATATACCTTTTGTACGCAGAAAACCCTTCCACGTGACCGCGTACTGCTGATGTAAGCCTCCTTCACTTCGACTTGACCACTTAGCAAGGTTGACGAACGGCGCAAGCAAGCATCGCTAGAAATACATTGGTCTAGGTACAACTGGTAAGCGGTAATTAGCGTTTTCTATGATCATTATTGACGGGTAAGGTGAAAATTCTAGAGCTACTTTTGCTTTAATGCCCGTAGGCCCTTGACGACCGAAGTTTCATCTTGATTCCACTCCCCCGTCCAACCCAGCTCGGAACGAACTGTTGCGCTACGCGGTGCCGCCTTGTCCTTGAACAGCAGGCTGGATGTTCGTCGCATATTTGGCGGCCTCATGGCAGGCTCTGAAGTTGTTGATGCAGTGGATGGCCGCGAGGATGACGGTGAAGATGTATGACTTCTGAAGACTGTTGGTGGGAGTATCGCCGACGACTGGTCTAACGACGTCCTCGCTTTCTTCAAGTCCATGCTATGATGTCGCTCCAGCTCGGAAGGGAACACAAGCTCGATTGGGACACCGTCGCCAAGTTTTCGCGCCACTCTGGCCATCTTTCTCCGCCGCTCACTCTGTGCTCCCGTCTGCTCGACCTCGTCCTCCTCATCATCCAGGTCTCCAACACCTAATTCCATCATCGACATTGGCCGTCCCCAAGATTGGGATGCAGAAGAGGCCCTCCGGCGATGTCCTTTAGAAGAGATACCAGCGTTGCTGATGCGCAACAGTAGCGTCGGGCGACCATTGGATTCCGCTGCGCCAACCACAGGTTCAAGCAACAGTTTGTCATTAGACATGGCAGCGGGTGTGGCAGGTAAACTAGCGCTTTTGGGAGGCCCGCGAGGAAAAGGTGGAAGCGGCTCTGAAGGGTCTACCAGTAACGGCGCAGCACCAAGCAAAGCCGCCAGTTTGCGTGTCGAGCGCATGAGACGGATACGCTGCGTTTGGGGGAGAGCATGGGTTGTCGATGGAGGCGAAGACATGGGCAAGATGGAAGGAAGAAGCAAGAAAAAAGACGCTTTTAGCCTATTATTTGTAGGTTTCAAATTTATGAAACGGGACTTCGGAACACGGCGTCTGACTCGTGGCGAAGAACCTGCTATTATGCGACGGTGACGACTGGCCAGAAAGAACGTGCGTTACGTTTGGTTGGCTTCGAAACGAGGTCCAAACTACTTCACAGTTGCTTCACAGTTGCGTGGTTTTTGATCGAGGCAAAGATTGTGCCAAAAAAAGACATGCGGACCGATGCCAAGCTGTGATAGATCGGTCCCGGCGGAGCGCTAAGAGGCTTGAGCGAGCCTAGTTGCTGACACTCTGACATACGAGACTGCCTCGAGCAAGCCCCGAGAAACGCTTATGCTACATTTGGGTATACTAAATACATCACGATGGGGGTATGATATTTTGTCGCTTGAATGAGTCCCTCGTCAATCTCTGCAGCTCGATAACAATATTTTCATGCGGTCTGAAGAAACCCCCCTCCTGAACATCTCCCCTGGAAGCGGGTTAACAGAGATCCACGTGCGACTGAGGTGAAAACAAACCAATGGAACGAATGGAAAGTGTCGACTTCAGAGCCTGCTGCCCATCGATCTCGCACGAAAGTGGTTCCAGTGTCCGTCGCATCCTTCACATCCCACCAGTGGTCGATGAAAACCATTGCCGTCTCCGGGGGTAAGATTAAGTGCAGGGTCGTCGGAACAACCTGGTCGACAAAGTATCAGCTATAGCCATTTAGGAAGACGACCGAGACTGCGCACGATTTCTAAGAAGCAGTCGGTCTGCAGCCACGTGCCCAAGACATCCAACATGTCCCATCGCAGGTCGGCGGGAAAATATAACGTGTCCGCCGAGCCACCCACGAAACGAGCAGGGCCACCGGTTAGCTCTGCGAGTCGGTTTCGCATCTTCGCGGGTATCATTTCGTACGCTGGCATGCATGCCGTCAAGCCAACGTGTTTTTCACTGTGAGACGGCGGTCAGTTGCAAGCCAACCATATTGATAAGACTCACCCCCACCACCACAACGACTGGTCCCAACCCTTCCCCCATGCGTCAGTCTTCCGGTTATACTCTTCGGGCGTCAGCGTGGAGACTTTTGCTGGCGGAGGTCGTGTCTCCAGGGAGTTGTTGGTGGCTGGGTTCGGCACATATTGTCGTATTGACTCGAAAGGGGTGTAGTACCAAATGTGGTCTTGTGGAAATTGCATCAAGCGTGGGACGTTTAAGAACGCATCGAAAGGCGCCCAAAGATAACCAGCATAGCAAGGGTTATCTTTGACGGCGGTGTATAACATATGGTGGGCCTGGTAAGGAAGACGGGTTGAGGCAGGAAATATGTGGGAGAGAAATTTGATGACAAACCATTCGGCCACCGATCTGGTACCAGCCAGCATTCCAATCTTCGGCAGCCCCATACGTATCAACGACAACGTCTTCAGAGTGGAGGAATCCTCGGTCCTCGCGGTTTCCGGGTCCAATAAAGAGGATCTGAAGTCGAGGGAATCAGTGACTAAGACTTTCTTGATGCCAAGCATTACTGACGTTGGGGAAATACTGCGAATATGTTTCGCGATACCCATCCAAGTTAATGTCATATCGTGGATGGCTAAAGAACACGATCAAGAGCACGTCGTCAAATGCATGAAAGTCTGGTCGGGGACCGGAACCGACGAATTCCGAGGAATGTGGCAGCGGACGACGTGCGCAGGTAGAGTTGCTTGAGTCCAGTCGGTAACTGGGGTCGTATTGGTGTGGCATCAATGGTTGCTTTTCGGGCTTGTGCGACCAACGATATGAAGGAGCATGTGGAGGCAGTGGAACCAAAGGGGATATGGCAAGGATTATAAGGAATGGCACAATAGGAAGTAGAATTAAGCCGAGACTACGTCTTGGTGGGCGTGAGGAAGTTGTGGTAAGCGGAGGTAGCCCCAGTTCACTTTGAGAATCGCTCTCTTCGCGTAGATATGACAGTGCTGCATAGACGACGAGCATAGTACACAACCACTGAAAACCTGTAAAATGGTCTGGGGGTCGAAATATGAGATGCGCAATTGGTGCCGTTAGTGATGTCGACAGGAGCGCGAGGACTGCAAGTGTGAACGCAGAAGAGCCTGATGGACGATTAGACAGGAAAAGGACATAGACCAGACGCACGATGGAGTATAGCGAGACCAAGTAGGTCACCCAGAACATGGAGCAATAGGCCGACCATAGTCGCAATGGAGTCTCCCGGCAACTCAGAAAGACTAGCGGATGGTGGTGCCGGGTGAGGAAAAATCAGAGCAGCAATCGCGTAGGCAGCAAAACTGCTGCTGAATAGGAATACGTTGAGTTTATGGATCGGGAGGTTGCCAAAGAGCCGGTACAGCTGCAATTGCCTGTGAGTGGAACATTTAATACGGAGCTACAGTAACGGGACGCACGCGAGAGACTATAACTTGGGATGCAGCGACAACGGATACACTCAAAAAGACGAGGGAATATGCGGCAGCATTATAAGACGGTAATTTGGTGATACGACGAGAAAGAAACACAGCAGCAATCTATATGTCGCGTAAGCAACGAGTCAAGTCAAAATTGATTGGTATGACAGCGCACCAGCAGGAAAGCAGTTGTCAAGTGTCTAGATTGGGTCGTTTTGGCGAGCAAGAAGTGGGCGTATAGAGCCACAAAAATTATTACAAAAACATCGGCCGAGTTTAAGGCGCTTTCGCTGGCAAAATGCTGCCGAAAGTGGAGCTTAACACGACGAATTAGTTAAAAAATACAATCTCAGTGGGGACTGGCACGAACCAAAGCATGACTTAGAACCAGAAGGACTGGTGCTGGAAGTACAGCTAGATATATGGAGGATGAGGAGGGCGGCGTCTTTCCATTGGGAAGGTCATCAGTATGTGAGCATTCCGTTGCCTCGGCCACTATGGTAGCCCCCGACAAGTCCTGACTTCCATGGTCGAGTCGTAGCAAGATGGCCGTGATAAGTAACTTCGTTAATTCGATGGCGGCAAGGACAGGGAAAGCCGGTTCGTGTTGACTAGGATGGGCAGGATTTTTGAATCCGGCCCTAACGAGGCCACGAGAAGTCTGGACCGAGACAAACGCCGCCTGGCGAAAAAGAAAGAAAGTCAAAGGGATGTCCATTGCCAATAATTTAACGCACAAAAACAAAACATAAGTTGGTCCTGGTAAGAAAAGTCGTTAACAAGGACATATGTAGGGAGGGAGGAGAAAGACAAATAAGTACGTACGAGAAGTGTGATATCTTATATATGGCGAAATTGATGCCGTTCCGCCTGTACTACTCCTACTTACTACAGACTGAAGTTTCGATGCACAGCCTCACCCCAATTTGGGAATCCTTCCGTTGAACACGGAAGAATTTCCAAATTGGAGCAGGGACGTCGGGGAATTCGGCGAATGGGAAACGATCGTTGCTTGCATAGGTGGTCCAGTTGAGGGTTTTGAGACACTTAGTATGTGAGTAGAGCGACCTTATCTTGCTCCAAGAGAAGGCGAGTAAGTCGGACTCTTTTCCATGTTGATCCTTGCCATCGATTCTGCAAGCGAACAAGTAGAGGATTCCCAGTTTTAATGAATGGATTGGATGAAGAGCGCGGGAGTTGCGATCGTTTGAGAATTCAGATTCTGAGCGTCTATGTGCGGCACAACCTGATCGCAGTGACAGAATTCAACAACGAAGCCATGTTTTGGGCGCTGCGGACCTGCGACCTTGTTGGTTTGTTGTTCGGGCAAAATGTGTAACACGTCACAGCCAAGATCAGCCATAGTCAGCCATCGAAAATCTTTGATGTCATTCCTCTCCCCTCGACGAAATTTTCATCTCTCCACAAGGATCAGGTTGAAGCGCCTCTCCACCGCTGCGGACGACGGAGCTGTCGTTGGTCTTCACAAACTTGGCCTGAAATGGCCGCTGCGCGGTGGTCAGAATCTTTCCCTACGTTATCGTAGGTTGGAACAATCTTTGCGGGGCAAGGCGGCCCTAAAGGGAGGCGCAGTTCTTCCATCCTCTTCAAGCCCTGCATCTATACCATCAAAATTACCGCCGCAATATTTCTATGGGTTAAAGATTCCACAAAAACCCCAAACACCAGCTTCAGATGGTGCGCGAATAATTTGCCTTTATCTCCGTCCTCATGCCTTGACTCAGAGTGCTGTATGTCTGGATGTGCCGTTTGCGTGTACGATCTTTACGACGAGTCTCTCGCAAACTACCAAGAAGCTGTTGCATCTTTTCGTGACTCCCTTCGCGCCACCGCTGTACCTGAATCGGAGTGGCCAATTGAGACGAGGGGGTCTCCAAAGCTAGTGGATAACGGAAGAACTGTGGTTCAAGATGCGTTTGACGTATTGGAACGGACATTGGCAGCTAAGAGGCAGGGCACGTCTGCAGCAGTGTAATTGCATGTTTTCTTATATTTTGTTGCCATCTTCAGACTCAAAACTCATAGGATACAGCACCAAACTAAATGTTGGACATTCGCTGAGATGTACGAAGGAGTGCGTTGGGTGTTGTTTGCTCGCCGATGAATCAAGTGAGACTCCCGTCCTGTCAACATCATCTGTTTGTGTTCGCCACCACCATCTCCACTCGCCATGGAACCCGTGCTGAATCATCCACTCGTTTACTCTCAGCGGAAACCCTCGCCAGCCTTCCCAAATCGTCGCCCATTCGCTGCTCTGGAAAATGTTTCCCATCCTTACCTCCACCCGGCACGCCACCGTGGCTTGCCGCAAAGCATTCAAACGCGAGAGGCATATACGACTAGCGAGTCCGTTCAAACTCGTACAAGTCTCGCCAATCGACATCATCGTGCTTCTGGGTATGCTCAAGCTCGTGGATTATGGCACTGTCTTACTGTACTACTAGCCCGCCACCTCAGATCAGAACCTCGCGCAAGCCTCCGCCTCTTGAACACGTAGCCCAACACCTCTTGAAGATCACCGAACCACTCTTGCACCCAAATCCACTCCTTCATGAACTCATCATGTGGCAGAATTCGCAGTCGAGAAAGACCAGACACCGTGCCCAGTATGTGTAATGGTACTTTTAGTGATCATTCTCAATGACTGCGGTAGAAATCCTACCGGAAATACCACGACTAGCTCTCAAGCAGTAGCCCCCGACTGGATCGATTCCCACATCACCAAAGTGACCAATGCCGCTCTTGTCAGCTTACCTTTCAAGTCTGCGGGACTTCACCGGCCGGCAGCGACGAACGAGCGCGGAGTCCAATACCGTTCCATCAAAGGTGACAAGATCCCCTCAGCTCAGCAGCTCGATAACGTACTGTACCCACCACTCGAACCCGTGGCTCGTCAATTCCAAAACGCTATGGCCTCTAAGAAAGTCAAAATACCGGTCCCAGATGTGATAGATTTGACTATGAGCGACGACGACGAGGAAGCGGCCAAGGAAAAGGCCAAATCTCAAGCCAAGCCAAGACGCCTCGTTACTTCGACGTTTGCTGCTGCGGCCTCCATGTCGTCTCCTCCACCTTCAAGTCTGCCGATTGGTAATACCTGTGTATTCTGTGGGACCCCGTGCAAGGCAGAGATAAATGCGACTTGGCTGGGGTTCTGCAATGAGTGCTAGGCAGGTTTGCTTCAATGCTTGGATGATTAGATTACATGTGTATGTACAGCCTATGAGTTATAAATAATTGGCTCGTTCTTAGCGGCCCTCATTATGTCATTCATCGAAGTCGTATCTAAAAGGGGCAGTCTTCTCTTCGTTGCCAAGTCAGACTCGTAGCTTCAAGCCTCGATTGAAAGCTCTTCGGAATCGCTATTTGTTCGTTCCAGTAACTTGAAAGACGTTTGGCCATGCCGACCAAATGCATATCGCCCATTGTCGCCTGCCAATGGCCCATACTTTAGCCGCGTAGTCTTATCCTTCCTCAAGTCGAGCGTATCGAGCTCTAGGTTTCTCGTTGCCACCAAAAAGTCGCTAAAAGCAGTACCGGTAGTGCTGGGTCCTCCGTGCACCAGCAATATTATCCCAACAAGGCCGCAGAGCAGCGAAATACCCAAGCCTATCCCGTAGATAAGCCATAGACGACGCGCATTGTAATTGTAGTGAGGGAGGTGGTCGAAAAATGTGCACGAAGTCGTTATCATTTGGGTCGGGTCGAGCGTGAGGATAGAGAGTACGGAGTTGGTCATGAGTGCTTCGAGATTGGATGTGAAATTCGAGCTCCAAGTTATGTTGCCGCTCTGTAGGTCGGAGGCTTCATCATTGAGAAGGGGGAGATCCATCACAGCGAGACGGGGAGGGCTGTAAACAAGATTGGCCGAATTGCCTGACTCGTATACGGTTGCGTTACCCAGTATATATGTGTAAATGGTGGAGACAATGCCGTAGTAGTTGGCCGTGGCGTTATAAAACCGCGAATGAACAAGATTGGAGCCAGGAATAAATGCGCCTCCCGTGCCTTCGGTTACATTGGGCGACAGTTTGATAGCGGGTTGTTGACGGACGATTTGGTCAACAGAAATCGAGGACGAGACACCGGAGAATGTGTAATTAAGGTGGTAAGTCGAATTCCAGGTGATACACGTCACATTCATAGCAGGTTGAATAGCGTTGAATGTAGTATAGTTGGTTCGCATGATTTCAAAGTCCCATTTGCCGCCGTCGACGAAGTTTTCGGCGATGAACGCGGATGGAAGGGACCCGCTAAAGCCAGCGGCCACATAGGGTGGCGGTTTTGCATTTGAGGGAAGACCGTCTGGGTCGTACATCAGTGCAGTCGTATTTTGTGCACCGACGTTGCAAGAGAAGGACGGGGCTGCAATGGATATTGTGTAGGAACAATTATTGGAGCAGATAGTCTTCGGGGGGAGTGGTTGATTAGCAAGTAGTGTACCACCGATAACGCGTGAAGCAAGAGACGAAGGGCGTAAATATGGCTTCGAGGCTGAATTTTCGACTGAAAATAGTTACATACTTGACTTCCATTGAATGAGAGCAGCATACGATCAGCCAAAACTGTTGACGAACCCAAATCGAATATTGGTACCGAGCAATTTCGCCTAATATTGCTAATTCTTGGCGCAACAGGGAGTGTTCCAGGCGAACGTGACGATGAGAGGGAAAAGCCAAATAATGGCCGCAAAAACAACGATTGCTCGTCCCGATCGCCAAAAATCCAAGGATAAGAACGCAAGTATATCATATGGCGACGACCACAGAGCATCTAAACCAGCAATGGTGAAACTTCGTTGGCCCACGACCCTCCAAGCACAGAGTGAAAATGCGGTGCCGACACTATAGCCAAGCGCAGCAGAAACCAGCCACGCAAATGCGGTCCCAATGGCTGAGGAGCCTTCTTGAGAGTGGGTAATAGAAGATAACGTATAAGGCCATGGCTGGATGGAAGGGACTAGCTGGCCATCTAAGGAGTGGTAGAATGCATGATGACTTAGCGCAAATGCGAGAGAGATAAGCCAAACACCGAAAACCTTGAGAAAAGGCGAGAAAAGGTTTCTGTGGCTATTCCAGACGGACATGAAAGAGGTTCGATGCCTCATCCTACAATGACCTGACTTTTAAACCTGAAATAAGCGCGGGTGGAGCCCAATGACTGCATGATGTTCACAACATCTGGGACGCGGGTAGATTGTTGGTGTGGGTAAAGACAAGCTGTACTTTGATGTTTGGAGAGGTATAATCGACAAACTCGGAGGTTGGAGGAGGAAAGTGGAGGAAGAGTTGTGCGTGACAGCGAAATCTAGCAGTGACCACGCTCTGCTCCTTAATGGTCTTGCGCTGATGTCACTGCACTCGCCGTCCCTTGGCCCGTCCTCCCCTTCGCCCTCCTCGTCAGCAGTGACAATTCCCATCCCCGGAAAGTCGATTCTCAAAAAGCCCCCACCAGTCCAAGCATCGTTTATTTCCCGTATCAGTCGGTTCCTGCCTGTTGGCGACAAGACCCAGCCCGAAACGGCTGGGAAGGATGGCGGAAAAGAGGGTGCAACAGACGAAAATGCTCGCGTGTTACGACGAGCCCATTTTATACTTCCGGAGCTGGCAGTTGTCTATCCGATCTCATCCGTCGCCCCACCGTCCACACCACAACTACGCGAAGAGAAGCGGGCAATAGAGGACAAGGAACGGGAGAGGCGGAGAAGGGTTCTGCGAGCGAATAGCGTCAGTACCGCCAGCAGCACTGACAGCGCTAGCATCTTGACCGCGGGAAGTGGGGAAGATTCAGAATGGTGGGCAATGGACAAGGTCGAGAGCTTTTACCGAGAGTGCTGCGAAGGATGTCAAGAGTCTCCGGACAAAGGCATCGCTGCTGCCCTTAAAGTATGATTTACCCTCATTGCCTATCTTTAACTGACGCTGGTTAAGAATGCGCCGCCCACAAATCCCAGGACTGTCGACTTTTCAGGCGTGCAGCTCACATTTACCAGTGCTTCAATTCTGGCAGACGTCCTTAGCATCGAATGGGGTTTACGCAAAGCAGTTTTTCGGGAATGCGACCTTGACGAAATTGTATGGCGAACCTTTCATCTAGGGTCCAAAACTGATCTGGCAAACACAGACTCTTAAACCCATTCTCCACTCTCTTCTCATTCCGCGAACCCTCTCATACCTCAGCATTGCGTCCAACCGACGTCTCAAGGGAAACGCTTGGAAACTCCTTGGTGCATATTTGACCAAGGCTTCCGACCTGCAATTTCTGGATGTTTCACAAAATCCTTTGGACAAGAAAGCAGTTGAATATGTTGTCTCTGCTCTGGCTGAATATACTCCGACAGTGTATGTCAACCTCCTTTGCCCGTTCGACTACTAATTCTATATATCAGCGTCAGCTCTTCCGCTGCCTCTATGCTATCATTCGACTCATTCTCCATCGACGGTCGGGATAGAGATGAAAGGGATGCTGCATCCAGGAGCGAGGCTCGCTACAGTCTGGGTTATGGGCTCGACGACTCGAGGGAGAAGTATCGCAATGTCACCGGAAAGCGTGGTTTGGTGTCATTGAAGTTGGACGATTGCTCTCTCCGTGCTGCCGCACTGGAAACATTATGTGCGTGATTCGCCTGGTGCCTCACTCCATCTGATTCACTTTTATAGGTCGAGCTGTTCGGACTTCCAGCTTGCGCAACATCTCCCTGCGACATAATCGTATTTCTCCCACTGGAGCAGTCGCGTTAGCCCTTATGATTAGGGACTACCCCGATGTACTTGCCGCACCCGCGTCCGCAACAGCATCACCTACAATAGCTCATTCACCATTACCATCTGGCACACCAACCAGCAGTGTCAACAGCTCGCCAATGCATTCCCCAATTCTACCTCATGCTCCAACTCCGCTTCCCACGGGAGGCAAATCCGTCCCTCCTCCTCGTCATCCCTCCCAGACGATTACAGCGGCCCAGACTACATATACCCCATATGTACCCAGGCGGCGACTACAGACCGCAGCACCAAATCCAAACATCAGTTCAGCCCCCCCAGGTAGACCTGTTGTCGCAACGAGTGTTCAAGGAGGTGTGACTGCTCGTCACGTGCCCGACGCAATGAAGGACGCGCAGAAAGAGCGAGAGCGGGATGGTCCAAGTGCTGCGCTGCTGGATAAGGTTCGCGCTCTTGATGCTCTGCCCAGAGTTGGTGCATTAAGGACGTTGGATCTGAGAGGCAATGACCTGCGGGTATGTATTTCGCCTTTCGAGACTTGCCCTTCTCAATCATACGTAGACTGGGATCACGTATATTGCCCAAGTTCTGAAGCGGAATCGCACTTTGAAAGTCCTCAATCTATCCGAAAACAAACTCGACGTGACATGTCTTGTTAGTCTCGCGGAGGCTCTGGTTTGTATTCTCTTCATTGTCCTTCGTGGTTGACAATATTTCCAGAAATATAACTCGAGTTTGGAGACTTTGGATCTATCACGAAACCCCTGCTCTGGGCCTGGTCTTGAGGGAGTGAGTCTCTTCTTTCTTCACTTCTGTTCGTGTCATTGACAAACTCACAGATTCAATCATTACGCACTGCTTTCACTCTCAACACCGCTCTAAAAAGATTATTCCTCAGTTCAACAGGGATGTCTTCACCTGGTGCAATCGCTCTAGCCGAGTTCTTACCTGAAAGCGCATCATTACTTCATCTCGACCTCACAGAAAACTCTCTGGGCCTTGCTGGCGTGCTGGCACTAAGCAAAGGCCTCGAAGCCAATTTCGTGATGCGCTGTTTGGACCTCAACATCCCTCCCGGTGACGAAGAGTGTGCACGGCTTTGTCGCGACATTCTAAACGCCTGCGTTCGGAATACAGAAGAGGCAGAGCGCAACGCTCATCGAGGAATGTTTGGTGGATCGGGTTCCCAAACTCCTATTGACGGCGTGAATGGTCACGCCCATGGAGTGAATGGGTCGACCCATACATCCAGTGGCCGAGGGTTGGGCAAAGGAGTCTGGGGTCTAATTGAAGACAGTGAGCTTGCGAAAAGCATTCGGCTGGATGAAGAGAAAAGGGCGAGTCCTTGAAACTTTCACTGTCGTTTTAACTGATCTATCCATTTAGCTCGAAGGTGATCCTCTCGTTCGAGCCAAGTCTTGTGTTTCCCAACTCGAAGGAATGTTTGCACCACCCTCCGCCTCCGTGGCTGCGCCATCTGCCGCAACACATGCCGCCTTGGTTAAGCAAGCCCGTGAATTGACACATGAGTTAGGCTCTCTCATTCAAGCGACCGAAGATCCAACACGGATGGAGGAGTTGTTGGATGTCAATGATGCATTGACTACGCTTATTGCGCATGGGCCACCACCCGCCGTTCGCCCAGCGTTGACTTTGCAGGGTCTGGGTATCAAATGGACTTCCTCAGTCCAAATACCGCTCCCTGAAGTGACCCAACTCTCCGAGCCAGATAGTAGTAGCCATCAGGGTGATGGAGAACATACGCCAACCACGCCGCGGATAGACAAGGGCAAAGCACGAGCTATGCCAGAACCCGAAGAACCAGAGAAGGTGCTGAGTCCAACATTGATGTTGGCCGAAGACAGCGATGAAGAAGGGAGTGTAATTCATTTCTCGCCTGTAGACCAGGCAGACGCGTCAGCCGATGCAGCAGCAGAATCACCTACCAACCGGTAATTGTTTCGTCCTAGTTGGACATGATAGATAGCTGACGAGTCGCTTGTTTTTCAGTTCGAGGAGTTGGGTGGAAGAGGAAGGAGAGGTGTTCCGAAAGGGCAATGTTCTTTTGGGCCCAGAGGAGATGGAAGGCGAATATGCGGGAGACGAATTGCGGAAAGAGGTATGGAGCCTATTCTGACCTTCATTTTTGTGCTAAAACCAGCCCAAATAGCTTCTGGAAGCGATGGTTGAGCGGCCACCTCCGCGTCCACTAACTCTCGCCGACTCATTTGGCATTGAACACCCCGTTCCAGACCAGCCACAACCAGAAGAACAACCGCCTCCGGTATCACCCAAACCGTCACCTTCCCCAGCGGCTGATAAATTACCTCCACGACCTTACGTGTCTCGGTCGCGCTCTGCTTCATCGTCCATCATGAGCATGCTCTCCCCTACCGTTTCTTCTTTTGCCCCCAACAGCACCGATATCCCAGAGGGACAGGCGAGTCCAAGAACACCGTCGAGTCCTGCTCCCCCATCACCCTTGCCAAATGGCACGCGACCATACCTCGCACGGACTCGGTCATCTACTCTCGACAATCGGTGAATACCTTATCGACGATCTCAACTGGAAGGATGGATCTTTATTAATGTTTTTTATTAATTTCCATGTCCTTATTAAGCAGACGCACACACTCGCTTGGAAAGATCACGCTCCCCGTCGCATTACATAGTCTCTTCGATGCATAGGTACATTATTTCTCACTCTTTTTGTGCTAAGTATATCCTGTTTCTCTTATTTATCGAGGTGTCAGGAGACTACGACGCGTGTCCTTTTTTTGCCTTGCGCCACCATCACCAGTAAAATGCCTCCTCGTAAGACCGCAGCGTCCACGGATGAAGCAGCTGCACCACGTCGTTCAAGCAGAGCGGCAACAGTCAAGTCTGGAGAAGATCTGAAGAGTAAAGAAACAAGTGTGAAGAAGCGCAAGGCGACTGGCGACGACAAGGCCATAAAGTCAGCGAAGAAGGTGTGGCTTTTCAACAATTTTCTTTCAGTCTTTTTGATGCTATTATCAAGGCCAAACCCGAGACTGACGAAGAAAAAGACGAGGAGGAGGATGAAGAAGCTGTCGCCCCTGCTCTTGAGCCGATCGACATTGGCGACTCACTCCCATCGTTGACTCTGAAGAATGAAAAGGACGAGGATGTTGATGTGGCGACCTTGACTGCTGAAAAGGGACTCGTTCTCTTTTTAGTGCCAAAGGCAGACACTCGTCAGTGATATACGGCCTGGAGTCTACGCCTCGCTGACCATTTTCCTTTCCAGCTGGATGCACCAAGCAAGCCTGCGCTTTCAGGGACATATATCCCGACTTCACGGGCTTGGACTATGATGTGTATTGCCTCAGTGCGGATACTCCAGCCGCTCAAACCAAATGGCAGGCCAAGGTTGGTGAAAACGCGTTCCGACTGAAGTTGCTCTTCTGACGGCTCTGAACAGAAAGAACTGCCTTATCCACTCCTCTCAGATCGCAAGCGTGTGCTCATCACTGCTCTTGGGGCTGGAGAGGGCGGAAAGACGAAGCGCAGCCATTTCATCTTTGGCAAGGGCGGAAAACTCCTTGACAAAAAGCTTCCAGTCAAACCGGAGGACAGGTCTGTCTTGCTTATTTTCGTCAAATCCCGATCTCACAATGTCCCAGTCCCAAGCTTGCCCTTGAGTTCATCAAAAGCCAATGATCTGTGTAACATATTAGGTCTCGTTTGCTGTCGTACTTGCTGTCTGCCGCCTCGAAAACAAATTGTGTGTATCGTGTTCAAAGTCTTTTGCCGCATCCACAACGAGTTTCTTATACTCAAACTGACATTTAAGTATGATCTAAAATCTAGATTAATTAAGTGCTGCTAACCACTTTGGTTTAACAGAGCCAATCGTTGTGCCACCATTGCCTCGGCGCAGGGCCAATATCCAGGCACCTCATTTTCCCTTGCATTCTTGAGCCACGCTTTGGGGTCGTCCCAACCCTTGTGGACATACCGAACGAGGACGAAGCGTGGGTTGTTGTTGTCAACATAGTGCGGATAGTCCATCGCCTGATAGCCACTCCCGAGATCGGAATCCTTGGCTGACCGGCGAACCTCTTGGAGCCCAACGCAGACCACGAGTTTCTTGCACGTCTGGAAGATGGTATAGAGACTCGTCAGCGTGCCTCGCATGCGGAGGTCATATGTCAGCGCCAAATGTGTGAGGCGGGGAAGCCGCTCGAGCCGGGAACATATTTCAAAGGGAAGGGAGACATCCTTGAGCTCGAGGTGGGTGATGCTCCCAAACTTGTCGAAGAGATTGTTCAGCTCCGCGTTCTGGAACTTGCCGTACTTGGAGCTGAGGTCCTTCATGTCCACGTGCAGCCGCTTTAGTGTGCCACCGAGCGCGAGCACGTGGTCGAGCAGATTTTTCATCGAGGTTGGGTAGCCGCGACAAATCTCGAGGGTCTCGATGTTGGAGCATGCTGCAAGCAGGAATTGGGCTGCAGCATGTTGTTCGACTTTGTCGATACCGAGCCAAACAGACTTGACGTTGTCCCGATAAAAGTTGGGGCGACGGACAATGTCGGCGGTCAACGCATCGGGCGACCAGCCTGGTTTGGCATAATCGCAGTCGTAATCGACCCAGAGTCCGCAATAGAAGAACGGTTCCACCCTGCACATGACAATATCAGACTTCAAGTTGCCACAATACGACACAAAACTTTGGGCTCGCACCATTCGTTGACACGCCAGGCAACGAGACGCATTGCGGGAATGGACTCGTATGAAGAGGAAGCAACCATTTCGAAGATGGAGCGCTCAATCTCTGAAGGAAGGGTAGATTGGTGGTCAATGTCGAATTCGAAATCCATAACTCTGAACCAGAATCAGGGTTGTGGGTGGGTTCATGAGGATTCTTGCACCTTTATACACCTGCGAGGGACTTGAATGCGGCATTGTTCGCGTGTGGGGTGCTTTGACTCGTGATCGCGCATTGTCAAAGAAAGCTGTTTGCCGGGAAATACCTCCGGAATGACCCGTAGGTTATTGAAACCTACTTAAACCCGGGAGCGGTCACCAAACCATACCTCCAATGCCTGACGTGTTGAGCATCGCTGTGTGTATGCCAGACGGCGTGACGTTGTCGGATTTCATACCGCCCATGGAAATCCTCGCGATGGTAAATCTTGCGGACCATCCAGAGAAAGGAACCGACTTGCGCGAAGCCATGGGTGGCGATCTTCCTATCCGATTCACGATTGACTACCTCGCGGCGTCGTCCGAGTCCGTGGTTCCCCTTCTAGGAAGTTTGCTACCCTCTATCAAACCGACGCTGAGCTATGGCGATGCGTTAGAGAAAGGAAAGCAGTTCGATATATTATGGGTCCCCGCTGGTCTGCGACGGTTTTTTCTTCATTGTCTCTTTTCAACCATATTAAAGGTCGCAACCCGAATTTTGCCACTGGCGCTCATCCATTCCCCGAGATTGAGCTGGCATTCATCAAACAACAGGCTCTCAAGGCCCGATATGTGATGTCTGTGTGTACAGGGGCTCATCAGCTCGCCTTGGCCGGTGTTCTTTCCGGGAAGCGCGCCACAACGAACAAGCAGTTCTTCAAAGGGATTGTAGTACGTGCTGTCGCTTGACGAACCGGAAAACCTATTCTCTTTAGTCCACATCACCTCAGGATATTACTTGGATCGCGAAAGCGCGATGGGTGGTTGATGGCAAAGTGTGGACGTCGAGCGGAGTGTCTGCTGGTCAGTATTCGACCCTTGCAGCAATGTTTTTTATCTTTGTCTAAAACGTTTATCGAGCAACTCACCAACAAGAAAGTTACCCAGAAACTTCGAGGGGCTGTGGAGATCCCTGAAGTCTCTGGAAACGATGACGAATTTGCGGATTTCTGGGGATTACTGCAGTCGGAGGTACCTTACGAGATGAATGTGTGCGAATGATTTGACCTTATTTGACACCAAACCGGGTCATGTTGTTGTTTGCGGTCGATTATACAGCGTTTGTAGGTTGATGTGCGTCGAACCTGTCGACGAATTCGGGTTGTTTCATGATTTGGTCGCGCTCTATGTGTACGGTGAATCCTAGTACGAAAGAGGCCAAGAAGACCATACCTCCGGTTCACTCCAACTTCGGATGAGAAGACTCCCTCGTCCATTGGACAGCGGCATGTGGCTTCCGATCTTGACTTCAAACTCTGATACACAGTTTTCTGGAATTGCCCATGAGATGCTCGGGCGACTGGGGTGTTCAGATAGCATAGAATCCATGGCAACTAATGTTTCTCGTTGGAGGATTGCATCAAGTTCAGACGGTTTGAAGCTCCATTCGAAAAATATCCCGATTTCCTTCAGAGATGGACTTTGCTCTGAAGGCGGGGACAAGAGGCTGGGTAGGACCAACGCAAGCCAATGGCCACCATCGACACGACTACTATTGTCAAACGCAAACTCCACCTGTCGAAGAGCGGGGAGCGCAGGGAGGGAGACGGAATCGATGTGAACTAGATTCAAGCTTGTTGATTAGTAATTTGAGAACGCTCGAAGAGGCGCACTGTTTAACGGGTGGAGGTGAAGGAATTGCAATGTCCCCTTGCAACGCATGATGATTTCCATACAGTTGGAATAGTTAGCACCAGAAACAAAGAGCGTGAGATGCTGTACGAAGGAGAGATGAATCGATAGGGGGGTGAGAGCAAGCGTCTCAAATACGGGTAAGCACCCTCTTCCCAGATATATGCGGCGGATTACGGGCTTTCTAATAGGTTCAGGCGGGATGTCTTGTTGCTCTAGGCGAGTGATGGAGACGCCGTCCAAATGGATGGATTGGGTGGCTCCAAGAAAGTCGGAAAATAATTGCATCGGTACGGGTGCAAGAGCACGAAGATGAAGTTCTTTCGACGAGTGAGTTTTGACAAAGGCCCAAAGAGGATCTAGTGCTCCAGAGCCCATCTCTTTTGTGAGCCAAGTCGGGTGCCAACCATCAATTGTACACTGGTCGATACCATCCAATTGACTAAGCGCAAGTTGCAGAATGTGGAGTGTGTCCGTGCTTTTGTAAAGCATTCTGGAGAGGCTGACATGAAGACTATGAACGTAGTGTGAAATGTGGGGAGACTCCCGAAGGAGGAGTGATATAGCGGGGATGTTGTCATAGAATAAATGGAGTTTATGCAACAGGAGACGTTGGCAGGGCTGGCGAAGCCGTGAGGCAGCTAGAGAGCAACATTTAAGTGCAGCATAGTCCAGCTCGTATATAATCGTTTCAAGAAGCTCTTGCGGCAGGTTGACCATCATCGTTGGAAACAAGTCACAGGTTTAGTCAGCTGTGATCGATTATCTTATCTTGATCATCCAGCACATCGTGATTTGTGCCGATGAACCTTGAGCAGACCTTGAGAGATCAGAGAGACTACATACTTATGGATTGGTTTCTGCTCCACTTTACAATTACACTCAAGGTACATTGCACCTTCTGACGGCAACATCTTCGGCTGGTTTCGGAAAGATGACAGCTCTGAAGCAATTGACTGGGCAGTTGCCTCCTATCCGACTATCGCAACGCCGTAAATGCTTGTCGATCCGCGGGAGTAATTGCTTTACCAGTGCACTCAAAGCATCGCAAACAACCATCGACTTCGCTATTGCCTTACTGTAACGTGCGCCGCTCATCCCATTCAGGTCCAGTGTTGTAAGGTTTGAAAACGCTCTTGAAGCAGGAAAAGGGAAGATGAAAAAAGTCGTCGGCCGAAGCCCGATCAATGTCAAGAATCTGGCCCCGCCGTATGTGCATCATTGATTTCACAACGGCTATCCCTTTTCTGTCTTCTCAACACACCCTGTCTTTGGTGCAGGGTGGGAGAAGGTTGGGTATCTTCTCCTTCTCTCATTCACTTGCGTTCCTTCGCTAAATTTCACTGCTAAAAGGGCAATTGTCAAATGCCCAGGACATGCTAACGCTGCCATTCTTCCTCCTTCACGTACTTTTGTCCTCCGAACCTCAAGACATGTCGCAGTACGAGTCATCGTGCGTTGTGTGTACTTTTACTTGGAGCAGCTTACTGACTGCGTGCGTCCATCCAGTACTGCACCTATAGTGCGTTATTAGATTTCTGGCTGGCAGTCAACAAAACTCATTAATGTCACATAGCTGGCCGGAACGCAGGCGAACTGGCTACTGCTTGGAACCCTCACCCTCCAGCTGCATACATTTCATATTTGCTTTCCGAATGAACGCTGGTGGATCAAGTTGCTTGGTTTGCCTCTCTTCGTCTCAACCGTCATTTTGTATATAACCGAACAACAGCTTATGGCCTCTATGTGCTCGAAGTCGTCCAGAGCGCCATCACATCCCACTTTGCCTACTCCCTCCTCGTCACGGGATGGGGGAACCCCACGGTATTCACACAACTACCCTGGTCCAGTCTTGCGACACCGATCTTCACTGGGATAAGTGAGTTCTTGTCGGATTGCTGTTGAATTGGCACTGAAAGGATTCACCAGCGTCCTGCACTGTTCAAATATTCTTCGCATGGTGATTCGGCCTTTTCTGCTCCTGTGTTTTATTACTCACCGCTGCCAAGGCGTATCTGGACCCTGCGCAAGAAGGAGTTGTGGGCATGGCTAGCCGCTGGATTCATCATCTTGGTGGGTCGGAATTGCGTATTCATCGCGCATGTTTCTGAGATCAATTGTAGCTTGCGCTCGCTCAAAGCTTGGCTGCGATTATTAGCGACGCTCGTTTCGCTGTCACAACCAACATTGCGGAACTGCCCAAGCTATTGAATGGAGTCAAGGTTCTATCTTTATGAACTTTTTGGAGTTCTTTTTACTCTTTGGCCAGTTTTGGTTGATTGGCAGTGCCGTCTGCGATGTGTTCATCACTATCGTGATGCTCTTCATTGTCTGCATTCCTTTCCTGTTTCGACGGCGCACTGCTTACATCTTGCAGCTCACGGACTATCGTCGGTCGGCCCCTTGGAAAAGTACTGACAGCATTGTCACCAAGCTCATTTACAACACTGTGGAAACTGGGGCCGTTACGTCTGTTGTGGCCATCATCGATGTTGTCCTTTTCATTCAATATACTAACGAAAACTACCATCAATTCCCGTAAGTCTCTTGACTTTAGAGTGATTGACGTTGAACCACATGCAAGGGCTTTCATGCTTGGCAAACTATATACAACCGTTCTCCTCGCCAGCCTCAATTCGCGTGCGGAACTGCGCAAGGCGAGCAGTATGCCAAACACTCTTGGTGCAGAGGGCGAAGAACGCGCCACCGAAATTCAGTGGCGGCGGTATTCTACGGCCGCTCGCTCCGCCTTTGTTAGTGGTGCTGAGTCAGAGCTGGCGACAGGAACGAGCCACAAATTGGCGGTCCATTCCGTCAAACATGCCACCGACGATGAACCAGTGAAAAGCTCACGCGCCGACTCGAGCACTGACGTCTATGAACTCGACACCAAAAGATATGATAACAGCACACCACCAGTGTAGTTTACCCCCCCATAAAAAACGGACTTGGATTGTACACCACTTTTTATTTTTTACGTATTGTACGGCCTACATGTACGCGGTGTTTCCAGTCGTTCTGCATTACTCAGCATCTAGCACATATTTAGATTTAGACAAACATGTCAATGTAAACTTGGACATTATTGGGCCCCTTCTCGGATGTGGGTTGTTTTGATGTTGAGGTTATGGATGAAGAGGGTAGATAGCAGCCCAAGTCCGGCAATTGGCACCCCCAGCATAAACACGACACGCAAGCTTGCATTATAGGCATCGACCACGCCTGGAATCAACTCTGCGGGAAGGCCAGTATAGATCGCAGTTGGTGATTGTCGAACGATGGTGAGGGAGGTTTGGGGGTAGAGAAGGAGAGTATTTGGCCAAAGTAGCGGTGAGGCGGGAAGAGAATACGGGCTCGGCAACTCCTAGCCCAATAGTGCCGCCAAGGAACTGAGCGAAGGTCCCTGTGGAGGTGGCTTGCCCCAGAAGAGCGGGTTTAGAGTTGAATTCCGCTCTAAAATGTGATCAGCAGACACTATCGAGCATTTTTTTTTGACTCACTGGATAGCGACCAGTGTGTTTTGCATCGCTAGACCTATCCCAATACCCACCAGAATCTGGAATCCGATGATAGTCCCTGACGATGTGGCGCGGGAGACCGTGAATAGGAATCCAGACCCAAGCGCGAGGAAGACTGGGGCGACAACAAGCCACGGCCAGCTGCAACATGACCCATTTAGCGTTGGTGTCGTTTGTCAAATGCAGCAAAAGAAACGCACTAGTATCCGATCTTGCTCGTGATTTGGGCAGTGAGGATGATGGTAATGACGGTGCCGAGAGAGAAGGGGAGAAGATTGACACCGGAGCGGATGGCGCTGTAGTGTCTGTCGGCTTGGTAGAAGACCGGGATATACTGTGAACTGGAGGTCAGATGGTGGGCAAGTCCAAAGGAGTCAATCACGGACGTAAGAAAAGATGAGCAGCGAGAAACGCGTGAGCATGCAGTACAATGTGAGAGCATACCTGTTTTGCATGGTTAGTCTGAGGTGCGCGGACGTTAGGGAAACTGACATTGAGCGCGAGTGGAAAATTTCCAACGGCATTAGCGCTTTGTCACGTTTTCGCACTTGCCACATAATGAACAACAGTGCGAGAACGGCTGCAAAAATGAAACACTGAAACCCTGCTCAGTTTTTAGATGACTGGGTTAGAGAATGCTTACAATGATAAGGTCTTTGTCGCCCCACTCCTTGGTATTTGAGCCCCATTGAAGCGAGAGCATCAAAGTCGTGACTGCTCCAGCCACGAGAACAACACCGACATAGTCGATCTCCGAGACAGAGCTGAGAGTTTTGGTCCAAGTTCTCTTGACATGATCGGCTTCAGATCCAAGAGGCGGAGTAGCTTCAAGTAGGAGGGTAACAGTGATGAGTGAGACGCCGCCAATGGGAAGATTTCTGCACTGATGTCAACATTACTCCACATAAAAATGTCCGGATAACGAACATGTAGAAGCACCATCTCCAAGAAATCTTGTCGGTGAACGCCCCGCCCATCAAAGGTCCAATAATCGAGGAGACTGCGAATACTGCGCCAAAAATACCGAACAACTTGGGACGGTCCTGCAATCGAGTGACCTGGGTGACTATCTGGATTGTAGAGACATCTGTAAGCTATGTGAGAAACAGAGTCCCACATTTAAAGGGACAACAGTATGGAACGCACAGATTGCTGCCGCCCCGACGCCCGACACTGTGCGACCTGCAATCAGTTGACTTGCATCGTTTGTCAGTCCACAGACGAGCGACCCAATCTCAAAAAGAGAGACTCCGACGAGAAGGATGTGTTTCGCCACAAATATGCGTGTCGTTTGCCCGAAGAAAAGGATAAAGACAGCTGAGATGGGTGAGCTAGGAGTACAAGCCGAAAATGTTGACTTACTTTGGGCAAGAATGAAAGAAGAAGAGACCCATCCTTGCAATGAAAAAGCTCGAAATTCCTGGTTGAGATGTCAAAAAAGAGTCGTGAAAATTAGCGCAAGAATATGATACCGAAGCGATACGAGGGAGAGCCGTCGCCAGAATTGTCTGGTCTAGGGCAATAAGTAGGATGGAAAGAAGCCTGTGAGGGAGTTCATTCATTCCATTGTTGTCCGTGGATGGTTTGGACAGACATTGCAGCAAACACCACAGCAAGTCGCTTTCCAGTCAGGATATGATCCTCATGGTTGCTGTCCACAAGAGGTGGCAAGATAGCCTCCGTATTTAGGGGAATGGTTTCTTTGGGGGAAGGCATGGTGACACATGTTGTGCAGCAGAGCGCGAAGTCATGGGCGGCGGCGGCATAGAGCGAGGGAAAAAAACGACAGAGAAATGCTGACGTGTTGGGCCGATCAGGTGTGACTGATTGCGTTATCTCTTGATCTGATAAGAACAAGCTGAACATCGCTGCAAGCTAGATTGGAAGCAAGTTGGTAAGAAAATTCGTTTCTTCCAAATATTAATGCCCCCGTTAGATTGAGTAACGCTAGGTTGGACTCTGCAAGAAAGGGAAGGCCCTCCGACGATCGCAACAGCTTTGAAGTCAGGATGGTAGAGCGCCATCTTGGTGACTACTAGTGCGCTTAATGCCGAACTAACGAGGGGGTGGCTACGCCGTCACACGGATAGTCATTTGGATGAACATCGACAAGTTACAAATCACACCAAAGATGATATAAAAGTACACACTGTTATACATTTGTTTGTAGGCCCGAAAACCAACTAGGTGTTAGTGTCGATGGTGTTTTTCATCGTGTTTCCTTCTCGATGGTGTTGAGCGGGGCATGAGAATGACGGGGACAGAGACCCAGCGGTCATCCCCGGTATATTGGTGGTAGACGCCAGATTCGGCGTGTCGGTAGTAGTGGTTGTCCTCCTCCTCTTCAGTGACAAGCGACCAAAGGAGCATGAAGAAAGCGACTCCAAGGACAAGGAAGGCGAGTAGAGAGACAACGAGTAATGACTCGAAGCTGAACACGAGGCGAGCAGTGTCTGCTGCAGTGTCGATTGAGGAGTGAATGGTATTCTTTGCGAAGGCGCAAAATGACGCAGCAGAAGATGAGGGTGCTGGACGGCCTAGATACATGACGGCGGGTGGGGCGGCCTCACTCGGGGGACGTCCGAGCAAGCCATTTTCTCTCCAAGCCGTTTATAAGGTACTCGGATCCCGATGTCACGCGACATGACTACAATGAAGTAACCTGGCTCCGCTCCGGCAACCACTGCCAACCAACTTCCTGACAGCTGTCCTTGTTCCCTCCACTATTATGGATTTCTCTCCTCAAGCCCTTCCAGCAGCAGCCTCCACCTGAACACCTAGAAATCTCCGAAGAACTCTCAAAAAGGAAGGCTCGCTTGTCGATGCATCGCCGTTTCCACGAGACCGCCCCTTCATTTTCGGCAGCTGACAAGCAACGAACCAGGAGGCTACACGAAGGAAGAAACTGGCGACATCGATCGGTTTCGCATGGTAAGTCGATATGCTGGAGATTTTGTCCGTTCAAATGAAGTCCAACAGACAGTGCGCCGACAACATGAGGCTCAAAGGAAACCTCTCGTCCACCAGATTACTACAACATGAAGCCCGAGTAGAGATGGATCTTGCTTGAAATGCTCTTGCGAATGGTCGTTGCTATGCTCTCGCATCAACAACTCTCTAGTACCAACGTCGCGATTTGACTCCTTTCCGCAGAGCAAGAAGTTCAACCCCTCAGGACGTAGCAATTGTCCTGCAGCTTCTGAATCAGTGTCAAGATGTAATTCCGACGAGCCAGATTTCATTGGAACAAGTCACAGACACGTTTCTCCTAATGAACCTTTTCTGTCTGTGCCTTATACACAGGGTGGTCGTTTCTTCGACTGGAATTAGGTTCATACTTATATTGACTTGTCGTCTTACAAAGTACATTATCCGCCTGAATGCGTCCTACACCAAGAATATTCATTGTTCTGTTCAACAGAACAGAGCGCCGTCACATGATCACCCTCCAACGCACTGTCCTCTTTCTACCCCAAATCCTTACACGTCCACCCACTTCGGCATGGATCCAAACAATCCACATCTCTACAACCTGGAAAACCAACAAGAATATCGCTCGAGCTACCCCGATGATTCGTATATCCCCCAAGGATTCCCAATTCCCTCTGACATGACTTGGGGCAATCCTCCGCTCCCAGTTGGCGATCGTCAACCTGATAATATAACATTTGCATATCATGAAGACCAGGATTGGCTTCTCCACGGGTACTCGATGCCTGAGAACGAGCCGGGTGGCTGGGACCCGCTGGACTATGCGAACTACCCTGACTTGGTTCTCACTCGCTCCTCCACGGCCGATGGCGATTCTGACAGTGCAGGCCCCATCACCTCGACATATTCATTCCAACTCGTGCCACTATCTCCCGCAGAAATAAATGCGTTGGCCCATGCCCGCCAACTCGCGAGCAGTCGGGTGTACGAGACGGACTATGGTGGACAATACTATGAACCCGGACTACAGGAGCGGGAGCAACACCAACCGCTCATGGTCTTCCCCGTTCCGCTGCAACCTACAGTGGTGCCGTCGCAGCCTCATTACTCAGCCGAACAATCTTCATGCGTCGAAACATTTGCCGTCAGACCGACATCGAAAATGTCTTTAGGAGAGCAGGAGCGGCAGACAAGATTACCCTTGCCTCCAGCTACAGAGTCAACGAAAGAAAATGGTCCGAAGGCGATCCAAAGGCAATCGGCACCGACGCCAGCAATCAAATCGCAAAGTATCGCGGAGAATCCTACTCTTTCGCGGGATGGACACGCTAAAGCTCAGCATTCAGCTCCTGCTTCACGTCAGCCGGCGATCGCTAGCGCGTCGGGGGATGCTGTTGTTATACAGTCTGGAACAGGCTCAAGGTATGTGTGTCCCGAGTCCGCTGTTCGTTCTTAGTTACTCACCAGCAATCGCTAGAGCGAAGCGCAGAAGAACGAAAGCGCCACATCAGGCAGTCTCGAAAGAAAAGAGGTAAAGCCGCAACTATGAGATCTCAGTGCATTCTCTGATGGATAACAGCAGTTCTCTTCCCTCGTCGTCTCTAGCTGTACCAGGCCCGTCAACAGTGCCCTCTACCCCATTCACTTTCCGATATGACCAGTCTCCGATTCCGGATTCATCGTTCTCCGTTGCTGGTCCTAGTAATTCTCGTGCTTTGGACCAACCATCTTCAATAGTGCAGGCCAAAAAGCGCAAGTTCGAGGAGGAGGAGCCGAGCTCTCAGTATGATACCCTTCATTTTCCAACTTTATAGTTATGACTGATTATGTGCTTTTAGAGAGAGCCGTACCATAGCTTCTGGAAACCTACTGTTCGTGGGGCTTACATGTTCTCACGTGGCTTGGTGCTAACCCTTCCTTAGTGTGCTCACCCCCGAGATGCAATCACATATTGCGACCGTCCAGAAAGTCAACCGCACCAAGGAAGCCGTCACCTGTTTATGGCCATGCAACCAACCGGCTGAGTCACAACACCACAAGCGCGCAATCAAGCCAACCATCGTCGAAGTGAGCGAGCATGTCAAGAGGTTTCACTCTCCCATATTATCGGCGCTTGGATCAGTAAACTGTGGATGGCGTGATGCGACGGACCCTTTCGCAAGTGCCTGTGGGAAGCGTTTGCAGCCCGCTCAAGTCGTGAAACATATAATCGACCACCACATCCGTCCTGAAGGCTTTCCCTGCCTTTTCTGTGGGGTTTTGTATCGCAAAAGGTCGTTGACTGAGCATATGGCTAGATGCCCTCGCGCCAATGCCAACTCTGGCTCCGGGAAATAATGAAGGAGCCTATGCGGAGTGTTCACCCATATGTACTAGTACCTCAATTTGCAGCCTGTTAGTTGTACAAAAAAAATGTAACTCGATTTTTTTGCTGATGCCGTGGCCACGATCGCGTGACACGTACTCGGAAGATGCCTCGCAGGCGGACTGCATGCTGGTCGCTCCCTTTCATTTTGTTTGCCGTAAGAGCGCTCTGGGGGCGACTGTATGTCACGTTTACTCATCTTTCTCTAGCTTTCACTATATTATCACCTTCAGGCCCTCGAACGGCAGTCAAATCCCGTGAAGATATGGACTGAGCCCCCATACAAGACACCCATTCCAGAGAAATACTATCATACGGCCAATACGACTCGACGTGCCAATGCTGTCATCGTTATGCTTGGTGCTCTTCCAAGTTCCGTTGCTTTTCGTAGATATTCATGAGAGCGTTGCAGCACGCAACAGCGACATCGACGGCGCCGAGAGCAGCATTGTTCAGTTCGAAACGACATTTAATCGCAAATTTGGATATCCTTACGTTTTCTTGAACGATGTACCGTTCACGGAAGAATTCAAAAGGCATTTTGGTGCAGCAATGGCTGAATTTCGGAGCTGATATTTTTGTTCAGGAGGATGCAAGGTGTCGTGAGCTCGTCGGCGCAGTTCGGGCTCATTCCAGAGTCGCATTGGCAGCAGCCGTCATGGATAAACGAAGAGAAGGCTTCACGGGCAAGAGACAAGATGGGCGCCAGACATGTCCCATTTGGTAGTGAGTTCATACGCGCTTACGGATTGTCATTGCTCTGAGACTGGCAATAGCAAGCGTATCGTACGTTCAGCCTCAGCGAAAAGTAATAAAAGTTTTTTGACCCTCCAAACAGTTATCGGAACATGTGTCGTTTTTATTCCGGAGTCAGCACATCACAATGTTGTTCGCGAAATGCTCATGGTTTCCAGTTTTTCTTCAGGCATCCCCTGCTCCTCCCTTATAGGTATTATTGGCGGTATGAGCATTGCTGCTGCAACGCTGCTGAGCCTAAATACCACCTGTAGACTCGAGTATGATGCTTTCAGTGTGGTATACACGGTCTGAGCCTTCCAGACCAGACGTGGAGTTCTTTTGTGACGTCGAGTTTGACCCGTTCCTCTTCATGAAGGGCGAAAACAAGAAATATGGTTCGTCAAGTCAGTTTAGTACAAGTTCAACAGACTCATACATCCCCTCAAGGCTTCACTATATCACTGCCAGACGACCGCACCACTATTCGAACGTTGAGGAGAAATGTCCGAGGTATGCATCCCTCTGGTTTTGTTCTTGCAGACTGTAGGCCATCCACCAGAGTTTGTTGATAAGAATCCCGACCTCATCTCGCCGGATAACGCCGTTCCGATGCTGCTTGATACGCGCAAGAACGGGATGAAAGAGTACAATCGGTGTCACTGTGAGTTGTCGACTACTCTGTGTGCCCAAGACTTATCAAGATAGTCTGGAGTAATTTCGAGATCGGCGACTTCGATCTCTGGCGCAGTGAGCCTTACATGAAATTCTTCGAGTTTCTGGACTCTCGCGGCGTTCGTGTCACAGTCCCAAACCGATCGCGAGTCAGTCGGTATTGACAACTTCTCAGGGCTTTTATTACGAAGTGGGTTCTTCTACGAACCTCGATTAGCACCCTTTACCGTCGGGTCCGCAGCGCTGGGGAGATGCGCCCGTGCACACCTTTGGCGCCGCTTTATTCGCCCGGAAGGATCAAATTGTCCGCAGACTCATTTAATATTCCGCCGATTCTCTGACTCGCTTTCCAGCACTTCTTCAATGAAATCGGTAAATTGATACCATGAGGCTGGGCGTCAATCTTAACAGAATGCATGTCTCAGGATATCAGCACGGCGCCATTGCGCACTGTCCCGAGGGCCCTGCATTCACCCGCGGTAAATGCAGATGCTCACAGGCGGCCAGTATCGGTGGGCTTTCTTCTCCAGAGTGCAGTCCTTTGTCGTGACTCTTACACATCAGATCGGAAACCACTTTCCTGCCTGAGCAGGTACGACGCGTTGTTTGAAGGAGATGTTTTGGTTTGATGTGGCAGTGCGATAAGATAATGACGAGAGGAATGGGGGTTTATTGCAAGTGCATGATACAATGATAGAAGCAACATTAACGGTAAGTAGGGGTAAATGCGGCATGACTGCACAACGGAGGGTGTGTGTGTGCGTGCAAATCAATTATTACTATGGGTTAGTATTCATCCATATACCCGCGACAACGGTCCCAAAGGCGGGCCCACCTTCCACCGTTCCACTCTCGGATCCGGGCCCAACCATCATTTGCTGCCATCCGTTGGATCCAAACCAGGACGGAGCACAAGGCGAAATCAGCATAGCTGACCTCCGCTCCACACGCAACAATACCATCCCCAACGCCGTCATTCGCGTTCTTGTCTAGAATCAGAGCAAGGAAGTCGAATTGCTCTTGTACCGCTCGCCAGGCCTGCTCTCTCTGAGGTCCAGGCGGGAGCATCTGTATGCCTGCGGGGGGAGACCCAGAGCTAGTGCTCGGGTGCCGCGTATGACCGTGGCTGTGGCGGAAGTGCGATTGACTGCGCTCGGGAAGGTTCTGCTGACTGAGAGGAACCATGATTGGAAGCAAGGGCTTAACAAACGCCTCCTGGATATAGTGGACGAAGAGTGTCTGGAGGGCCCGTGTGCCTCCCGGAAAGATCGGACGCGCAGGATAAGCGGACTCGAGATATTCGGCGATATTGTTTGGGTTGGTGAGGACATGGGGAGCTTGGGGGTTGCGGGTAGGGTCAACGATAGCCGGAAGTGTGTACAATGGCTGCCCGTCTCCCCGCATGGAGGTGGGTGCAGCCCCGATACTCCTCAATGTTGTTTCTATATCGGGAAATTCAACCCAAACAGTGCGGTAGCGGATGCCTTTGTAGTTCAGAATAAACCTGGAAGAACTGAGCCATAAAAATTGTCTGAAGGGTAGGTATATATACCGAATTCTCCATATGTTCGGTGCCCATGGCTGAGGGCTAGCAGACTGTAGGTCGTAGAGAGTGATGATCGGCGCCGCGGCGCGGGAAGCAGGGCGTCGAGACATGGTATGTCTACAATGAGAGTGGGCGTAGATAGGTCGTGATAGAGAGAAAGAAGGAGAGACCCATCCTACGCACCTCTTTAAAGACCGTGCAGAGTGCGCATGAAGCCGGAGATATCACAGCATCATTCTGACCTGGCGATAGTCAGAGGAAAAAATGAGTAGGGGCGTGGAAAAATACAGCACGGGGAATGGAGAGTGACGGTTCCGCCGAGATAGAAACGAATCTTTTCGAGGGAGGTCGACCAGAAAGGAACATCTGCGGAGGTTAAAAGACGGCGACTGCTGTTGTTTCCGCGGGTCTAAGTAATCTGAGAGACTTGAGGACCGAATGCACTCAATTGTGATATCGTTGGAAACAGTAACTGATAATTTCTTTGAACGAGTACTTTCAGTGCCAAAGAGCAGATGCACCTCCCGCGATGCGTTAAAAGCAAACGCAGAATCAACTTGCGCGTCCCGATGAACAGCCCATTGAGAAAGAGATCAAATGACTCAGACAGTTCTTCATCGTGAATCTCAGTGGTGACATAGACGCCTAGGAAGTACGGAGGAGCGTTGTTGAGTTGCAACAGTTTTGATACTTCGCGCTTTCAGAGTGGACCATTTTTGAAGTACGACAAATGCGGTGACAATAAGTTGGCTATAAGAATCGTTGCGGTTTCTTGGCGCCTATCAGCGGGAAAGAACGACTCTGAGGATCCAGCAGCGCTTGTATAACTTGAGATGCTTGCACAGTCTTTCAATTTTGGAAGCTTGGAAGGGTGGTGTCGGCGATGAAGTTGGCCGAATGCAAGGGTCGCGGTTGATGTGTGACTCGACGCACCCGTGACTGACGCGCCTCTCCTTTCTCGGTTTTGTTCATGGTGAACTTCGAATGGACAAGTGTGCAGCTCTTGTGACCTATAATACGCGCCTAATTTATGCCTCAGGTCCAGTCAGACGCGCCCCAAACCGTCTTTTACTTTCCCCAATCCCCAATGAGCTCTATCTAAAAATATTCGGTTTTCTGGAACCATCGTTGGAGACAAGTCCCTCCGAAAGCAATGCGACACTCTCGAACTTGGCAAAAGTATGCCGCTTTTTCTGCGTGTATGCCATTTCTCGGATGTATCGTTCCCTTGACCTCTCTGGAGAGTTGGATGAAGGAGCGACCAGCAATGGACATAACGCGCTTTGTGGTTTGCTGGCGAAAGGCGAGACTTATGCAAGCTCGGGCAGACCGCTCGACGATAGTATGGAACTCGCCCTACAAGTTGCTTCGTTTGTGGAAGAATGCACGTTTAGAGATTGGCAATCAAGCAAGCCTGAGCGTTTGATGCCAATGGCAGATGCATTTCTCGCTCGCAACGCGCGCGCTGTACGACGTTTACCGAAAGTCACCAAGATAACTCTCATCAATACTCCGCTCACTGGTCCGTTGATCCAGATGGCCTATAAATTAAGGTCGACGTTGACGACGCTTTGCATTCACCAGTGCCCACTACCGCAACCGTTATCGCAGGATGAACGAGCCCGCCTATCTAAACTCACTCTTTCCTCGCTTGAATTCTTCTCGGGCGCCCTGACGACGCCGTTCGACTTTCCTCCAGACACGTTACGATTGCAGAATCTGGTTACATTCAAAACCGACAGCGCTCAGTTGCGGGAGTACTTCTTCCGGAGACCTCACCCTATGTTACGTTGCTTGGAACTCGATGATATGCAGCTTTCCGAGATGCCCCTATTCTTTCATCGGCTCCAAAACTCCCCAGCATTGACGAACCTTAGCATCCTCAATGTCACAATCCTGCGGTCTGAAGACGATGACCCACCTAAAGTGCAAAAATTCGCGGATGTTGCGCTGCCCACACTAGAAACCCTTTCAATCCCCGCTCTATTACTCGACTCGTGTCTATGCCCGACCGTGCGGAAGCTTTCCGTTCTTGGAACTCAAAGTGATTTATGCGCTCCTGGTGCCATCGCTTTCGCAGCAGCGGGCATTCACTCTCGTCTTCCCCTGCGGACCTTTCCATCTCTCAGTCGGACCAGTATTACGCCTCGACAACTCACGACAAGTTGCTTGACAGAACTGCATATCCCGCAACCTATTTACTTGAGCATTCCTATCCATAAAAATCTTCCGACCCTCGAAGTCTTAGTTCTTTCTTGGTGTCATCTGAACTTCAATTGGCCTCCTCGTAAAGCTATCCACCATGTGAGTACCCGGTGATGTTCCATTCTCTCGAGTTCGTTCTATTCACGTTTTTTCAGCAAGGTATAATCGAGTCCCTCAGCGGCAAGGGCGTGTTTCCTAGACTGCGTGAATTACGACTTGAACTTTTTCACGGATTTTCGGATGAATATGCAGATTATATGAACTGGGACCTTGCAAAAGAACGGTCATTGATAACAGGTCACCTCTCCATGATGTTTCCTCGACTGATGTTCTTCACTCGAACACCTGTTTTCATCTGGGAACGCTCCGGCGACAATGCAAGGTGGAATGTCATCATACCTCACCAGTACAAAAAACTGGTTAACTCGAGGTAGTGTTTTCTTTGGTAATGCTTTCCGTTGGCGACGGATCCAAATTTGTAGATTACTTTCTTGAGCAAATCATAGCTACCACATACTCCAACCACGTCTAATACAATTTAAATTTGAATTTGCAAACAAACAAACACAAATTTTCTGGATTTTGACACAAATAAGTAGATTCAGAGTCCCATCTGTTTGTACACAGTGTCCACAGACAACATAGGGGATCCAAACCTGATGGAAAATCAGTCCTGTTAACCTGTGACCATCGAACGAACCCAAAAATCGCGGCGCCTTCCGCATAGTCTTCTCCTGGTAAGCGGTCTTCCGTAGCAGGCCACAATTTGCGTCTTGGATACATTAGACTTGATTGCAACGGTGGTGTAAATTTTCACCTATCGACGTAGTACGCCTGATGTTGGTCACCAGCACCATTGAGAGCATTATACGTTGCAAACTGGGAACATCGGCGCTGAACTCGAAAACAACGACAGAGAAACAGAGAACGCACAATTGCGGCGCGTCCTTTGTCAGTCTGGTTTTCTCCTGAACGATGGGCAAGGTGCGAATCAAATACCACAATCTGGCCACGCTCTAGATAGAGTGGAATCTATGACCATGTAATAACGTCTACGAAGAGACGATGTAGCTCACCCAAGTCTGGGTGGCAATCCAATCAGCATCAAGACAATGATCTTGCCCGACGGGAATGTTGCTATGAAGTTTGTGGGTGCCTGCGACGACCTGCCATTCTGAGTGCCAACCGCATAGGAAGCCTGGCGCTGGAGATTACCTCGAGGCAACCATTTTCGGCGGTTTGTGCATCCACGGCAATCATCACAGCTGAGAATAGACTTGTCAGCTTAGAATACCAGGTACAAAGTTGTGCATGCCTGCCACGTGTCCAATATTGGGAATTGTGATATCTATAGACCGTTTGATCAAGTACTGATACTAGGCGAGAGGACTTACAGGCAGGAGCGTCGGTCTTAATTGGTAAGAATGAGCTTTGTGGAATGGAAGTTCTGACTTACATGGGGTTTGAATCCACCCGACCTCGGAGCCTGGCGAATGAGTCGGTTTTGAGTGTTCTGATAACAGTTCACGGTGTGCATACCTTGTAATTGATTTTTTCCTTGAACAGCAGCATTTCCTCTCCGAGAAGACGATGAAGAAACTCCCGCATAGATTCTCCACGAAACAGCGTATTGAAGCCCATGTGATGTCTCGCATAGTCCTCGGTACTGCTCAGTGTGCGGTTACCTTGTTGGTCGAGTTCCTCGTAGTGTAGATATGTGGTCGGTTTGCGCGGTGCAGTCTGCAAGTTCTCTAAGTTCATTACAAATGGAGGTGCTGCGACGGCTCTGACCTTGATTTCATCGGTCCACGCAGACATATCATCTGCGAACTTTGGGGAGAGACTGTCCAGCACTATGAACTGGGAGACCGTTAGGAAGTTCGATGGCAATATGTGACAGACACACTCCATTTTGTGCATAGAATTCTTGCTGTTTTTGAGTGAGGAAGGGAGTGCTCTTCTGGGCAAAATTCTGACGAGGGCATAGTTGAAGCGAGTAAGCCGGAGGGAGCGAAGAGCGATGGCTTTTAATATGCAAGGGAACTGATAGTGATAGCGAGTCCTTCGCTTTTGGATCTACTTTGAGTGCTGTCTGGCAGGCGTGGTCTTCCCGCTGACAAATAATTCGTTGCTCGTAGAAATGGACGCATTATCGTGGTAAAGAGAAAGCCACCAGGATGTCGAAAGAGGAGCGGAGCTTTTTGGTTGGTTGCCGCGGACTTGCGTTGATACTCGCACAAAAACTAAAAGCATGGCCGCCCATGGCAAGGATGTTTGGACTCAGAATGGTGGGTTATTGGGATTCGGAATAGTTAACAAGGGAGTTAGCTGTCTAATATGTACTTGGAACTGAGGAACATTACTGGGATACCACGCGCAACAAAAGCACTCACATTATGCATTATGCCTCCCTCAACATCCGTTTTAGCTTTGACCGTATCCCCATTTTCACTGGGTCCCATGTTTCTCTGCTGATAACTGGCTCGATACGCAGGTTCGGTGGCCAGTCTTCCGGTGCATTTTTTTGTTGAGCCATCAGTGTTTCCAGCAAGGTTGGTGGTTTGAAGTCCTGAGCTCGAGGGGCGGGAGCAGAAAGAATCGTAGTACCGCTCGCTACCTTGTTGCGAGGAATGATTCGAGATGACGGCGACAGCAGTTGTGGAAGCCTATCCCGGTGGAACACTTGGACTTTTGGTTTCAATGGTTTCTGCAGTTTGCGCACAAGGCAGACTGGGGAGCTTCGCATCCTGAGTTGCAGATCAACCACAGAGGTGTGACGTGACTTCTTTCCTTGGCTGTTCTGCTCGTCGATGGAGACAGCAGGCAGCGACTCTCCCCAGCTCAGACAAACCGGAATTCTTGGGTCTTTTCTTGGACGTGGGAGACCACGCAACACCTCTCAATCTCACATTGACGCTCTCAGAGAACTGAGCCCTTCTCCGCCCACACAAGGACCACCTTCTCCCATCGCACCAGGCCAGCCTCGTCGCCGACAACCCCAGCCACAACCCACCCAGTCACCACAACCAGCTGCTCTTACACTTAGCCACATGCTTCGTCGTCGTCGCTCAGCGGGCAACATTGTACCCCCAGCCCAGCCGCCACCCATTCCACCAGCGCCAACTCCCCTCGCCGTGCCCAGGACAGCGCCAATCCAGCCCACATCCGTTCCACCCGCCTCATCCCATCGAATCCGACTTGTTCCGCATCTCGACTCACGTCGCAGTCTGCGCTTCGATGCCATCTCGCGGGACCTCAAAGCCTCCGATACCGCTTTGCGTATTGGGCGCTTCACAGACCGTTCGGGGATGGGAATCGCTGCGGTCAATGCCCAGAACACGAATAAGATTGCTTTCAAGAGCAAGGTCGTAAGCAGGGCCCACGCTGAGGTCTGGGTTGAGGAGGGCACTCCACCCAAGTTTTACATTCGCGATACCAAGAGCAGCAGTGGTACATTCCTCAACCATGTCAGGCTCAGTCCCGCCAATACAGAAAGGTGCGTTCTATTGTTTAAACATAACCTCCCTGCTGATGATCTCCCCCCCATATGAAGCCGTCCCCACCAGATCAAAGACGGTGATATTCTCCAGCTCGGCGTCGACTACCAAGGAGGAGCCGAGGACATCTACAAGAGCGTCAAAATAAGAATCGAGGTCGGTCGAGAGTGGCAATCTGCGGCAAATGCATTCAAGTATGTTGTCAATCTCAGTTCCTACCCAAACTGAGTACATCTCCAGCACCGCCGCTCTCAAGAACCTCAAGACACTTGCAATCGCGCCAAACGCCGATGGACAAGGGACTTCGACTGGCGAGAAGAAGAAACGTAAGGGCCTTGCGGCTTCGGGCATTCCGGATTGTTGCATCTGTGCGTTAAGATTTGTTTTCGCTCTCCAGCTTAGACTATGGCAGGTCTTTTCCCCGTCACTATTCGCCAGGCCCTCTTTCTTGCTCCTTGCTCTCACGCTTTCCATTACAAGTGTCTCCGGCCGCTACTTGAGACCCATCACCCTGCATTTAGGTATGTTCCGGCTCCGCATCTGTCAACAGTCTGCCTCGTTCCTTTGTCTTTGGCAAAGAGCTTTCTCTTTTTTTTTTGTCTCATCAATCATATTAGTGTCACTAACAGCCCTTTCTTAGCTGTCCACTATGTCGCTCATTTGCGGATTTGGAAGAGGATGTCGAGATAGAGGTGGAAGATGTCAGTGAATGATCTTGTTCGGAAACAAAGTAAACTGAAATTATTCTCAGGATGACGAAGAGGATCTCCTCGACGGTTTGGATCCTAATTTAGTAGCAACGCCGCATTCCGATGGCCCACATGCTGGTCCAGATGGCGGCTCAGGCGACGAGGGTGTCCTTGCAGACGACCTCGATGCTGAAGAAGGGGACGAGGTTGATCAACTTTTCCAACCACCCAGGTCCCGTTTTGGGAATGGGGGTGGAGGAGCAGAGACTGAAGTGGAAGATAATGGAACTAGTGGACTAGTTCCTGGAGCATTTTCACATACAAGCGGGTGAGTTTTCACCTGCCTTTGCTTATCCTTCGTTTCACTGCAACAACCCGCCGCTTCTTTGTTTTCTCTTCGTCTTATACCTCCCCAGCCGCTGACTATTCCTTTCCATCTTTCTCCTCCTCGACTTCCCCTTCAACACGACTAGTCGTAGGAGTGCACACTTTGAGCAAGACGTGCCGGTGCTTTCCGTGGACGACGAGATGATGGATGTTGAGTCGGGAGAAGGAAGTGGCAGCGGAGAAATGGGGATGCTCAATGGTGGTATCAGTGCCCATGCGCGACATCTCAGTCTTGGCGACGGCACTCTCGGGGGACCAAAGCGGAAACGCTAAGCTGTAAGGTCAGCCGGGGCGATAGGCGCCTTGGCAGCCGAATTCGTACGGATTTCTCTCCCTCTCTCATATCAAGTCGCTGTCACTATCCGCACCATCATGTCTTTGTACACTCCCTCTTTCCACACTTTTATATTTTCTTCTCATGGGTTCAGGCGTACTCGCCTCGGATTCATGGTTATATGACATGACTGTATACTGTAGTATCATGATATCGTATTAGATGCTGGTTAATGGCCAGAGGGCTGTCCTCGAATGGAAGGTGTGGAACCTTATTTGGACAGTATACTGATACATTGGTGAGTTTTTGCTCTAATCTACATTATATATACATTTGAGCTGAAAGTTGATTATGTCAAGTGTTGTCCTCAACTGATGACGATTGAGGCGTTGGCAGTATACCGTCGCGGAACACAGCACAAGGCTTGGAACGTATCTCTGATAGCGTGAGTTTGGGACTCTGGTGAGGATATCAGGGTAATAACCGGGTAACTCTAGAACGACGGACCAACGAGCTTCGATCCGGAGGCCAAGGTGGGCATGACATTTAGAACACGCTCAACAGCGCTGACTGCGTCCACCTCTTCCTCCATGTTCTGCAGCATCCCATGCGTCAAGGCCGAGAAAAACACTTGGCATGTTGCCATACATAACGTCTAATATAGAGTCAATGGCATTGATTTGAGAGAGCAGGATTGCTTACCCCAATTATAGGATCCACCATGCCGGTGCTACAAGCCTGGGATGATTCAACGAGGTCGTCAACAGTGGCCCTCGCCGCATCTAAAGCCCGTGTTCGTGATGCTTCGACCGCCAAAGGACCGATGAACGGGTTGTGGAGCTCGATGATGGCGACATGCGCTAGACATCGAATGAGAAGCCCGTCTTGGGGAGAGAAAGTATCCTGCGGGGGAAGACTGAACAAAAACTGATCGATGAGCGAGTTGGTGCTCGTGAATTCGAGGAGGAATGCATGGAGGTAGTTGCCATCGGCATCTAGACGACCAGACGTGAGAATGTTATATGGAGAAGAGAAGTTCAAGTACTAGGACGGAATCTCGATGATAAATTGGCGGCTTGTTCAAACAGAATGCTTGCTTTGGCTCGCAACGCAGTGACGGAAGTTGCGTTGCCACACTTTCCAGCCAAAAAATTAGCTATGCGAGCTGGTTCACTCCGATTCTGCTGATGGGTCGTCGGGGACTTTCATGATTAGCCTAACGACTTACTGGAGATACCTCGTTCCATTTTGCGGAGTTAAGATCGATTGGCCAAGGCACTTCGATATCAGTCTCGCTAGCAAAATTCGATGGTGCACCGTCTGCCGTGGTCCATACATTGTTCATGGTAAGAACTGTCCAAAATGCATTGACGCGTTCTGCTTGTCGGATAGAATGGACGGCTTCGGTTGCCTGGCAGAAAAACCGACCTCCTTGCACGAGCGCAACTGCTGTTGCAATGTGGTATTCTCCTTTGAGGAACAACGCATTGCGGAAGAAGTAAGAGGAGAGAAGGACCTCCACCTGGATGTGTTGCAAAAGCACGTTGGGACAAGTAGGGAATGGCCGTGTCGAAGACCGAAGCTGGGTCACAAGTGCAAGCAAGCGAGCTTCTTCTCGTTGGTTAAGGGTGCTTTGAGCAATGTTTAGAGTTGTTGCGTGTAGATGATGAGCCCATAAGCTGACAGCAGCACGGAGGATGGGCAGAACGGTATAGGAATCTGGTGAAGATTCTATGGTGGCTTGGGACTGCCCTTTTCGAGAACGTCCGGCCTCGCGGAATCGTTGGATATGCAAGAAGAAGCCGAACGTCTCTCCGTATTCCAAGAAGCGATCGATTCTAGTACTCTGGTAAATGAACCAATAGTCCAAAGAGGGAATTTTTGGACTCACAAGATGTCTAAACCAGGAGTGGGTGGGCTACTCGGTGTTTCCGATGAAAGCAAGGTGGCCTCTAGAGTACCTGGTCCTCATAAATGAACAAAATCAGGGGTATCGGATATACCTGAGCTAGGTATAAACGAGCTACAAGCCATCTGAGAGTAGTAAGGAGCTTGCAAGACCAGTCGTTCCCTTTCGGGCTTTTGAAGCTGTTCAATGCGTGCTTCGAGGATGGCTATTTGTTCTAGAAAGAGTGAGTTGGACTCAAAGGAGACGCGACAAAGCACCTTCGAGCTTTTCAGCAGTTGTCGGCCCATCTTCTCTGTATTCACAGTCCTTGAATGCTGACGAACGGAGACATTGTCGGCAATGAGGGCGGGCCAGGTCGCATTTCTAAAGAAAAGGTTATCCCGTTACGGAGACGGTATGAAACGCACTATTTTTCTGCGTCTGCAATTATGACAACTGGAGGGGTGATTGCGAGGACCGGAAGTAGCATCCTGCGATTTGCGCGCCATAGAAGAAAGTCAAATGCGCCTAAATCCATGGCTTTTTATGTTGCAGACAGGTCAGTGCACGAGTGAAGACGGGTCCGCCGCTTTCAGATGACCGTGGGCAGCAAAAACGAGCGCCCGTTGCGGCCCGCGAAGCCGGAACTGCCAAAACGGTAAAACGGCAACACAAATCTGTGGAGTTACCGGCCAAAGATAATCTACTCTTTGCGATTGCTTTGTATTTGAGTATCTGATACTCTAGTCATCAGTTACTGGACTGTCGGAGGTCATTCAGAAGCTTTATTTCTGACGAGGTCTGCTGGATGGTATTCCTGCTGAGGTGTCAATGACGTCGTTGTTGCACAGCTTCCCGTGCAACTAGTTTCATACTGATGCAGGATGAACCTTCACATGGATTAGGGGACAAGTACGGCCCTTTCAGGCGCCCATGCACAAATGGGCAATGCAGCGTCTATTTTTACCTGAGGCACTCAGGTTCTACAACACGTTTTAACTTTTTTGTGTGGCATCAAATTGACAGTTGATTGACAGTCATCCGATACGCCGTGACATGATGTGACCCTAGGGAGCACGTGCCATTCGTTTCTTGCCGCATCACAACATGCCATTCGCGTTCCTACCGTTCCCCTACTTGCATACGTTTGCATTGCCAAACCAACTTTTGATCCTGGTATCCTTGTGCATATTATCCTACCTATACCGCCCCTTCCGTCTCGCTGTTTTCGGAATCTTTGGTTCCTACGTGGTCTACATCGTTGGACGTTTGCTCTTGCGGTATGGGGTCTGCCCTTGGTGAATTGGTATCGAACTCACTTGAATCAGATGGGGTTTTGTATCGTTCAAAGCCATCGCCTGGTTTGGCTTCTATGTCAACTTCTTTCTTATTGGTATTGGATATATCGTCACTGCGGGGACTACACTATGGAATCTACCGGAAATGCTGTCAGGTTTTGTAGAGGGTATGGATTCTAAATAACGCTGGGGCTGCAATACTTGCAGGCGCGTGCCATAATGGCTCTGACCCGGTGCGTTATCATGTGTTCGTGCTATGTCCTTTTCCCATTCTTGAACAGACTCTTTTGGAGTGAGTCGTTGACTCGCAGCCACGATTGGCGCGGCCTTTGCTCACCGCGGTAATCCAGCTGCCGATGCTCTTCACGTTGGACTTGCAAAGTTCCGACAGCGATACCTTGATATTGCGCCAATATGTATACCACAACTCGAGTCGGCGTGTCAATGGAACCATCAATAAAAGGCCTCGCTGTACTCTTCGACCGCAACATCTCTTCTGCTTCTAAGTGTCTCTACACATGGCCCCAACCCGATGATACTTTGGTGCTGCTGTCGGCAGACTATTGGCCTGGCTACAATCCATTCCGCTCTACGATTGTGATGGCAGAAGCAAATGTTGTGTAGTGACTTCCTAAATAAAGGAGGAAGCGGATATCAAAGTCCCGCTCTCTGACGATACTCAGCAGCATGTTGACCTCGCTTGAACATACTGTAAAATTGAAGCGATCCGCAGTTCCACTAAAAATCAATATTCGGATCAGTATATCCCTCGGTGTTGATCTCGGCCTGATCGGCCATGCAATCAAGAAGTGTTGCCGCAACACCCGCTCGTCACCGCCCGAACTTGACAAACATTTGCCTTCCATTATCAGGCCAGAGAATGGTTACAACTAGCAATTCCGCGTGGACCTTTCCCGATGAACACAACTCATGAGGCCTTTTGAGTTGCATATACTCGATGTCGAAGTTCAGGCACCACGCGGGCGACGCTCAACAAAAACACCAAGATCCTCGGAAATGCGGTTATGTATGGTTCTTCTGCGCTTTCAGGTGCTTACCGCAGTGGTTAGACGCCGATTTGCGGATCTACTCACCACATTGGGCGGAATATAGGCAAATGAGTTTTCGCCGATGCCAAAAAGTGCCAAAGAAAGGGTGGGCAGGGTTCGTCTTGTTTATTTTCCCTTGAATCGAGCTGAAAGTCTCCATCCCGGTCGACGCGGTCAAATACACGGTCAAGTCCGTGCGGGTGTTATGGTGGTGTCAATTTCGAACTTTAGGCGAAAAACTATTCATTCACGTCTTCATTGATTGAATAGCCTGCTGAATCAGGCGGATCGGCCATGCAAGTCCTTAAAAACCTACATGTTGCACGCACACATTGACTCAGACCGCTCCACCCGGGCCTATGCCAGCCCTCCCGTTGACGCCACCCCCACACTTGTCCACATTACCTGCGGTGGCCAAATCTACGAATTGCGTGCTTCCTAGTCTCCGCCAGCTGTTTCCGCAGTACATCCGCCCTCAGAATAGCACCGAGCTTCACCTATTCAGCCCATTGAAGCACAACTTCAGCTCATCGCCTTCTGGAACCCCAAACCTTCACGAATTGGATGAACCGAGTATTTCTGGATCAAACCGAGAAACCAAAAACAGGACGTGTTCTGAGTTGCGGGTCCAGAGCAAGAAACATGGGTGCACGACCTGCGGGCGAACTTTCAACCGTCCGAGCAGCCTTGCGACGCACATGAACACGCATACTGGCGCTGAACGTGAGTATTTGCTGTTTGATCTTCTCATCGTTGTTGCTAATAAGCATTTTGCTGGGGATAACAGCATTTCGTTGCTCCCTAGCGGGTTGTTCTCGCCGCTTCAACGTAGAATCAAATATGCGACGGCATCTTCGAACACGCCATGGGGTAGATACTACTCGGATGTTTGAGAAGCCAGAGCCAGAGGTCAACCCCCCACTAACCTCTGGCGATGCCCCCCACTGGCACGTCCGTCAAACTCTCTCATCACGGGTCTCATTCCTGGTTCAACCATATATTGCGCTCCCTTCTGCCCAGCAACCACTTTCGGGAGAGTTGTCTCTTTTTTGCGACGTCGCGAGGTGAGGTTTCATTTGTTATACCATCGCCGGCGGCCTGAGTGGCCAACGTAAAAGTTACTGTTCATTTTGGTATATCACTGTTAGTATGGATTGATTGTTTTGGATATGTATGAATGACCACTGGCTGCATGATGAACTCTAGCCACCACAATAAGCGCTGAAGTCGGTCCAGCGGACGAGAGCAACTTGAAGTTGCTACGCAATTAAAATTTAATGGCATAATAGTACGAATTCCTCGGATCCGACTTGTGTACATACTGGAGCTCTCCCCACAATATAATAGTGATAAGCGGCCCTCTGGCTTTCGTCGAATAGCCGCCCAAATGCGGCGCGCCGCTCGGCAATAATAAGCGCTGGAGGTTGCTGAGCATCAGGGCTGTGGCTGCGCACAGAAGCACGTGATCGCGTTTCGGTATGACAAGCATCCATCAGCTTGGTTTTTTCTACTTGTTCCCGGCGACCAACATTCATGTCTGACCATCGATGCGAAACAGACTCAACACACTTTGTAAGTGTCGCCTTTAACAAGCTGAAGCGATTCATACTTATCTTATGTACTGTGGATGTCTTCCCGATCACCTGAATTGTTGCCACCTCAACACAACTTTACTATGAGATGCGAAACCCGACTCATTCACACACGATTCATGGTGTTGTCGATACCTAGCCAACGCAATGACACTTAGCATCCGCGTCAAACATCTCTCATTATTTACTGAACAGATCCCTCAGAGAACCATTTGTTTTCCGACCAGAGCCCGCCCGCCCAATGAGCGCAGGATCTCTCACGTCTCTCGAGACCTCTTATATCCGCACTTAGGCCTCTACCTCATCCGGTTCTGAGGACTGCTGGCGAAGTATCAAACCTGAGTTTGTCGAAAAATCAGGATCCAACGGCTGGACCGTTGCACTAATCATGCCTCACACATTGCTGTTGGTTCTGCTTGGGATACCTAGTGCGCACTCTTCAACCAACATACCACCTATTGATTTAGGACTTACAGTGTGTCTTTCACAAACTGCTTCACCGACACCAACCCCCGTCACTCTATGGCAGTTTGGTCAAGGTCGATTGGTGGGCGGGGTGATTACCCTCCCACTAGAGCCACTCGGGACCGCAAGTGGCGGCCTAGCCACCACATATCTCTTCAAAGTGCAAAATCCAGTCACGACTATCGTGACTGACCTAGACGGGCAATTCACAACTCTTGTGTCAGCCTCGCTTGGTATGAGCAACTCATACACTTGACTGGTTCACTCTGCTTAATGGCGGATAGCATCACGCACAGTAGTAGCCTCTGCATCTGGATGGATAGAGGGCTTTGATGGTCCAAAAGTCACGTACTCCTGCGCGCTTGTCAACTCTGCCTTTGGAGAATGTGCTCTTCTTTCGGGTGGTCATGCTACGGTTGTAAACAGCGGTTTACCCACGCCGGAAGTCTTCACAGTCTCTACAGCGCCCCCACATCCATCCACGTCAAAACCTAATGTTCGGATTATCGTCGTAGTGACGGTAACATCATGTTTGGCCGTCCTCTTCACAACTTTCATAACTATCTGGGTTCTAATTCTCCGACGTCGCCGAGCCAAACCAAATGCACATATTTTGGAAGCCAACTCTCGCCAGGGCGATGCCGAGCAAGTACTTGGGTACATTCCCCAAATATTTACCAAGGAGCGGCGAGATCACTCGGACGCTTCAAGCGGGTTGCGATCTGTCTCTCATTCCAGTAATCCTTCGGTGTCTGAGGAGCGCGCCATTCCAGCTGTCAATCTGTCGACGCCAGATTTGGCAAGGTTGTTGTATGAAAGGATGCAGGGCCAGTCACCTTTTTCAGAGCTGCCGCCTCCAGCATATCGAACGCCAGTGGAAAGGCGGGCTCGAAACGGTTTAAACCTATTGGTCACTTAGACCTGCGTCACGTTTTTCTTTTCCTTTTTGATTTTTTGAAATATAAATTTTCGTCACTACCTTTGTAGTGCGCGTTCGTCTCTCAGGTTCTTCAACGGACTGTTTGTACAACCGCTTGCGAAGGCCACCGTATCATCACGTCGAAGCCACCCGAGCGTCCAAGTACAGCAATTGACGGATTCTTGTGTCAATGCTGGACGATTGGGTCGAAAAAACCCTGCTCCGTCTGTCAATCAAGTGGAGCACTCGACCGCCCGCCGTCGAGTACCATTCGCTGCCTACCTCTTCATGACTCGCGGCGCTCGAATATTGTTGATCTTGCTTTCTGAGCAAGCGCTCAACGCAGATATAAAGCAGACCAGATGCTTTGGCAAGCCAGCAGTCTCCAGTCCTACCACTTCAGAGTACCTCAGTTCTCACAATCCCTCGACCAACTCCAAACCACCTTACCCATAATATGCTTTATTCTATCCCTCTCGTTTACGTCCTCGCCCTCGCCAGCGCAACCTCTGCGCACATTTCAAAGGCGCACAACTCTCCACTTGCAGCTCGCGATGGGGATCCCTCAAGCTGCGTAGCACCGTGCAATGACCTCAGCACCGCTGTCCAGGTGGGTATTTTCCACCTTGTTTATCTCTTCAATGTTGGTTAAAACATTCCCTGAAGAGTGCCAACGGCGCTGTCGCCTCCCTCTGCTCGCAGAACATCGTGTCCAAATACGCGAGCTGCTATAACTGCGAAGTCAAAGTCGGCAGTCTCACGCAGGCCCAGGCGCAAGAAATCGTGGACAGTGGGTCTTGTTTTTTCACGAAGTCATATGCGAAATCCTGAAATCCTGCAGCGTTCGTCAAAGGCTGCACTAGTGGCGGGCATACCCTTAAAAGTGTCACGATTTCCGGAGGTTCAAGTTCTGGAGGAAGTGGTGCAAGCGGGTCGACTGGCTCGACCCCAGATAATACCACATCCGACTCAGGATCGTCGGGCAACACCACTGCGAGCAGCGATGGAAAGACTGGAGATGCCACTGTCGCTCATGCTTCGACTCTCGGTCTGATCAGTGTGGCGTCGTTCCTCAGCCTCTTCTCTTTTGGGGTCTTATAATAGGGTTGACTCTGGACACCTCTAGCCTGTCATTTGAGTCTGATGTTAATAAAAAGATGGTATGGATAAAAATACAGTGAGCGAATCTAAGCAAATGAGACCCGAGGTAGTACAAAAGTCCGCCGGAATGTCAAGCAAGGAATTGTGTGGAGGGAGCAGACAATGCATTAAGATGAGTGGTAGATCTGTAGGTCAAGTCCAAACACCAGGACTACGCCGAGTAGGCGGGTGGGGCTGGGGTCATGGCATGTTGTCGTGGGGGTTGAGGCTTTTCGTTGATGGACGCGGCAGCTCGAGCGGCAGCAGTTCCAGGCCCTCTTGATGAGCCTGCTGCTGAGGAGCTCGACAGGGTTGAAGGACCAGACTGCGAGTCCTTTCCCGTTGTCTCACTCCAGCTCGTGGACACAAGGCTTGTAGTGTTTCTCGGTTCATCGCGATATGGTGTCGAAACACCGAACTGTGTGAGTAAAGGCTGGGCATCGGCCGAAATTGATGGGGCTGCTGGGTATAGGGGCTGGTGAGACACAGATGTCGGAGCAAAGAAGGGTACGACTTCAGGCTGCCGATTTTGCGCGTAGCCTGGGTGCTCCGAGTCGAGATTACCACCCCAAGAGTCAAAAAGGACACGACGGGAATGCGGCCGCGATTTGTCCTTCATCCGTCGACGGTAGAAAAAGAAGTAGAATGCAACAGCAGCTGCAATGAGGACTGCAATTCCGACACTAATCCCAAGAGCAGTGGTGAGTGTATCATTTCTTCTGGGAGTCGTCAAAGAAGCTGCGGAGCTAGTCGCTGAGCTTGCGGCCGATGAACTGGTAGCAGACTCTGATATCGAATTCGATGCTGAACTGGACGAAGAGGTATCATTATCCACCGTGTACCTGCGAAATGGGAGTTAAAAGGGACATGAGAGCTAATGAATGGCACACATGAACCCATCCACAATTCCCTCTCCTGTAGGCGCAATGCTAACTACCAACGTATGGAGGACATTTGCAAGTCCGGTTGCCGACCATGCTACACTCCATTGTGCGGATTCAGAACCTCCAGGAGATGTGGTAGATGCAAATGGGTCGGTGAGATTGATAGTGAAGCCTGGGCCATTATCGAGCGCTACATGTGTGTTGACAGAATATGGCCATCGGGGAGCGAGGAAATAGACGGAAACACCAGTGAAGGTGAGCGTGGCCGTAGCAGACAGGTCGCTACTATAGGTATGCGAGCCCCCAAAGTCTAGATTTGATTTGTGGTCCGTCGAGAGGTCCCATAAGCCACGATAGACAATGGACGTAGTGTCAATGTCGTCAACCGTGACATTCACCAGTCCATTCACCACCATCGCCAGCAGCGATAGTGGGAGGAGGTAAGGTCGCATTGTGGATGTATGTGAACCAGGAGGAGCGTCATGTCAAACGTCCTGGGCGTACATAATGCTGTGCAATAGGTGAAAACACCGAAACACCTTGTCTCAACCTGGTCTTGTTTTGGATGCATCGATTTCGTCAATCCTATCTATAGCGCGGTCGAGGTCGAAGAGCAAGTGAAGAGGTCATGGTGTGATCAGTCTTCCCACCCTTTTGATTCCATTCTTTCTACTGCATACGGGCAAGGGCTCTTTGTAGACGTCCGTTTTTTTCTGCTGGTCACGGTGAGCTGGCTATGGGCGGTCGCCAAGGTGCTTCAAGCTCTATGTATAAGGTTTCAAATTACCCACCCAGACACTCGTGAGTTTTGAGTTCTGATTCGCGGAGTGCTCATGCGGAGACCCGAAACTGCAGTTTTCTTTACATATGCTGCGCAACCTTTGCCTCTGCTGAGCTCTGTTATGAACCATATAAAGTAAGTAAGTGCCCCGTTGATATCGTTGACCTTTGCTAGCGCTCGACGCGCCCATGTGACTAACCCAATCGCAATCTGACCAGAGGATCTCGACCCTGCGCTCCTTTGTGGATTACCGATGGTATACTTCTTGTGCTACCTGGTGCTTCTACTCCCAGCCCGTCCAATCGCATTCACAGTTCGGCTTTCTGACGAAAAGCTTTGGAGCCCTGCCAGTGCCATCTCGTCTGGGTACATATCTTCTAAATATGTTCAAGACTTCAACTTTGCTTTAACCTCGAGTTCGCCGCCGCCGCGATAGGCGACTTTACGCGCAGGGTCGCCTCAGCATGTGGTCGTGTCAAGGCTCAAACTGGCAAGCCCGAGCCCCGGCGGGCCGGTCCGGTCCTCTCCGAAGTATGCGGTTGGGGCTGCCTGAGAGTAACTACGGCAGATATTGCGGCAGAGGAAGATCGGTGACACAACTTACTGCCGGAACCGTATCAGCAAAGGCACAAGCTTGGAAGGACTTGTAGTCTACTGCCACACCAAGTATCAGCAAGAACACCCTGCAATTCGCGCATTTATGTGTCAAGGACGGAGATTAATGCTGAACAGCGACGCCTGTAATGTGGCAGCTGCTTAAGCAATAGGTTCGACAACGTGAGAAGGCTCAAGTTACCTCATCGGACAAGTTATGTAACAGGTAAAAAAGCAAGATGCTGGCCGGGGCGTTCTGCAAAGGATGTCTCAACTCCACCTCCAGGTTTTTACCCGTTCCATTGGCGAAGGCTCAGCAGTCCCCAAGCCGAGCACCTCGTCGCTCCTGTAAGTTTTCTGTGCGTTTTGTAGACTTCCACGGCCTGAAATCGGTTAACAGTACGCTTCTGACCGCATCATGGCTGAACACCGCTCTTTATACGTTTGAACTGGTTCTGGCCTACCGCTACTTTACAACCCACTCTTCCAAATCGGCTGTTCCCGTATCGTACAAGATATGCGTCGCCCTCATCGTCTTCTTCGACACAGTGGCGACAGCTGGGGTTTTTACCCAACTTGCCATCATCCTTGGTGGCGCGATAACGACCAACTTGCGCTTGATTTTGGCACCATTGGCGGTGGGTATTTTTTCGACATTTGCGACAGCGGCGATCGTCCAGATGTTTCTATGCTATATGTTCTTTGTGTTGTGGGTGCTTTCTATTCCTAAGGCTCAAATCTCAACATCTGCAGAACAAGACACAAACTTGTGTGCTGTTTCGTGCTGCTACTCATTCTGGCGCACGTGAGTCTCGTCCCGTCTGTATCCCTTCACGTAAGAAGCATTGCAGTTAGCGCTACTCTTGGCCTCTGGAACGCTGGTCATCACCACAGAAAATGTCGTCGGAAGCGTTCTGACAACGATGGAGTTGGCATTTTGTGACGAATTTGTTTACACTTCCACTAATTTCTCCATAGGATTGGCTCGATCCTTTGTGTTGTGACAGACGTCGTTATCGCCGCGCTGCTCGCGTGGAGATTCAGCGTCATGATTTTCAGCTTGCCTGGAGAACGAAGAACGCGACAGTATGTCCCGATGCAGCAGAGTTCCTCAGGCTTTATTGACTTGTACTCCAGATTGCTAAAGAAAATCCTCTCGATAGTTGTCAGCTCTGGAATCTTGGTCGCGGTGAATACACTGCTCGTAATGATCCTCCTTTTGAAACAGAATCTAGGTTTGTGAAAAGTGATTGTCCCCGTATAAACCAACTCAAAGTACTTTCCTTCAGCATTCTCGTTCCTCTTTACCTGTCAGGGTCGAGTCTACTCTCTGACTCTACTTGGTAACTTCCTCGTCGGTATACCTGCTCTACAAACCCGAGATCCGAGTCAAAGTTGGGGGAATGTGGGAGCACTTAGCGCAGTTGTCTTTCACGCACGTACATCCAACCAAGGCTCTGGCGAAGACATCGAAATGCGCTCCATGTCAAAAGAAACTGCCAGGAACGGGGTCGCGGCTCGAATATCCATGGGCAACGTTAGTACTAAATTGTTAGTTTCCCGTTCAACTTACAAAGTCTGGCTTAGCGACGGCAGTCCATTCAAGTAGGCGCCTCTGCTTTCCATCCTTCCGACACCGCATTCGAGATGGAGAACACGAATAATAAGAGCTGAAGATACTTACTATAAACATGTGTGATGTTGGTTGGCTGAAGTATATTAGATACCTGTCTATAGTCGATGTGCTAGCCTTTATTAATGTTAATTAGTACGCGGTGACTTGCGAGTTTTGAACGAGGAATACGAAAATACCTAGTGGTGGGACGAACAAGGGACGAAGCAGAACAAAATTAGACTGTGATGGCCGGCCGTATCCATCTTGCTCTCATCCGCCATGTCGTTGCCTAGGGCCCTTCTCCCCCTTTCCTCCCTGCTATGTCTGGCCTCTATCGCCGTTGCTAGCACCAACAGTCATGTTGCTCGACACGCCGCTAACGGGATGGATATGTCAATGGACGACGGGATGGCGATGGCAAACGGGACCATGATGCCCATGCTACATTTCTCCCTTGGCGACACCCTATACTTCGAAGGCTGGGTTCCCCAAACCAGAGCAGCCTTGTTTGGAGCCTGTGTCGGCTTGTTTTTGCTTGCAATCGTAGATCGCTGGTTGGCGGCTGTGCGGTCGTTGGCGGAGGCAGGTTGGCGTCGAGAGGTTACGAAACGACTGGGAGCAGACTGTGACGATGATAAGAACAAGAAAGCTCAAGGGCTAATTAGGAGGATTCGGCTACAGGCACCACCATTTGTTCTTGCTCATGACCTGACGAGAGGTCTGTTGCATGCGCTCCAGGCTGCGCTGGGGTTTGCATTTATGTTGGCTGTGATGTGAGTAGTTTGCCTAGATTTGCAATCTCTCTAATTTCTCTCGAAGGACGTTTCAAGCTGCCTACATTATAACTATTCTCGGTGGGCTGGGCGTGGGTGAGATGCTGTTTGGGAGGTATCGTGCTGCGGCCGATGGAGCACACTAACATGCCAAATTATTGCCCACGACTGCATGTAGACTATGCCTTGTACAATATCACACTGACAACGACTCGAGATAAATGATAATCTTGGGTTCGTCCGCATTTGGACAAGATTTGGAAAACTTTTGCAGGCAAATCGAATGCGTCACAATCACGCCTCCGTGTCACGCGTGTTGTTGACAACCTCAACCTCTGCCACTCTGCACATGGACCTCCCAGGACGTTTCGGCACCGTAGCGCTCTTACGACAAAACACGATTGACGACGTGGTCACCTCTTTTGGTGTAGACACAGATGTCGTTTCATTTGGACGCGACCGAACTTGTTCTGTTCGTCTCTACTACCCCGACGTAGCGCCAATGCACGCCCGCATCGTGTTCAATGATGCCAAGAAAGCGTTTCTCGAGGTCATAGGCGAGCATGGTCTCATAGTCGATGGCTGCCAGGTCTTTCCCAACGTGGGTCCGACCACCAAGACCATCGCCCTTGCAAATGGGAGTGAAGTCCATATCCATGGAAAGAGATTTCGGTTCACGTATCCACCAAAGGACATGCGTGCCGCCCTTGCCGCCTCGCCTGCCAGTACGTTTCTGCTCGTATGTTTGCCACTTGTTTTTCTTGAACAATTTCCACTAGGACCCGCCAATCGCGCTTTACGACTTTCTATGATTGCCTCTGCACAAGTTTTTCTCTCCTCGTCCATCTCCCAACCCACGAGAAAACCTTAGAATCCTCCAATCGCCTATGCGCGCCCCACCACGTTCACCGTCACCCACCAAATCGAGGTTTAACACGACCGCCCAAGACGAAGAGTCTGAAACGATCACACTCGTGCAAGGCTCATCACCACGCGTTGTCGAGGAAGAGAAAGATCTCGTCATTCTCGAAGACGTTGAAGTCGCGGTTCCTAGCCCACAACCACAGCAAGTCGTTCTTCCGCCGGCACCGCCAAAAACTCCCAGACGACAGAGCCTACATCGCGCGGTGCTGATTAGGAGTGCTCATCGCGCTGTCCTGGCAGCAAATGCGAATCCTATCCCCACGACCAACTTTATGCAAGGGTCAAGCTTGGCACCGCGAACAGACAATGCTTCTCCATCCAAACCGGTAGCTCCAGTCTCCCCTACCAAGGGGAAATATGGTGCCCCTGCAGAGGATGATGAAACAGACAGCGACCACACTGATACTGAGGACGAAGAGGAAGAAGTGCGAGCGCTCGGGTTGGAAGTCGTCAGCGTTTCCAGCGGAAGTGAGAGTGAAGAGGACGAAGAAGATGAACCACAGCCCCCACGCCAGACTCTCAGCTGGCGCAAAAGTCTCGAGCGACTGTGGCCATTTGGAAGAGTCAAAGATGAGGTTAGTATTGTTCTAACATTCGTGTTACTCTTCTGAATCATTTTGGTTTACTAGGAGGAGGAAGCAACGCTACCACCAGCACCGGCACAAGACGACCATGACCATGACGAGGAGGAGGATAATGATGATGATGATGAAAGAAACGAGCTGCAAACACCAGTCGTGTCACCGAAACGCAAGACTATAATCACACCAGTCAGTTCTTGGTTCCCCGTTTTCTCAACTCATGGTATTCTTCAATCAGACGCAGCGCTCACCAACCAAGACCCCAACGCTTGCCCAGCCTCCCTCTCGGCCAACGACGCCGTTTGGCACTCGCAGGTCACCAGATAAGCCCACGAATGCTGGCGTACGTCGCCTTGATTGCCTTGTTTTCCATGTATCTGACCTTTTGTCCAGAATAGCACGCCATTTGGTGCAAGGTCGCCCGTCAAGACAACACCTCAGTCGATGTCCCCTCAGAAAAATAACTCCATCCATAACTTCGCGGTTCCGCATCCAGCTGCGCGGACCCCGAAAGGGTTCGGGAGACGAGGCTTGAGTCCAGTTGTGGATAAAGCGTTGGAGGTATGTTGCCGGTTTCGTTGTATTGATAGAGCGTTGATAATTGTAGAAGGAAGAGCCAATGGAAGTGGACTCTGAGCCTGACTCACTGTATGCCGGACTTGCAGAGGAGGCACGCTCTACCCAACAGAGGACGGTTACACCGCCACCGACAACGTCAACAACACCGACTACAATAGACAAACACCCGAAACTCAATCTCGCCAATTTCATGACGCCGCAGGCACCACGAACAGGTGCAAATGCTTTCCGCATCTCAAAAACTCCAAATCCCAATGCGGCTCCCGGTGGTGTTTCGCTGCAATTGCCAGCAAGACACTCAGTCGCTGGTGGAGCGCAACGAATCAGGATTGAAGATTCGCCGTGGAAAAAGCCTAGTAAATCGACGCAGTCTGTTGTTCCTGCTGCTGCCACGCCAGTCGCAAGTCGCCCACGGGTATCAGAAGCGGAACGAAAAGCGATTTCGGAGCGCAGAAAGAGTGCCTTGACGGCACCCGATATGTTCTGGGCTGCTGGCGCTCCGGGGCTTTCGCCGCGCAAGTCTCCAGTAAAAAAGATCGAGAAGCTGGACGATGTAGATGAGGAAGGCCTGAAGGAGGATAAGGATGCGACAAGAATGTTGCGAGAGATGATGGACACGGTGGATGTGTTGAAGAGGAGGAGGGAGAGCATTATGGCTGATGCTGCTGATCGGAAGAGCTTGGGCGGTGGTGGAGTCATTGGGCCTTTGTTGTTTGCGAGCGGGACCAGGTCTTTGACGCCGGCGGTGACCACCAATGATGACGATGATGATGATATGGATGTCGATGTGCCCCCACCGACAGCGCACAACGAAGAAAGTAGACCTTCGCCCTCTTTCTCCCCTCTCAAGCAGAAGGAAACAGCTGAGCTTGAAGGAACCAAACCACCCTCTCGACGCGGACGGAGCAAAGCTGCGGCAGAACCAGAGCTTGAGGCCGGGCCTGACGAAGCAACCCCATTGCCTGAAATCGCTCCAATAACGACCACCAAGACCCGCCGTGGAAGATCTGCTTCCAAAGAACCTGAAAGCGAACCGGTTAAAACAAGGCGAGGACGATCTGCTGTAGCGACGACTGTGGGTCAAGACAATGAAGACGATGCTCCCGTGGCTACGACACGCAAACCGCGAAAACCGCCCTCAGTCAATACATCCCAGCCGAGTTTTGCACCTGTCTCAGAGCCGGTGGCCGCGAGACGTGGTCGTGCGGCTTCAGCAGCGCCGGCCAGTGCCCCAGAACGCAAGACCAAGACCAGAGCCCGATCACGTGCTGCTGCTGACGAAGAAGATGAAGAGATGCAGGAGGATGCTGAGATCGAGGTAGTGAAAGTTGTTGCTCCCACTGCGAAACGAGTTGGAAGGACGGCAGCAGCTGCAAAGAAGGTCAAGGAGGAGGAAAGTGATCCTGTTCTGGGGGCGACAAAGGCTGCGAAAAAGACACCGGCGAGAACGACGAGGAAAGGTGCTGCAGCAGCGTCTGCGCTAGCGGCTGTTGAGAAGGAGAATGCGAGTGCGTCAGAAGAGGTTGTGGAGACTGCAAAAGTGAGGCTGTCGAGGAGCAGGAAGGCAAAGGAGGGTGTCAGTGAAGTTGTTGTTGAGGTCGAGCAGCCTGTTGCAACTGGTGCGGCGAGGCGGACGAGGACTAGGACGAAAACGTGAGGAGGAGGATGCACAATGGAATGTCAAAGTTTAGCATCGAATATTGGAAAGCTTTTTTTATGATCTTAGTTAAGTATGTATGGGATAAACCGAGCACTGGCTGAACGAGCGTTTGATGTCATCACATTGAAAATCGCACGGTGCGCAACTATATCCACAACCTCAATCGTCATGACTGCGTATACATGTCCTAGTGGCTATAACAGGTCCGTGGAATGAACTACCATTGAACAACTTATCCCTTGCAAGGGAATCTTTCCCGTTCCAGGCCGGATGTTTTGACCAGTCGATTGAACGGCTCATAACCCAGGACAGCCTACGCGACGGCCGCTGAGCCGTTTCTGACCAATCTATATAGACACGTATGGGCTCGGTCCTTGCTAACTCGCGGGTTGTTATTACGACTGGCCCATCTTGCGGAAATCAGTCTTTCGACATGGGCCAACGGAATCCCTCTGGCTTTCTATTCTGGAGATACCAGTGATGCAAGTTGTGTATGTAGTCGATTGCTTTCCAGTGTTGTTGCAATCGATTTGACTCCTAGGTCACGGTGTTACGCTCCAAACCCACTTGTTATTGACCCTCACTCACATGCCTCTACTAACGATCGCGACTGAGGTTTTGCTCTTAATCTGCGAGGAACTCACAATAGAGGATGTGCTCTCGCTCCGACTGGTAAGTGCTCATCAGCAGTGTCACTTCACTAACCCAAGCTAGACATGTCATTCTCTCGCTACACTCACCCAGATGAAGATCCTCTGGACACGCCGCCTGACCGAATACGTGCACAACTGGGCCCACATCGCGCGCTATCGGCAGCTGGACGCACGTGACGTGGAACTTGTCATCCGGCGTCTGGCTGTTCTGCGGCAACAAAAGCTGACCGGCGACCTGACGCCCGCGCGCACGTGGCGGCATCACGTGGGGCAGCGCATCCGCTGGCTGGGCCTTGCGCGCTCGCGGTGGCTCTTCGTGGCGGCGTCAGACGGGGACATAAGCAAGATTGCGTGTTGGGACCTGGCCCGAGTGTTCAAAGGCAATGAAGACGACGCTCCGCTCGCCACGGCGTTCCTCCCCTCACAGGTTCACACCGCCAGGATGGAAGAACACGGTACGACGGCTGTGCTCGCCCTCGGGCTAATGGACCCGTGCGCGCGCGTTTGTTTCTGAAACTGCTCAGGGGCTGATGACCATGCAAGGGTTGTTGCGCTGAATGTCGTGTCTTTCGAGCTCGGAGCGGAACGGGCGACATTCAACAGCATCCGGGTGTTCCCGGAATCATCGCATGTGCTGTTTCTCGAGGGCCGCCTCGTCGGATGCGCTATCCGGAACGGCGCCAACGAGCCGCACGTGGTCGACTGGGTCGCGGGCGATGTGCTGGCTGCCGAGCGGCCGCCCAGTCCCATGGCTATCCCGGGCCAACGGGTAAGGACTTTTCTTTTCCCTCAGTTAACAAGATCTTACAAATCTTTCAGAGTGTGCCCCATCTAATGGCTACATTCAATAATAACTTATTACTCGTCGTTATCCGCAGCGAGACTGTGGAAGTATACCGTCGGTATGCTGATGGGTACGCCTTTCACACGTGCCTGCGCTGTGTGCCGCCCATTTGGGAAATTGTTCGGCCTCTGGGACAGACAGCAGCGCTCCAGTTTGTCGCCTTGACCGAGCATGGCGTCGCACGATTGACAATCGAGTCGAACGACGAATTTTGCCGCGATATCCGCCTTTGCAACACCCTACTCTATCCAATTCCCGTTGCTACTTGTGACGTATCATTCGACCCTCAGGCTTTCCGCATCCATGTCGGCCGGGCGGCACGGGAAGTCATGTGGATGTCCCCCTCACCTGCATGGTCATGGGGGTATAGTATTACAGGCAAGGAGGCACCCACAATAGTCGTTGCGTCTCTGCCCACAGACCTGCCAGTGGACGTGGAGGATGACCATAAAATGGCTCTAGATGGTTTCAAGATCTCGTGGAGTGACAAGAGCCCCCACGCGCCGGCTTTCTGGGGCACTCCCTGTCTTGATCTGGACGAGGACGCTGGCCTGACCGTACTGGGCACGTGTTTTGGAGAGCTCGCTGTGTACGACCACCCAGGCCGGTACGGGCAGCTGCCTCCCAGTCTTCGACTTCCCGCGCCAGAATGTAAGACTCTTGCATTCCAAAATGCAGGAGTCCTCCCTATACATCCGATTTTCCTCGGAATACCCCCCGGCCCGACGCTACGCATGTCAGTCGATCAGCTCGCGCGGTCACGTGCTGTACAGTGGGCGGGCGACGCTTTCGTCGCGGAGGTGGATCCACTGTGGGGGACGGCCGCGCGCTTCCAGCCTGCGCCCCACCCGCCGATGGAGCACTACGATAGCACGCCCAGTGGCCGTTTCTGGGATCAGGACACATGGGCCGGCGGGCCGTGTGACAATGCGTGGTGGCTCGCCGAGGCGTACGGTTTCCCCGGCACGGTCCTGCCACAGGCATTCCGCGATGAGAGCGCGGACGGCGGGGACACCTTTTTCCTTGTTCTCCGCCTCCGCATCACCAATGCTGACCCCGATGCCGGCCCACTGTTTGTTGCGACAATGTCGACAAGTTCCCTTGAGGAGTATGAGTTCTGTGCAGTGCTGGCACAAGGAATCGACTGGGGTACTGAGTCAGAGATTGACGAGTATCTCTTTCGTCACCGTGCTGCCAGTGGGACAGAGTCACAGCTCCGGCCAACAGCGCTGGCAGAGCGGCGGGCATATTTGCTTGGGATGCGAACACACTCAGGCTGGCAGCGTAAAAATAAATTGGTCAAAGCATGTGCATAATCTGAGTCCATTTCATAGAGCTCGGGGTAATATTCCGCGCAACATCCGGTGGAAAGCGGATGCACCTAAGACAGTTCAGATCACTTAGCTTAATCTGTATTTAAGTCAATTGGTGTAATGCATATGGAGTTGAAATTCAGTCAGTCATTGAATATGCTGGTACCAACTCCTGAGGCACTAGAGGAGCCAAGTGTCAGCATTTTTGATGCACCTGGCACGCCACGGCCTTCACGAACCAAAGTCTGCATCTAATCTGATTTCAAATGACAGAGCTCTGATCTAAGCACAGCTAATTAATAGTTTGATTGGCCGGGCATACCGTGCTTTCACGCAAGCCACATTCCTTCAGATAAATGATTTCCTGGTGCATTGCCGGTAAGCAGACATTTAGTTGCCCTTCATTTGAGTTCAAGTTACTCACCTCCCTTAATTTCAGGGACAAGAATTCGGTCGAAAGTCTTAAGTCCCCGACGCCAGGTGCGGGATCCTTGGCCCAGGAGTCAAGCCTGTTAAAATCGCTTGAGCTCCCTACAAGGAAAGATAATGAGACAGTCCGAATCCACGATTTGTGGAGCTTGGCAGGTATGTCAAGTCACTTTTAGTTGAGCTGTCATTTAAGCTGAAAATAAAATGAGGGTACATTACCAGCTGGGGGGAACTTTTCGACCTACCTCCAGACAATATGTTTGAGGTTGAGATAGGTGGCTGTTTCCATCTAGCCCTTGATAATTATGTTGAGTGGATCAAAACCCTCCGCGTTGTTAAAACGGAAGAGCCCGAGCGAAGCACCGAGGCAGCAAATAGTATGCCTACAACGGCTTCACTTGTCATAATGACATCGACGCAGGCATCTGTCAGAGTCTCGGCTGCCTTGACTTGCAATGCACCATCTTGGCCTTTTGGACGGCTTCGCAAAGCTATCCACAAAACAAACATTAACCATCTTTGTGCACTCACCCCCAATGCTGGCACAGATTGGGAAGATCCTCACCGGTATCCGCGCTGGTTAGCACATGACGGATCAGTAGTCAAGTTCACGCACTGTGCAGAACCAAATGCACTGCTCCTGTGCGTATTTTATATTTTTAGTTCAAATGTTGTCTAAACTACAGTTAGGCTTGACCCCTACCACCAAGATTATCAAGGAGCATTGGTAACTGCTCATGTCATAGCAAAAGGCACAAACAAAGGAAATGCCATTCCAGTGTGTCTCAATTGTTTGCACATCGGTCAATGTGTTGCTGTTCATCGACGCAGCCTTGACAGCAGCCTCCCTTCCGGTGATCTGGTTGCATTTCAGCTTCGGGATACCAATGATCAATTAGAGTACCCAAGCAGCAGCACCTGCTCGGCTCAGCAATGCGAGAACCTAATCACCTCTGCTAACGTGGTGCGATGTCAAAGTTGCCTTCTTGCTGACTTTTGCAGCAACATTTGTCTCGATGCCACCCCCCCGCATAGCTCCGAGATGGCTAATGACTCAAAATGTGCCTATAAGCGTCAGAAACGCAGCCCACATCATAGTAAGCATGGTTCTAGTCAATATGAACTGCACTCACTCGTAACCAAAGCAAAGGGTTCTGCCCGTCGTGTATAGATCATGTACATAGAACCCCTGGTAGCTTTCCCTCGCACTGGCAAGGTCGAGGGTTTTGATGCACCCAGGCAATATATAGATTCATAATCTTGTCGTCCTCTGTAAGTGTCAAGTGTGTGACCTGGCGGTCCCAGAATAGCCTCAGCACAAGCGGGACTAGCCATACAAGTTGGAGTACCCATGCTTCGCCAGCCACTCCCGCACGCCGTCACCCGACTGGCGATATCTTTCAGCCAGAGTCCGACAGTCTTCGAAACAGACGCGCGGTTAGAGACGAGCATCATGTCAAGGCGGTGGAGGAGAGTTCGGCGAGGAGCGAGGGGAAGAACTCTGTCGCCGGTGCGCAGCTCGGTGCAGATTCACAACCCGTTCAAGTCATTCAATGAGCTTTATGACTGCGTGTCTCTGCGTGTTCCTGTTCTAGTGGTGCCAACCAGTCCAGAACTACCATCGAACAACTTATCCCTTGCAACAAGTTGCAAGGAAATCTTTCCCGTTCCAGGCCGAAGTCGATTGAACGGCTCATAACCCGAAAATTGTCAGGACAGCGTATGTACGCAACAGCCACTCAGCCGTTTCTAATCAATCCGTAGACACGTATATGGGCTGCAGCTCGATCCTTGCTAATACGCGGGTTGCTATTACGACTGGCCCATCTTGCCGAATCAGTGTTTCGATATGGGTAACGGAATCTGGTGGTCCGTCGGCGACAATGCTTGTCTGTCGAAGGCGAAGGAACCCCGCTGCTTTGCTGGAGCAAAGGCTTGCTCGATGTCGTGCTGGATGAACCTGTGAGGGAAGAAAGGAAAAGAACCGTCATGAAGGAGGCTCATGAAGGCCTCCATAAGCGATGCAAGGACATGTTGGAGAGCGCTATATAGGCGCGATGCAGTATGGGTGGCCCGTGCATGGGATATGCCGGGCAGGAGATATTCCGGACCGATGTCACGTGCTCCTCAGTCGTTTCCCATCCACGACTGAGGTATGCCGTTCCATTCATTCCGTAGCTACCTACTTATCATTGTAGTCTTCTACAGGTAGCTTCCTATGGAGTCGTTTCCCATCCACGACTGAGTCTTCTACAGGACAATCATTCCCTCTTCCGGGCTATCATAGAGATCTTCAATCCTGGAGCAGTGATTTGCGCGCTCTCTTCGATGTATTTACTAACCTCTTTCTCAGCACTCCCGCGGGAGCTGACGCGTCGAACGCCGCTTTCCGCGTAAACGGCTCATGGTCACAATAGGCAACAGTCATGCGGGCCACCAGAATATTTTCCCCTTGCCAGTGGACATACGTGGACCTCACCAGTCCATGATCCTTGCCATAGTCCACACTGAAACTCACTGATGGCCCAGTTATCGACGGGCCGCAGCCGCCAATACGATCCCATACTATCAGATAGTGGGCAACCTCGCTCGCAATGAAATTAAATCGCTGACTAGCATTTACCTCCAGACAAACAACGGCATTTTATTGGCAGTCAAGTCTTGACTCCTTCGACTAACTTAGAGCCATATCCGCCGCCGGTACCGCGAACTAAATTCGCTGCTCTCAGGCTCGGCATTCAAACTCGGCGTCAATCTGGCAGAGTCAACTTTGCAACATCTCTGTTTTGATTCCGTCTGTTGTGCCTGTCGACTTCCTCATGACGTTATAGTCTAAAATTGTGAGGACCACCCTAGTCTTGAGAAGTATGCGACCTTTAACTCTTCACCTTAGATAGTGTTCCGCGGCGCATGAACCCATGAACCCAATGAATTTAAAGAATGAAAACAACAACTCGAACAAATTCAAGAGCAGTATTTCCTGCAGTTACCCGCGGATATCGCCCGTCCATGCTAACAAAAATATCTTGTCGATCTGCTCGGGTGAGGGCCTAGTCATAAGGAGTACCGGCATCCGCAGACCTTACTGGCAGACCGCTGATCGGTGTGCGTTTGTGTTGAACCCACCTTGGGCCGATCTCCGTTCAAGTCCATATCTCGTCAAACTACGGACGGGGGAGTATAAAAAGCAAGCATTAGGTGGGAAGAATCATCGTCGTAGCATCTCTCTGCGATATGCTTTCTTTTCTTGCTCCTCTCCTTCTCGTTGCGCCGTCAACGCTTGCTGCCATCGGTCCCAATGCCGATGTTACGCTTCGTCAACGCCAACGTCGCCCCCGATGGCTTCAGTCGCTCGTGAGTATTGATGTCCCCCGTTTTTTGTGGTCTTGACCCTGTTGGACAGTGCCGTCACCGCGAACGGCCTGGTCCCCGGTCCACTAATCACTGCGAACGTTGTATGTAATCGTACGGGTCTACCTCCCGGCCAGTGGCAAGCCAGTGGTCGTTGAACTCTATGAAACAGGGCGACCAGTTCAACCTCAATGTCATCAATCAACTGACTGACCATACTATGCTGCTCAGCAGCTCGATTGTGCGTCAAACTCTTGCAAAAGTTCATATGGGTTAACCCGCTTTTTAGCATTGGCATGGTGCGATCTAATTCAAGTTCGGTGGGCACGGCACCCAGATTGACGGTATATATCAGGTTTCTTTCAAAAGAACACTTCTTGGGCCGATGGGTAGATCTGTTCTGTTTCCTTGTCAAATTTGGATTAACTCCGTTGAGGCCTTCTTTCGTGACTCAGTGCCCTATCGCTGCAAATGACTCTTTCCTGTATACTTTCGAGACCGCTGGGCAGCCGGGCACGTATTGGTACCACAGCCATCTCTCTACTCAGTATTGCGATGGTTTGCGGGGAGCCATAGTTGGCAAGTCGCAGTTGGTGATTGAATCTTATCTTATCAGTGATGCAGTGTATGATCCGAATGATCCACATAAATCACTTTATGGGTACGTTTTTTGCGTTGATTTGTCGATTTTGTTGCTCTTCCTCCCCCGACGCACGTCGAAAGGAGCCTCCGCTGGTCGCGGACCTCGGCCTCCAGTACTGGCTGGACCTCTCAGCTCACGACCACCACCATCAAAATTTTGATGGGCCCAAAACATTGGGACCTTGTGTCTATAGATACAAGAGGGGATGGTTTGGTATCGTCGAAAAGACGAATATCTAGTGAATGAGGCCTCAGAATAATGCAAAAGTGCCTTGCACATGGGCATTGCTGAAATTGTTGTCTGGTTACCAAAGACCAATTAAATGACGACGACACCAAATACCAATTGCCAGATATGTTTGGGTCTGAGTCTTGGGCCTGTAATCTGTGAAGTATGAAGAGAGGTTGGGTTGGTGTGTGTCGCCCAAATGGGCGCGCTGGTGGTGAATACCTGACAATGGTAGTGTACCGGGCCAGCTAAGAAATGGGGCGATAGGCAATCGGTTGCGTGCACTTTCAAGAGCTTGGTACCTGGTTGGTACAGTGGAAGAGTAGCGTAAAGGAGCCTCCTGGTCCTAGGCACTGATACCGAGGAGAATATAAACAGCTGGTAGCTCATGAGGAACACATATCATCCTTCTCTCTTCGTGTTTGCTGGTGGCTGGCCCACAATTGCTTCCCCGGTTCAATCTTACTGTGCTTGCTCTATCTGCCTACGTGCTAGCGCGATGGCTCTTCTCAATCATTCCCTTATCTCTCTTGATCCCGACTTCGACCCAGGTGTCGACCGCATCAGTGGGCCAACTGCTCTGCCTCCCTCCCCGCGGTGCTGGGTGCGGACTGCATTCAGACCCCAGTGATAGAAAGCGGCGGCGGCCGACTTCAGCTGGCAATGGGGAAACTGTGGTCGATGTTGGCAGCACTGCGGACGTAGTGGCTGCATCTGTGGCTCCGGGAAAGACGTGTGTAAAATGAACATGGCTCACTGATTCTGACCTGACATCGTTTGGTAGTTCGCAGGAGTCAGGGGTCGGTGTCGATGCTACTGCTCTAGCAATGGCTCTCACCAACCTCTGTGTCTGCGGCGCCTGCTTCTCAGAGCTCAACTGGTGCTTCTCCCTCGGTTGGCCCAATTCCGACAAATAAGCGTAGTATGCGGCGCTCAACGACTGCCTCCTTCAACGCCGCCTTGGCAGCAGGAGATGTTCAGGCTGCTGCTGTGGAGTCAGGCTCAACGACGACAGTGGACAACAACTTTGCATTGTCATCTCTTGGTGGCACCCCTCAGCAAACAGGGGGAAAGTGTTGCGGCGCACCGCTCGCGTACCGACGCAAATGCAGGTATTATGGCGAAGAAACTGGTGGCCCTGCAGTCGGATGTTGCCTCCCGCGATGTTGTGATAACTCAGCGGTTGCAAGAGGTGACCTTGTTGTCCACGGAGCTGCGTGTTCAGTCGGAAGGCGCCAAGAGTTCGCTGGATTCGATGGGTCGCCAGGTTCAAGACATCCAATCTAATCTCACCGATGTTTACACGACATTGGGCGCCTCCGTTCGAGCGGGCAACGCCCTCCTTACCAGAGTGGACAACTTGACTGAAAAGTTGGATTCGGTCGTTGCGGCAATGGATCGTCTCTCTCGCCTTCCAGCAGTCAGTACCGCGAGTGCCTTGCCTGCCGCAACTGCCTCTTTACCCCAGGTGGCCACTAGCTCCAATCCACCTATCACTCGCTCGTTTAATGATGCCTTCCCCGCGGCCCAAGTCATGGGCTCGATTGCACCTGAACCGAAGTCCAAGAAGCGAAATACTTCCTCAGCAGGTCCTTCAGCGGGTAATGCACCTAATAACGGGCGGGTGGATGTTCTCGTTGCTGGAGTATCAAAGCAAGGGAATGCTTTGCCGTTGGCACTGGGGCTGGTGGCTTGTTTCCCTTCAATGGCTGGAATCAAGCGACCGGTGCTTTCGGCAGTACGTGCCGAGGGCCACGACGAGACGATTAGTATCCGCTTCAACTCTCACGCAACAGCGCAAACGTTCCTGTGGAAAATGCTTCATGAACAGCCGGCGGATGCGCGTGGTCAGAGAATGTCGGCATCGTTGGCTCCGGTGGTTACATCTGACCCTTGGGCTAAACTGCGTGGAGACGCTTCTGGGTAGATATACTGCTCTGTTTGGTATATCTCCTTACTTAGTATGCTGTATGTTTTTTGCAGACTTGCAATCTCCTGTTGGAATATACATGGAAATTTGCCTCTGAAATTGACGCAAGCAGACATCGTCGCGCTTATTGAGGCTAATGACGTGGTAGCTTTCCTGGAGACATGGATGCGTCAGGAAGAAGAAGAGAGTCTGCCAATTCCAGATGGATACGATGTGGTGGTGCGTTCCCGAGCGGACTATGAGGATGGTTTGCAGCAGCATGGCGGGTTGGTGGTAGTGCTGAAAGCAGACCTAATGTTCACAGTGCTCGAAGATTTGTCCACAAGTGAGCAAATTGTTCTCGACTTCTCTTACTTCTATGTGGTCTTTGCATATCTCTGCCCCGAGGGTTCCGACTGGGAAAAATGGACTGACATGGATCCTAAGGAGCGAATCGCGGAGGCTCTGGCTTACTGTCGCGTCAATCGGCGGAAACGGTGCTATTGGCTCGGGGATCTGAATTGTCGTACGGGTTCGGAAAACACAACAACTGTTGTCTTGCCTCGCTCGTCTGTCGATGTAGTACTGAACACGCGCGGTCGTTGGTGTCTGGGTCTGGGCGGAGAGCTGGATTTGGTGATTCTGAACGGCTCGGAGTACGACGCTGATCAGCCTGGCAAATGGACTTCCTGTCAAGCAATGGGGAATTCAGTAATCGATTACGCTTGGGTTTGCACCGATGCGGTCACACAAGAAACCAAACCCAAATTCGTGGTGAGCGATAAACTGCGGAGATGGTCCGATCATGCAGTAATATCGTTGTTTGTGAATGAAGAGGTGGACATTGTCGCTATGGATTACTCGGCAGACATGTACCCGCAGCCACCTCCACGCAACAATCCCGACCCCCACCCTGAATTGGATGCGTTGGTGGACTGGGCCTTGCGCTCCGCACGCTCCGCAGAGCAGCAGAATATCGATTTCTTTGGAGAGGTGGTGGTATCGACCTCAGCGTTAAGTGTCTATATTGCCGCGGGGTCTCGGGACGGGGAATGGATACAAAGTCTTGTGGGGTACTCTTCATGGGTGACTCGGCCGCAGGAAACAGAGCTTTTGGAGTGCCAGGGCGCCAAACGGAAGCTCGTGCATTACTGATGGCCGTGGCAGTCCTGGCTTCGACAACACCGTCTTACCGCACGTTAATCGTTTACTCGACTTCACGATACATCATCCGCTTGTTCTGCTACTGGGCCGGGAAATTGGCCACACGGGCCTGGGACTGTGCAAATCCAGACTTGGTGCAACTGGCCGCAGAACACTTGCGTGGGAGAGCGGCTGCTGTAGAGTTCCGCCATATTCCTGCCACAGAAGCACCGACAAAACGCACACTTGCGACGCGCGAAAGCAATGGCCCTTCGCGGAGCACGCAGTAACACGACAGTGGTGAACTTGGGCATACCGAGGGTGAAACCTGTCAATATTGACAAGCCAGTTCCGTCTACTACAGGTAGCGCTAAGATCTGGTCAGCACTGCCAGAGGTAGACTTACGGGAGCGACGGGTAGTGAGGGTGAGGTTGTCGGACTTACCGGAAGAGCATGAGTCTCACCGTGGGCGTGCTGCGGAGAGAGAGGCTCAGAGAAAGAACCTGGAAGTGCTGGTTAATGCAGAGTCAAGTGCCGAATGGTGGAAAACCATACGGCGATGGACAGATCCGAAGCCGCGCACTGCCCGCATCACTGTGGTCCAGCTGAAAGAGGACTATGCTGTCCGTATGAACCCGCCAGATGTTCTTCCTCCCCATTTTGATGCTGAGGCTCATCGGTGGAACGCGTGCATGGCTGGGCTGATACCGACACGCCACAACGGACCACTCGCCGAAGAGGTACTTCTCGCGTCCTTTCACGGAGGAGGAGATTGCAATGGCCAAACGGAAGATGAAGAAACACGGGGCAAAAAGCGCTTCGGGTGTTGACAAGCTTTCTCACTGGTGTGAGAAAGAACAAGAAAAGCAAGAGCCCTTCAAACTGCTCTAACTGCAACCAAAGGCTACAGCACAACCAGAGAGGGAGAAGAAGAAGGAAGACTTTGAACTGTGGGGGAAACTCTGCTGGGGGACTATGATATGATATGGGAACTAACTAGGGACAGGCTTATATACCCTACTAAACTAGGAGCTAGGAGAGAGGAACCAGGAACAGGAACAGGACCAGATGAACTAAAGGAGTCCGGAAGGACGGCCTATCCGGATCAATGCTGACTAATCGATGCTGATGAGCCTCCGAGGCTCGTCATCCAGGAAGACTTTGAACTGTGGGGGAAACTCTGCTGGGGGACTATGATATGATATGATATGGGAACTAACTAGGGACAGGCTTATATACCCTACTAAACTAGGAGCTAGGAGAGAGGAACCAGGAACAGGAACAGGACCAGATGAACTAAAGGAGTCCGGAAGGACGGCCTATCCGGATCAATGCTGACTAATCGATGCTGATGAGCCTCCGAGGCTCGTCATCCCCTCCCAACTGAAAATGTGACCGTCCCCGGTCACTCACAAAAAGGTGGAGAGGAGTGCCTGTCAGGTGATCGGAAGGTCACGTGGAACACGAGATAAGCGTCGGAGGGGTTCGAGAGGTTGTTGCTTGCATCAGTTGATTACACAAGCCGTTTGTTGATTTGTTCTGTGGGCGGCGGACAGCAATGCTGGAAAAGGGTGAGAGACGGCCCGGAAGGGTAGTTGGCAGCAAGCCACATCGGCAAGTTATCGTTCGCCGACACCGGACTGAGAGGCAACGGGGATGTCAAAGTGTCAAGGACGCCGGAGGGATCACGCGCAGGGGCGAAATCTTGTTCGGCGGAGGTCGGAAAGGGAGATGTTGAAGTGCGGACATTATTAGGTTTGGTTGTCGCTAGGGTAAGCTTTTCGCTGGCCGTTGGTGCATACTTTTGCAGCAAGAAGGTAGCCTGACACTCGGGGGAGTTGTCCGAAAATGTTGAGGCGAAATCAGCGGGACGGTCGGCCTTCGGGCGGTGATCGCTGATCGCCGGCGATAGGGCTGTGCAGCTAGTCACTTTTGCTTCCGCCCCCATCGTCTGTCCTGCTCGTCTCGCCGCCATACGGGCCAGCAGCACGCGCTGCTCGATGGCGATCGCTTCAAGACGCTGTTCGTTGCTTAACACGAAGGACTGGGGGCTGGGAAGTCGTGCGGGAGTGGCGGGAGTGGCGGTTTGAGGGAAAACATCCACAACGAGTTGTGTAGCGGCTGTGGCTTCGGAGTGCCACTTCAAGACGCGCTGGCGCAGGTAGGGGAGTTGAGGGTCCCGAGGTGGGTACCGTCCGTTAGGCAAAGTGACTTTGCCTTCGCTGTTGCGACTAACGAGTGCATTTTGTAGGTCTTCGAGAATTTGCGGGCAGTCGCGGATGAAATGCGACATGCTGCTGCAATACGAGCAGCCGGGCGGGCGCTGGACGAGTTTGGGGGTGGGAAGAACATGGAGGAGCGTTTCGACGGGAGATGTGGCAGCCGACTCGCGTGTCTGGCTGGCGAGGAGGGCTACGAGGTCATTAACCAAGGTGAGCAACGTTTTCACGTCCGTTTCGAGTTGTGTGGCGGTTTGTGGTTTTCCGGGACTTGGCGGGCTCTCAGAAGCGAGCTGGGAAGGCGGAGGGGGCTCCGGGATCGAAGACGACGCCGCGAGGACGAATTTCGCCGCGTCATAGACGTCCTTCAAGTCGTATGGGTCGTCTAGGTGCACGTTGGGCCGCAGAATTTGAAGCCGTTGCTTCACGGAGGTCTGGAGCGAAGCTGGTTGGAGTGCGCGAAGGAAAGCGCGACTCCGTTCAGTCTCGGAGAGGCGTTTTTTGGAGGTGAGGAATATGGAGATGCGAGCGAAGGTGCGATAGAACGTGGCGAGGTCGTTTTCGGAGTGGATTCCAACTTGAGAAGTCGAACGCAGGTGAGTTTCCCAATCTTTCAGAGTGTACAGATTGTCCTCATCGTTGCCGGCGTAGAGCTGGCGGACAGCAAGCTTAAAGTCGTCGTAGGTGGCTGCTGTGTCGGCAAATTCGTCGATGCCCTCGACGAGTTCTTGGTCATCGACTGATAGGTACCGTGCGCAAGCTTTCTTGCGCTGTTGTTCATCACTGATCTGCGCCAGATCGAGAAGGTATTCGACATCCGCGAAGTAGCGCCGCAGCTCGGAGGGCTTCGACGAGTCGAATGTTGGTGCGGTCAAGGCGCCGCGTGCGGGCATCGGGATGGGGGGAGCTGTTGACATGGCGGACGGCGCGGGGATGAGAGGAGAAGCGAGGCGGGGAAGGATTTCAGAGGGGTAGGGTGTTGGAGTGGAGAGCGAGTGAGTTGGGGGATCGTATCAGAGATGAAGCAGGGGGTGTCGGAGCGGAGATCCGAGTGGAGTAGAGTGAGCGTGGATTTGGTATGAGCTGTAGTAGGTGGGGAGTAATAGACCGATTTTTGAGAGACTGTGACGTAGCTGTACTGTGAACCAGGTGGTGCGTCGGATGCACTTTGAAGTACCCTCGCGGTGGGCTCCAAAATGACAAGCTTTCTCACTGGTGTGAGAAAGAACAAGAAAAGCAAGAGCCCTTCAAACTGCTCTAACTGCAACCAAAGGCTACAGCACAACCAGAGAGGGAGAAGAAGAAGGAAGACTTTGAACTGTGGGGGAAACTCTGCTGGGGGACTATGATATGATATGGGAACTAACTAGGGACAGGCTTATATACCCTACTAAACTAGGAGCTAGGAGAGAGGAACCAGGAACAGGAACAGGACCAGATGAACTAAAGGAGTCCGGAAGGACGGCCTATCCGGATCAATGCTGACTAATCGATGCTGATGAGCCTCCGAGGCTCGTCAGTGTCGATGGAATAAAGTATTCCCAGTTGCTGGACATCCCAAATGACGTCCTGGTGACATTATTTCAGGCATGTTGACACTCATAGTTGGGTGCGCCTGACTAAACTCACCTAGGCTTGCGTCGATGGACTGGGTATGCCGCGAGATTGGCTAACAACAATCCTCATTGGGGTTTTGAAACAAGGCAAATCGGCTACTGATCCTGCATCATATCGCCTGATTGGACTGGAGTGTTGTCTGCTAAAGGTGGCCACAGATCTCATGGACGCTCGCTTCGAGGAATGGTCAACAGATATTAATCTCATACCCCCGAACCAGAATGGCTTCCGGAAAGGACGCCGAACTAGCAATAACCCTTTCATCCTTCGATGCATGATCCGAGTCGAGAGGGCGCGCGCAATCAATAAACCGCTGTTTGTTGTCTTTGTAGACCTCAAGAATGCCTTCCCGGCTACAGACCTGCCGACCCTCTGGCTGAAATTGTGGCGAGCTGGCGCAGGCGGCCCTCTTTTTGACTGGTTGCGCATGCTGTATGCACGCATGGAGTATGTGTGTCGACACGGAGGAGTGTTCTCTGAGAGGTTCAAATCGTTAATTGGTGTGCTTACTGGAGACACGGGGTCCCCGGGAATGTGGAACCGTTACTTTGCAGATCTGGTTTTCCCACCGGATGACGACGACATTGAACTCGATGGGGTGCCTATCTGCTTTATTGCGCATGCGGATGACTTGGCCCTTTCATCCACAACAGGTTCGGGAGGTCAACGTCGCTTGGACTTTGTGAAGAAGTGGTCGGGCTTTAGCTTTGCAACTATCAGTGTCTTGAAGACTGCAGCTATGTCCTTGGGTGCTCCGGTTCGGGCCTTCCCGCCGCTGTACATTGGCAGCGAACGAATCAAGTTTGTCACGGAATACAAGTTCATCGGTGTCTACTTCGAATCCACTGAACGTCAAATCTTTCGAAAACAGTATTGTTTAAAAGCATCGAAAGCCTTAATGATGACGCGTGTGTCGTTTGCAGCTGAACGTCATGTCGGAAAATGGAACCCGGCGACAGGGTTGCGGTTGTACATGGCCAGGGTTGACCCTCATCTCATCTCGGGGTGTGACGTGGTCTTGGATGTGGGAAGAACAGACTATGAGCATCTAGAGAAGGTTCAGGTTCACTTCCTCCGTCGCCTCCTGCGCTTGTCTGCACGCTCAGTGGTGGCAGGGTTATTCACAGAGACTGGGGTGATGCCTATCCGCTACCGTCGGGTTCTGCTTGCGCTCGGATATGCCAAATATCTTGTGAAGTGGTCAGAGTCAGAGGATATCAGCTTGGCTGGCCGGGCATATCAAGATTCGATTGCTCTTGCTCGGGACGGCTACTCAGGCTGGGCAGGAGACCTACGTGACGTGCTACGGAGCCTGCCGATGGGGTTGGAGTTGGAATGGGAGGACCTGCTATCCGAGAAGACGCTGGACAGGGTGATAGCAAACGTCACGTCGCTCTGCAACTTGTGGCTCCAAGGCGAAATTTACGGCCTGGTGAAGACTGACTTCCTGAAGGGTCGGCGGGAAATGGTGTCACGCGGAAGGAGTATGGAAGTGGTGCTGCTTCGGCGGGATTACTTGCGTATTGTGAACGCCGAGAGTCGCACAGCGCTGGTCCGTCTTATGCTCTCAGATCATGAGTTGGCGGTGGAGAGGTTGCGCCGAGGAGGGGGACCGTGGAAGACTGTGTCCCGCCACTGGCGACTGTGCCGACTTTGCCTACAAGCTGTGGAAGATGAGGCTCACGCCCTGCTCGTGTGTCAGGGGAGTGCTGAGCTAGTCGAGATGCGAGCGGAGTTCTTGCATGATATCATGACCAACTGGCCCGATTTCCGAGAGTTGTCCAAAGGCCCCGCGGTGGAGGTGTTGCGTGCACTGCTGCACAGTCAAATGATTGAGAAGAGGTGGGAAATCATCTCTCGTGTGGCGCGCTTCACCAAACAGGTCATGGATTTGTATGGAGAGACACCACTGTGGCTACCTCCCGCGTATGTAGCGGATTTTGGGGGAGGGGTACTCAGATGATAGTCTTATGGTGCATAGTCTGGCAGGTGTATGCGTGGCGCCTGGTAAAATTTCATATTATTGCTTTTCGTGTCTTCGAACGGAAACTGCGAGACGGCAGAATGCGAACTGGTATGACTGCCTGTTCACAACGGTGGAAGTCGTTGACATCCGTAGCTTACATTGGTACTCTATGTAAGTAGTTACGGGAGCTGCCGTTCCAGGTTGGGACCTTGCAGTAATTTATTTGGTATTGGTATTGCTCAAATCAATCAGACGTCGACAATGGTTTGCTACTTAGTCCTGTTTTGCTTAACTCTAACTCACTGCACCACAGAGGACACCGTTATTACTCTCCAAGACTGGTACTTGTTGAAGCCTTCTCCGTTGAGATAAAACTGATTTGAGACAGGTACCACGCACCGGTTCACACCCTCGGTCTCGTTCCGGCACGTCGCACGAGTGATCCACACTGTGCATCCGCTAAATTCCTGCTAGACACTGGTCTCGACACTGATCAATGGCCTGGGACGATATGCTGGCGGAGTAAGGCTCAAGAAGGCTTCACCACCTGATACTGACCCCGTTCATTGAAGCCCACCTCCCAATTGGCCGTCATTTCTGTGACACACGGCCAACGCTACCGTTTCCGGCTTGTGTCTGTATCATGCGGTCAGTCGGCCGATTTCTGTAGCTGCTCTATTGACTTGCCTTCCCTTAAGATCCAAACTTTATCTTCTCCATCGACGGCCATAACATGACTGTCATTGAGGTCGATGGTGTAAACCATGCTCCGTTGGTCGTCGACTCAATTCAAATATGTAGATTTTTTCTTACCTTGGAAGTTACAAGTTCCTCATGATGTTATAGACGCTGGACAACGGTACTCATTCGTTCTCAACGCGAATCAAAATATCAGCAATTACTGGATTCGCACTGTCGCCAATGCAGGCACTGCAGGCTTCGACAACGGTATCAACAGTGCAATCTTGCGCTATTCTGGGGCCCCGATTGAAGACCCGTCTACCCCTGTGACCACATCGATCATCCCTCTCGTCGAAACCGATCTCCATCCGAGCGTACCCTCTCCTGTGCCCGGCAATCCGTTTGCTGGTGGTGCTGATGTCGCTATGAACTTGGTCATCGCTCTGAACTTCACGTCGCTCAAGTTCACTATTAATGGCGCCGAGTTTATCCCACCCACCGCTCCAGTGCTTTTGCAAATCCTCAGCGGCGCGCATACAGCGCAGGAGCTGCTACCTACGGGTAGTGTCTATCCACTCCCTCCCAATTCAGTTATCGAGGTATCGATTCCTGGGGGTACAACGGGCGCCCCCCACCCCTTCCATTTGCACGGCCATAACTTCTGGGTCGTGCGTAGTGCGGGTAGCAGCGATTACAATTACAACAACCCCGTCGTTCGTGATGTCGTGAGCACGGGTCTTTCCACGACGGACAACACCACAATCCGCTTTGTCAGTGCCCAACTCCCAAAGTAGCGACGTTGAACTAACAGCCGTATGTCATATAGCAAACCGACAATGCTGGACCGTTCGTACCTGCCGTTGCTTAGATTGTCAAGCTCTCAACATTTTCTTAGATGGTTCCTCCACTGCCACATCGACTTCCACCTCGAAATGTGTGTTGTTGTTTCTCTTCTCCAGACCATATTTGAATGTGATTTTTTCAGTGGTCTTGCAATCGTATTTGCCGAAGATACCAACACAATCCAGCACTCGGTGCACCCCGGTACGTAGAATTGCACTACCATATCAGTCACAAACTGATTGATTGTGAACTATATAGCTGCCTGGGACCAACTCTGTCCCACTTATGATGCACTCACTCCAGATCAGCTGGGCGGACAGTAACTTATTTTCGCGATAGGGAAAGGAAAGAACTGGCAATAATAACACTGTTTTGTTGATATTTGGTCAACTATACATGAATGAAGTTCCTTCATCATTGATCGAATCACTTCGGCCCGTCGGCCCGAGAAATGCCAGCGTATATACATTCAGTTCAAGTCTACAAGGTACATAGATAAATACTACTAGCAGCAAGGAGTCCAGCCATAGCGTATTCATACAATAAGATCCTTTATTCCCTTATGATACCAATTTCCATTCAAGCGTTGCCTTCTGCAACCTTCTGCTTGATCGCGTCCACCGTGCTGGGTTCAGCGATGGTACTGAGATCCCCAAGTTGGTCGCCCTCGCCTGCGACAATTTTGCGCATGATACGACGCATAATCTGAATGGTCAGTGATTGTCCACAAGGCAGCAAATTGTGTACCTTTCCCGAACGCGTTTTGGGCAAGTCTGGGACAATGTAGATCTTCTTTGGTGCAGCAAATGGTCCGATGACCTTGCGGACCTGGAGGACAAGTTCCTTAACGAGACCGGCCTCGTTACCAGAATCGTAGCTGAATTCTCTGTCCAGACATGTCAGAAGATCCTACAAAAAGATGATCTCTAGATACGCACGGTTTGAGCGTAACAAAAGAATAAACAGCTTGACCCGTCAATTCATCCGCAGTACCAATGACTGTGAGAAGTTGAGTTGTTCGGACAGGTGTGCCATCAACGGAATCAACACACCAGCGGTTTCAGCGACGCCCTTGTGCATGATGAGAGCACTTTCTATCTCGGCAGTCGATAATCGGTGGCCAGAGACATTGATAACATCTGCAGAGCAGAAGCGGTCGGTTTGCACGGTTGTGAAAGTAAGAGAGAGACCCACCATCAACACGGCCCTTGATCCAAATGTAACCGTCCTCATCACGAGCAGCACCATCGCCTGTGTAGAACAGACCAGGATATGGCTTCATGTACGTGTCGAGGTAACGAGCATGGTCACGCCAGATCGTGCGAGCAATCGAAGGCCACGGCGTTCCTAATGCGAGAACACCTTCCACATTGTTGCCTTCCAGTGGCTGTGCAAAGTTGAGCGTTGCGACAAAACAGAGCATCATCAACACACCGTGCCGCTCATCGCATCGAGAATAACGGGTTCATGCCCAAAGAAGGCGACAGTAGCACTTCCAGGTTTGGTGGGTACGGCGCCGGGGAAAGGAGTGAGGACAATGGAGCCCGTCTCTGTTTGCCTGAAAAAGTTGTCATCATAGTCTGCGAGTGATAGAGTGAATGTACCAAAATGTGTCGACAATCGCGCACTGCCCGCGGCCAGCGTGTTCGTGATACCACTCCCAGGCTTCGGGATTGATTGGCTCGCCAACGGATCCGAGAACCCGAAGAGAAGAGAGGTCATGGGGCTCGACGTGGTGGGCGCCGAGACTAAAAAAAGTACATGTGAGAATGGAAGAGAAGGATGAAAGACAGGGGTACCGTCGAAGCAACCGAATAGCAGTTGGAGAATTGTAGAACTGCGTGAGCTTGTGCTTCGCAACGACTTCCCAGTAGCGGGCCGGAGTAGGATAAACGGGCGTGCTCTCAAACATCAGAGTCGTGACACCGTTTAGTAGTGGCCCATAAACAATATATCTGTCGGGTTGTTAGAGCAATCAGGAAAGGAAGAGGGAAGACGGACGTGTGGCCAGTAATCCAACCAACATCAGCCATGCAGGCAAAGCGATCACCCTTGTGAACGTCGAAGACGTATTTGACAGTAAGTGCCGCGCAAAGAGCATATCCACCGGAAGTGTGGACGACACCCTTGGGCTTTCCGGTTGAACCAGAAGTCTATTAATACGATGATTCAGTTGGAGATTTTATGACGAGCGATTGACGTACATATAGAATGAAGAGTGGGTCCTCTGCACTCATCACCCGAGGAGGGCAGTATTTCGGTACTTTGGCCATTTCTTCGTCCCACCAACGATCACGGCCCTCGGTCCAATTGATCTTGCCGCCCGTTCGCTTCAACACCAAAACGTGCTCAACAATACCATGACAAGCCTCCAGAGCGGCATCTGCGATGGCCTTGGTCGCGATTGCTTTTCCTCCACGGCGACCTTCATCGCAGGTGATGAGAACGCGACTTTGACAGTCATTGATACGGTCTCTCAAAGCCTCAGCCGAGAAACCAGCGAAGACAACGGAATGAATGGCCCCGATGCGAGCGCAAGCCAAAAGGGCGACAGCTGCATGCCAAGTGGTGGGAAGATAGATTGATACTGTGTCCCCTGGTCTCACACCAAAAGTAGTGGAAAGAACATTTGCGAGGCTGGAAACTTGGCGAAGCAGTTCTCCGTAGGTGATAGAGCAACCACCATCTGGCTCGTCCGCTTCATAGATAATGGCAATCTGTTCACTTTACTAAGCGAGGTGAATCAATAGATACTATAGTCAACTTACACGGTCTGGATCCTCGAATGCCCAACGGTCAACGGCGTTGTAAGAAACATTCAATCCACCCTCGGGGAACCAAGCAATGTCTCCTGTTGCAAATCCACCACTACGAATCGTCTTGAATGGGCGGTCCCAATAGAGAAGCTCGCGTGCTTTCTGGAGACATCGATAGAGGTAAGAGGAGAAAGAGGGATGTGACGTGACGATGCGATAATGAGCGCGTCGAAAGAGAAGAGAAGAAAGGAGATCGTCAGTTCGATTCAGATATGTGGGGAGAAGGGAAGACGAACCTCTCCCCACCACTCATCGCTGCCTTCGCCAACTGATCCCTTGTGGGCAGCACGATAGGCGTCAAGATCGGGACCAATATGGGGAGTTGGTGTCGCCTGCAAACGTGGGGCAACGGGGTACGTTTTCACGGCCGGAGTTTCTTCTGTAGACATGGTGGATGACAGAAAACAAGAGCGAGGGCGCAGGTCACAAGGCTTCCCTTTATATAGACCAAGAAACTAGCGTTGACAGCGTTATATTTTACCCCAGAATCTAGAACGAGCCCCGCATTAACCCCGGTTTACTCCGCTCAACGGACTGCCGCCCATTTCGACAGCGATCAACCCCTCGAGCCGTTCCCCTACGAACGAAAGTCTAGACGATGATAATGGTGGTGGGATGTCAAGCACATGACACGTTCTATCCCCGACTCCCATTCAACCGTCCGCTAAACCATTTTGAGCCAACGTTAGGAGGAACCCGCCCTCCGTGAGTTCGGCGAGATTCGCATGCTTTTCAAATAATTGGATATTGGTTGTTCCGATGTTTCAATCGGTTCAAGTTTGTTCAGAGCCATTTACTTTCCAGCACTGTAACTCTACTATCTACCTCCCCCATCGATGCCATGGTGGTTAACACCAATTCTCTGGTTGTTGCTTGCGGAGGAGGGCGTTGAAGGCCTACACGGATAAGAATGAGAGTGTTCACGATCCCAATAATCTGTGGGGTCAGATTGACGGCTGCGAGCTCGATAACAGAACGAGTTTGGTGTGTTACGATAAAAAGCACAAGCCATGCCCTGCCAAGGATTCAGATGCGTTTCTCACAACATGAACGGTAGAACATACGCCAGGATCGCGTAACTCTCGAGCAAAACCGCAAGGACGGCCTGGAGTGTGTGAACAATCGTTGCATTTTCAAGACTGGACCAACCATAAACATCTTGGCTCTTGAACCACCTATCGGTCGACAGGTGATCCATATTTTCCATGCAGTGAAAAGGGTGCAATATAGATTCGTGCTTGACACCAATTATCATCAACTTCTGTGTGCCAACTGCAAACTCACCAAAGCATGAGAACCCAATTGGCAGTGAAGACGGAGTTGTTGAAAAGCGTGAGTATGTTATCCCTATTGCGGAAGGTCAGGACCGCTATTGCCGCACCCATTCCTGCGTGGGTGCATTTGGAATAGATAACAAGCGAAATGCGACAACACACCTAGCTGGCCAAGCCATAATGCGATAGGAAACACTGCTACCCGGATGTCACGATTCCAGATAACCCAAGTTCGATAAATCTGCATGGAAAGCTCGGATCGAGTCGAGTTTGTGTGAGTATGGGCTCACGAGGGCGATGTATCCAACGAGAATCGTCAAAACAGTGAGGACACCTCGCACTGCTACGACCATCTTCATCTTTTGGAAGTAGAAAAGCATCAAGCCGAGTAGACCTAAGCTACCCGTTCCGTTGAGAAATCCAAAGAAGAACGCGACAATAGTCAAAGACCAATGCTTTCGAAATCCAGAAAAATCATCAAAAGCAACGAGACAAGTTCGTTGTGGACATACCAATGCGCACAGAGAAAATATCGCCAGCGACGTGAGCATAAGCGGCGACGCTCTCCATCCAGGGCTTCCCTCCTTGGAACGATATTGAAGACGCAGCCACGTGTGCGTGACTAGCAAAACCACAAAGATCCCAAACAACAATGTTTCAAGCACCACTACCGCCATCATGGTTGTTACGACTGGTCGCGAGATGGCAGCGAGGGACTGGGTAAGTCCAGGCTGAAGCTGGCCAGTATCAGGGGTCGACATTGGCGGGAAGCCGGGCCCGACGCAATTCTACGAGAATGAATAGGCCGAAAAAATGAATGTAGAGACTTGAAGTGAGAGTGGGAGGAGGGCGGCTTCCTTGAGTAAAGAAGAAGCCGTAAAAGATCCAAGCCCAACTTTCCTCGGTCGTTATGTAGCATTGCGGAAGCAGATTTGTGTTGCTGCGTTACGGTGATAGAAACTCCTATGTGTATCGGTCGGTGGCTACTGTTCAAATTCAAGCCTTGGTTGTAGATGAGGCATGGAAGAAAGAGATGGATTTCACGATGAGCGTTCAAAGGCTTTCAAACAAGAAGCAGATCGAATTAGGCTGACATTAGGTTTCAAATTGAGTAACCACGGTTGATGGAGTTAGTCATCAAACCCACAATTCCTCTCAAGTCGCCGTTCATTTTGTCTCCGACAGATATGCCTCTTACTGTAGGAAACTACCTCCTTCCCACGCCAGTTCCTCGACAAGGCCATCCGTGACCGTGTTCAAGCGACCCTCCCATTGTGAAATCTACTCGTTGCCGCTGCTTGTCATTTGACTCAGGTCACCTTTGGCGGCACCGAACAGTGCCTCAGTTGGATCGGCTCCGCCCCTCCTAGGGATTGCATATAAGCAACAGGCTTCTCCTGAGAGCCCTATTCGCACTGCGAAATTTTCGAGATGGTGTAAGTTTAGTGCAGCGCAACTCGCGTAATCTTGCTAAAACACTATGCAGAAAATTTACCGCTGAACAAATGCGTGCCTTGATGGACAAGGCTACAAATCTCAGAAATATCACTGTTATTGCGCACGGTACACCATGTTTCGCTGCTTTGACATTGGTACTCAGAGAAATACAGTCGACCATGGAAAAACTACTCTTACTGATACCCTCTTGAACAAGGGTGGCATTACCTCTCAGGCTTCTCGTCAAATGGACACCCGTCCCGATGAACAAGAAAGGGGTATAACTATAAAGTCCACAGCCATATCAATGTTGGTTTTCTTTCGCATAGTGGTAATATTACTCACCCTGTCCTCAGCTATTTCCAGCTGCCCGAGGCAGAGCTCAAGGCTGTGGCGCAACAAACTGCTGGATCCGAGTTTCTCATCAATCTTATCGATGTGTGTGTTAGTTGAACCCGGGGTTCCTGGCGCTCAATTTTTATCCACAGAGTCCTGGTCATGTCGACTTCTCTTCTGAAGTCACCGCCGCTCTTCGTGTTACCGACGGCGCTCTTGTTGTTGTCGACACCATCGATGGAGTCTGCGTTCAAACCGAGACCGTTCTCCGACAAGCCCTCACCGAGCGTATCAAACCCGTTGTGGTGATCAACAAAGTCGACCGCGCGCTTCAAGAGCTGAAGCTCTCTAAGGAAGAGCTTTACCAGTCTTTCTGCCGGACCATCGAGTCCGTCAATGCTGTCATCGCTATGTACAACGATCCTGCTCTGGGAGATGTTCAAGTATCACCCGAACAAGGAACGGTAGCTTTTGCGTCAGGATTGCAGGGATGGGGTTTCACGCTTCGACAATTAGCCGCTCGTTATGCGCGCAAGTTCGGTGTTGACGAGAACAAGATGCTTTCCCGCCTGTGGGGCGACAACTATTATAACCCGACAACAAACAAGTTCACCAGCAAATCGACGGATGCAGATGGGGCACCCCTGGAGCGTGTGTTCAACCGACTTGTGCTGGATCCGATATACAAAATCTTCGACGCTATTCTCGGCGCCGGAGGCACTCAAGACCCTTCTGGAATTGGCCCAATACTCGACCGTCTTGAGATCACTCTTTCGACAAAAGAGCGCCAACTCTTTGGCAAAGATCTTCTGAAAACAGTAATGCAAAAGTATCTGCCTGCAGGCGATGCTCTCCTCAGTATGATCGTGCTGCATCTACCTTCCCCCGTTGTCGCCCAACGCTATCGAGCGCCAATGCTCTACGAAGGCCCCCCTGATGACGAATCCGCATTGGGTATCCGCGATTGTGATGCATCGGGTCCATTAGTGCTCTTTGTTTCCAAGATGGTCCCAACGTCAGAGCGCGGTCGATTCTACGCGTTTGGCCGTGTTTTCTCTGGGACAGTCCGAACGGGTCAGACAGTCCGCATTCAAGGACCTCACTACATACCTGGCTCTGGTGGAGGCGGGAAGAAGGACAAGGAAGACTTGTTTGTCGGCAAGTCAATCCAACGGGTTGTCTTGATGATGGGCCGCCATATTCAGCCTCTTGCCGATTGTCCGGCGGGCAACATCGTAGGTCTTGTGGGTATCGACGAGTACGTGCTGAAGAGCGCCACCCTGACAACTTCCCTAACCGCCCACAATATCCGAGGCATGCGGTTCGATGTGGCGCCGGTGGTTGAAGTTGCCGTCGAGGTTCAGAGCCCTGCAGACTTACCCAGACTTGTCGAGGGTTTGAAACGACTTTCAAAAGTTGACTCGGTCGCCCAGACAAGGCTTTCGGAATCTGGGGAACATATTGTAGCAGCTGCTGGGGAGCTTCATCTCGAGATTGTGATCAAAGTTGGTTCTGCCTCTATAAACAGTTGTCTGTTACTGATACTTCTTCAGGATCTCGGTGACCTCGCAGGCGTTCCTCTCAAGGTCTCTCAACCGATTGTTCCTTACCGCGAGAGTGTCAGCGCCGTCTCTTCGTCGCCCGCTCTAGCCAAATCCCCCAACAAACACAATCGCTTGTACCTCACCGCCGCACCACTGGGCGAGACTCTTACTTCCGCGATTGAAAACGGCACCATTAGCGCGCAAGACGATCCCAAGTCACGTGCTCGTATACTTGCCGATGAGCATGGATGGGATGTCACCGAAGCCCGCCGCATTTGGGCGTTTGGCCCAGAGGGCAATGGTGCTAATGTGCTTGTGGACACAACGAAAGGCGTTCAATACATGAACGAGATCAAAGATTCGTGTGTTGCAGGTCTACAGTGGGCGACCAAAGCCGGGGTGTTGGCTGAAGAACCGATGCGAGGAACAAGACTCAATGTTGTCGATGTCATGGTAAGTGACTTCTCGATTGTTCTTCTCACAAAATATCCATTTTCTATTAGCTCCATCCAGATGCAATCCATCGTGGTAGTGGTCAGATACTGCAGACAATGAGACGTGTGGTCAACGCAGCCTCGCTTCTCGCACAACCAGTCCTTCACGAGCCTATCTTCCTCGGTAAGACATACTTCTCGAACCGCAGAGTCAACTTAATCACTATCTTTTCAGTCGAGATCCAATGTCCGAATACCGCTATCGGTGGCGTGTACAGCGTTTTGAGTATGCGGCGTGCCCAAGTGTTCAGCGAGGAGCAGCGTGGGACATCTGCCTTATGCACGATAAAAGCCCACGTACCAGTGAGCGAGTCGTTTGGGCTTAGTTCGGCTCTCCGTCAAGCAACAGGAGGTCAAGCCTTCCCTCAGAGTATATTCGACCATTGGGCAGCGGTACCAGGGTGTAAGCCATAGACTTCCCGTTTACATTATGACTTATCAGTTCACAACAGCTGCGCTGGACAAGGGAAGCCGTGCCGAAGAGATAGTCACCAAGATAAGGACGCGCAAAGGTCTGAATGTGAGTTGACTTGCTGCTCCCTTTTATGGTCCTCAAACTGAAATTCTCCGTTTAGCCAAGCGTACCTCCTCTCGACACTTATTTGGATCGCCTTTAGTCCCACTCAATTACATATTCAGAGTATCGTTACCAATGCATTCACGAATGCCGTTTTGTGTCCTTGAGCACTTGAGCTTTTCTGATGGCGTGATGGGAACATTGATTTGCCTCTCAGCCTCTCCCCACCATAATCGTGTGATAAATGCAGGACTCTTGAACTACGACTAGCCCTTTCTGGCTGTTTCTATCCAGCCGTCGATGTTACTACCATATGTAACTTCAGCCCGTACTTACTGGTTCCGCTGCCACAGGTGATTTTCGTCCTCACATGAGTTGATCATGCGTTAACATGTGCTGAACCAACTGACAGCTATTGGACAGCCAGCTTGAAGAGGTCCTATGGCCCTCAGCTGAGGTACTATACTATGTGGCCACCAGACCGGGAACAGCCGGCACTCCGTATGCCAAGGGAAGCAATGAATCTTTCGTATATACACACACCGCCGGAACATGTGGGTATAATTGCACCCATGCAATCCCCGAACCCGGGCCCTTATTTAAAAGTTGCTTGAGATCAGCGCTCCGTCCCTTTTTCCCTCAGGTCCCGGATTTTCTCGGCCAATGGCCGGCGTCCCACCTATTACGCAGGCCCACCCACCGGCATTGGACAATTCTTTGGGCGCTATTCTGCTAGGCGTGGTCGTGTCTGCAATGTCCGTTGCATTCCGTTTTTTCATAGCAAACGCTGAACAAGACTTGAACAGGCTGTTTGGTTCGACCACACAACATGTTTACTATTACTACCACTACTACCCACACGACAGCCCTCTTCAGAAGATCGCAGTTGCCTTGCTCTGGATACTTGATGGCTTCCACATTGGCTTGACGATATCCGCCCTTTACCATTACAGTGTGCGCGGCTTTGGGAACTTCTTCGGTTTACGACGAGTACTCTGGTGTGTTTGGTTCCATTATAACTTGACTCTATTTTGTGCTTAATTGTTTAAAGGTCTGTGAAGGTTAGTTTACCTCGAGCGTCTAGGATAATAACATTGAGAAATTTCTTCGCAGCTACTCGTTCTGATCAATGTGCGCGCCTAGTACTCTTTATCTTGCGATTGCTCACATCTTATCAAGGTTGTCATCGTCATGATAGTCCAGGCGTGCGTCCCATAAATCTACCCGGCTTCGCACTGAATGACCTGATTAGCTTGTATGCTTACCGGGTATGGAGGCGTACGTGAATGAATGTTCTAGCTTGCTGCTGACCCCTTTAACTCTTGTGCTAGTCAGCGGATTTCATAACGGAGTTCTCCGCTATCTCGTGGTGTGTAAACCGGTAGCTTACTGTTGACAATGAGCTCATCTATGAAGGCTGCTGTTGTGCTCGGGGGGTTTGCTATTGGTCTCGTTACTGCCGCAGAGACCTATACGCTCGAAACATTTGCTGATACGACAACGATCTCGTGGGCAGTCGAGGCTTCGCTCGCTGCGTCAACCACCATCGACTTCCTTATTGCTGCAGCGATGTGCTACTACCTGAGCAAAAGCAAAGGCATCGGCAGCGTCCTCAATTCGCGCATTTCGCTCCTCATGCAATATTCGCTGTCCTGTGGTGTGTTCACCAGCGCCTGCTCCATCTCGACGCTAATTGCGGTGAATTTTGTGTCCTATCCCGGCTCAAAGCCCGTGCTAACTCTCTGCGCAGTTCATTCTCATGCCCAATAATCTGATATTCCTCGCCCTCACATTTCTCCTCACGCGCTGTATGTTTGCTTCACCATTTTTATTTGTGAGGGCTCAACTCCTTCACCAGTATACGTCAATTCATTCCTTGCCATGCTGAACGCCCGCCGAAATCATAGAAACTCGCCCAGTTCCAATGCTGGACAATCAGAAGGCCCCGGAAGTCGTAGTATGGGCCTTCCGTACTCATTCACTGGCCACGGATCGCTCGCGCAGCGTAGCATGGAGATCGAGAGTATCACTCATTCGGGGCCATCACAATCAAACATGCTGGACTTGTATTACCAGCAACAACAGCCTCGCCCAACTGCGAGTACGCCGATGGCCATGCACACGAGCGGAGACTTCAAGACACAGAATTGGAGTGCGCCCGCAACAGTCCCGGCTGCAGCACGAAGATTTGAACACGTCTATGCTAGACAATGGTAGTCAGGCTGCCATGTTAGGCCACCAAAGTCGTTGAGGTTCAGCAACGTCCTATTTTCTGCGGGGCTCGACGCGGTCATGTGATATCAAACGCGTCACCAGACGAATCGAATGGGCAAGTTTTGCTGCGAGAGGACATCGATTGTGTGGAACGAGATCTCGAGGGGAGAAGAAAATAACACCCGAGCGTGCCAAAATGTACAAAGGATACTCTAAAACGACCTGAGCATTATGAACAAGTGAAACAGACTGGATTCACTTACACTACACACAATTTCGTCATTCCATATAGCCTGGGGGAGCCTCATCCGAAAGTCCCAACGCCCATTGCGATTGTAACTGGCTCTCTAGCATTTGTATACGAGCATAAAGAGCGGCGTTTTGCTCCCTCAATTGAGTGCCTGGGTCGGGGTTGCGAGGATACAAACCTCTTGAGCCCGAATAAGATGGATCGGAATCGGACCCGCTGCGTTGTAAAGCTGCGAGTTGGGCTTGAACCGTGGCAAGCTGGTTAGTGAGGTATTCTTGACGGGCGGTTGCGGCCTTCGATCCCAACGGTAGCTCGGTGGTGCTTGTCGTTGTAGTGTTGCTGCGTGCTCTTGGTCCGCCGGGCGGGAGGCTTGTAGAGAAAGAGACGGGCCCACGGCTGGTTGTGGATATAGGCGAAGAATAAGGAGTGAAGCCGGGCTCCGGATCGAGTTCGGCGCGACCATCGAGGCCGGGTATAACTGAGCGTCGACGGAGACGGCGGATATAGAGAAGAAGAAGAATTATGATGAGAAGGAATATAAGAACTCCAACGAGGACACCGGCGATAAGTCCAGGAGAGGGCGCAGAGGTTCTAATTGAAAATGAGCTTTATATACGTCAACGATGAGTTGGATTACGCACCGTGAGCTACCAGTACTACTAACATCAGAAGATTTGGCGATCAAAGACCCGGTTGAGCTGTTCAAAGGTGATATGCTAGGTAAGATCGAGGTCGACCCTGACGGGTTGGGATTTGAAGGTGTTAATGGCGGTTGCGAAGAACTGCTAATCGGGGCACTACTCGACGCTGGAGCAGAACTCGCTGGATCCACAATATTGAATAGGTCTGACTTTCCAAACAGCCCTTGTGGACTGAAGACGATTTCAAGTCAGTGGAGGCAGAACAGGACAGCAGCAGAGGGTTTACAAGTTGGTATTGCCCGGGCCAGCATAGACCGCCCATTTATTTCTTCATATAGGTTCAGTCATTACAGAATGACAATGAGAATGAATGAGCGCACGCACCCATCGACGGCTGTACTAGGTATCGTCACCTCGACCTTTATGGGGGTCTGAGACTGTGGAATGTTGCTCGCTCCATGGAAGAAACCACCAGCGCCATTGTCATGCCCAAGCCAGAATTGCATGATGCCAACTGGGTCGGATGCCTCGCTCGTGTAGGTGACCTGAAACGTGCCCGGACTTATCGTTGTGGAAGGAATGCTGAAGATGAGGGCATTGGCGCTGCAATTCGCTGAGTAAATTGCAATAGCGATGGATTTGGCTGACCTCGTCGAAAAGAAAAGATAAAGAGACCACCGCAAGCCAGCCAGCATCCTTGCGGGGTCGCGAAGCCGTCGCTCCAGAAAGAAGAAGGTCAAAGGGCGCTGTTAGACTCAGACTAAGAATACCCATGACGGTGTGGTAAAAAACGTCGAACAGAACGTTGGCATCGCGACTTGGAGATTGGTGTTGCATTGTGAATCCCTCAGTGTGGATTTGCTAATATGTATTATCGAAGTCGTCAAGTGCGGCCAGTGCGGTCATCGATGTGATCCTGGTCTATTGGTCAACGCTGGTCAACGTCCGTGACGCCGTCGGCTTCGGCCCGGAAATACTGATGCGCTCAGCATCCTCTCCCTGAAAAGGTTGGCGCAGATCACTATCATTTGCCTCCTTGCTACGTATGAACTGCCAGTTCACATTCGGTCCAAACAGGTCGTACTTCTGTAGCGCCGATAGCTACTATGTCTGGTGCGTTTGCTGAAGTTCTGATAGTCAAATGAGAACCAATTGTCGTGTATAGGAGCCAAGGAAGCATCCCAACGAGTCTTCAGCGAATTCTTCAGGATCACCGGCATCCTCAAGCAATGGCCACGCCATACGATGTCGCATTTCCGATGGAACCTGACGCGTACAGTTTGTGTTGGAGAACAACAAGAGGCGAATTGTGTTCAGAGGGTGTGCTTGACTATCTGTTTTTGCGAGTCAGACTGAGGACTGCCTATTAGCTTCGCAATTGGCTTCTCAATACAGCCGAATAACACGATTCCTCCGTACCTCCACCACCACCTACAATGTCCCGACTACCCGCACGGTATTTGGACCCAATGCATCCTTCTTCTCCATGTCTCAGCGCGGTTATTCGTGGCAAAATCTTCCCCACCCCCTCGAAGAAGACTTGCAAACCTCGTTACGAATCCGGCGACCAACTAGCATTGCATTAGGTGCTCACGGCGCATATGTCGCACTCTACAACGATGGAACCGTCAATTTCGATCTGCGTGGACTGTACCCACTTGTCGACGCTATCATTCGCGACACGCAAGAGGCAACCCGTCGAAAGGGCATTCTCGTATGTTTTTTTTCTTCTTTTTTGTTCAAATTAATGGGAACTCAAGCTGAATATTAGTACCTATCCCTCAACCCACACGTTCCAGGCGAATTTTATCTGGTCTTCGGGGACGCCTCCGCAAAGTGGAATATACCTTCCGCTTGGACATCAGATGTCACCAGCGTCAGTCGCGAAATCAAGCCCATCGAGATGAGCTCCCCTCCAGCCAGTCTCTTCAATGTATCGACGGGTGGGACAGCTCCAAGATTATCTTCGCCTACCACAGTTAACGAGCCCCGGCCGATCTCGCCTGTCTCCTCTGTCATCTCTGCACCTTCAAACCACACGGAGAATAGCACTTCGTCTTCAGGTTATGCAACCCAGGCTACCCCCCAAATAACAACCACTGTCGAGACGGAGGCCCCACCCGCATATGCACTCATGGCCAGTCGGCCTTCCTCACCCTCCATCTCATCATCCCAGTCACATTCATTGCCCACTCTCCACCAACAATTTGTGCGTAATCCCACCAACTCAGGCGACCGTCCCTACTCGTACACCCCTGCTTCACCATCACAATGGCCCTCGTTGGCTTCGGCGTCCTCTTCTAGCCCGATGTCTGTCCATTCGGCCCCAGAGGCTTGGCCCGGTGATGTCAAGGGTTCCACTACTCCAGCCAAATTTCGCGTTACCAATCCTGGCGAGTCCAGTTTTATGACGAATGGAGCGGTAAGCTCCTCCAGCGGGCAACAATATAGTTCGCTTGGCTTTGGAGGAATGAGCGGAGTTGGAGACAAGGGATAGTCGGCTCAATTATCACCAATTCGGACTTTGCCCAAGCTTGGACGGCTTTGGACCACCGTCAATGACGCATCAAACTCCTCTTCGGCATCCGTACAGGAGCCGCAGACTTGCAATTTGTAGTTCTTAGCAACACAGGTTTTCTCCTATGATCATCGCTATATAACCAAAGCCATCGAGCCAACATGTTCTTGTCCTAACCAGCTCATGGCCGCACCTCCCATCCTCGACGCCCGTGTCTTCCTTTCCACAATTCACACGATCCCACATATCGTCACGATTCGCACAATCCCGACTGCCACAACCCTGCATTCCACATCCGTATTAGACCGCGCCATTCACCTACCGACCTTCGCGATGTTGCTAACGCGGCTTGCGGACGAGGCCGCTCTGGAGGAGAAGGAAACTGGGCTGAAGCATGGCTTGGTCATTGAGCGCCAAGGATCGATTCGTATTAGGCGGAGCTCGGCATTACCGCCCCATGGACCGCTTCCAAGCATCACTGTCCGTAACGAAGCAGGATCACGTCTCTCCTGTTGACGCCCAAGGTGCGCTGGCTTTGCTGTTCGAACTCGTTTAGAATCCTCAGTCTACACAATAGTCGGGAACTCGTTTGGATTTTCTTTTGGGTCATATATCGAGACACAAACACGCCTCTGGATTCATTTCCCCATTCCTTCTCTTCTTAGACCACCGTTCAGCACGAACCCAAAAATTGTCACCACCCCATGCTCCAGCTTCCCATTCAGACCTTGTATCATTGTACACGATCATAACAAATCTGGGCTCGTTAAGCACTGTTGGGGCATGCTTCAACAAGTCCACGCCGTATTCAACAGCTGAGTCGCGCAAGTCGATGTCCCACAGGACGATAAGAACAACAAGTGCCGGAACTGACTCCAGGAGATATCGGAGAACCGAAAGATGGACAGAGTGGTTCAACGCAAGATGCGTGAGTGAGGGGAGGGCAGGCAAAAGTCGAAAGAGCTCTGTGGGTATTGGATCGTCGTAGAGGTCCAGATGGGTCAACCTTCCCAAAAGCGAATGATGAACATTAATGCTTTGGGGGCTACCAAACACCGAAACGAGGAAACCCGAGAACCGCCGAAGCTGCATTCCACATAGAATGGACAAGAGCGGTGTTTCGGTGTAATTCGCAGTTACAGCCAAGTCTTGGACGCCGGTGCACATTTTCAGTGCTTTAGCTACGTGTGCTTCCTCCCAGCAGCTGTCGAGGTAGACATGGCGGACCGCATGCCTGAGGAAAGTCGGCGGCTTAGATTCAGCGGCCCGCATAAACGCATAGGCTGCAGGCGAGTGGTCAACAGGCACGACATGGTAGAGTAGAGGCTCGAGCCACTTAGAAAAGCGACGAGCGGTTAACATAAGAGTTGGAAGCATCCATGGGTAGCTGAATGCGGTGACCCACGCGATTTCGCGCTCCAGTTCAAGAGGAAGGGATGGCGTCGATTTGGGCATATGGGAAGGGGCAATTGTTCTAAATCATTCACTTATATCTGAGATACTTGACCTCCGCGGTGTCCGTTCTATGATACGGGTAAACTCGTGTACCTTTACCTGCCCATCATGGCAAGTTGAGGATGAAGATGCGGTTTCCGTCTCTATTCGAGTGTCGTGGACGACAAAACCAAATCGTCTGTGGCTTTGATGACTATTGGCAAGACGCCTGCCAACCATAAGCAAAACACGGGTCGAACCAGTAAGAATCTATCACCGCCTGTTGGTAGCACATATCGTGGGCGTCCCAAGGCTCGCAAGAATCCGTTAATAATTCCGCTGTGAGCAGTAACAGAAATAACTGCAGAGATGAGTTCAGTGATTGCGCCAGTGCAAGTCACACACATAACGAATCCCTGTCCTGGGCAAAAACATGTTCGAGCACAAGCCGTGCTCGCTCAGCCGCGTGATCAGCGGTCTCACGCATGTCGGGTTCCCATAGTTCGTCCTCTTCTGAAAATCCATCTTCGATGTCAAACTGAGGGAAACGTTGTTGAATGTGCGTTTTGGGGTGGCGTTTATCACAGGTATGTTCGCCGTATTCCTCCCTACAGTTCTAAGATATTATTAGAGAGTAAAAAAACATAAAGCCCATGACATACCTCCATGATCAATGCCCGCGGAGGAGAACCAACAGAAGCGAAAGTGATTTGCTGTGTTTGGATAGCACGTGTCATGGGACTGCAGTATAGACTCTCTGGCAGAGGAATTCCGGCATTCCTTTCGGTTTTCCATAGTTCGTTTACAGCAACAGCTTGTTCTTTCCCGATAGTGGTCAATTCTGGATCAGCTGCACCGATTTTTCAAGAGGTTCAGCAGTCGAAAACAACCACAATACTAGTATGATACTCACGTCCCCATACCAGATCTCCATCGCCGTCGAGCTTAGACCAGTAGCTTCCCGAGAAATGTCAGATTTTTGAACACAAACGGGAAAAACATACTCGTCCCAGGCCACCGTACCGTACTTATCCTCCGCGACATTATCTTTCCAAGGTTAAGCCGACCAGGAATGCCTTAGGGGGCAAGGAACGCACGAAACCCTTGTCCATGGCGTCCGAAAATGAACAGTTTGTAGATTGCGGTACCAGCAGACACATTGAGCTGGCGAAGCTGTGCTTGAAGCGTTGTCCATCTATTTTCTGAAGCGTCTAACAGACCGAAGCGGGGCGGGACCTGCCCGAAGATGTGAAGCTCCTTGCGCTCATTAGACGAGTAAACCCACGGCGCCGATCTCCGTCGAGTCTGCAGCAGGATCATCTTGTGTGAAGAAGCCGCCGATAGCCTGGATCGACTAGGTAGTAGAGTTGATTAGCTGCTGAGAGGATGCTGACCTCGTATTTCATGGTGGTCGTCAATTCGGAGTCAACGGTGGAGCACGTGAAGAAACCGATTTGGGGAAATACGACCCCTAACTGGCCATGAAGAGAAAACCGTAACTGGTACTACTACTAGTAGCTGATATTCCTCCTTTACTAGTAGCTCTTCGAAAACAACTGCCATTGTCACGTTGGGTGACACTCTCTTGAACTTTCCTTCAATCCATGCCGTCGCGGGAAGTGCCTCTTGAAATTCTTGTGCTTGGATTCTGCCGCACGGGTACTGCATGTAGGAAAACTCTCAACGTACTGATCAGTGCCACTTAAGCCCGTCTAATAGCAATGAGATCGGCCCTCGCCATGCTGGGATATGGAAATGCACACCACATCGGACGCGTTATGAACAATCCCCGTGAAATTGACTTATGGAGTGCGGCCATTGACGACAAATATATCAGGAAAGAGTGTCTGAAGCTGGAGAAGCTCGATGAATTATTGGGCCAGTCTCGCGTTTGTTATTCAAGTTGTTATCTGCCAACTTGTTTCTTATTCAATACTACAAGGTCGTGGCGGATGTTCCCGGTCTGCTATTTGCGCAAGAGCTGATAGAGTCGTACCCAGATGCGCGGGTTATCCTCACTCTTCGTGATCCTGAGCAGTGGTTTACGTCGCTTCAAGCAACCCTCATCCCGATGTTGGCCCCATCGCCGTTCTCGTTTTTCACTCGGATTGCCTATATTTTAGACCCGTGGGGCTTGGGAACCTTCGTTCCCTTTGCACGAAGGACTCTCGAGATTATCCTCGGACCACTCCATTCGATTGACGCAGTGGCGGCAAAAGAGAAATTCGTCGCTTACAATGACACTATTCGGCGACTCGTACCTCCAGAAAGATTGCTGGAATATCGAGTCGGAGTCGACAATTGGGCTCCCTTGTGCGAATTTCTGGGTAAAAGCACCCCTAACGTTGCTTTTCCCCACCGTAATGACACCAAGTCTATCATGGATGGTTCACGGAAACAAATCTGGGGCATATATCAGCGATGGGCTCTGCAACTTGTTGCTCCAACTATAGCATTATTAATTGCGTTGGGATTACTCGCTCTAAAGCCTTGAACAATTATGGCGCATCACAAGATGACAAAAGTAGCAAGATTGGACCCAACTCCCATCTGAACCGCGATATCCATTCAGGATCTTGCTATGACCCCGCACTCGACGACGATACCAGTTAAACCGGTCAGGGATCAGAAAGCTCAACTGAGTGTTTGTGGATTTGGATGTAAACATGCTACGACTTGAAACATGAACGATGAATTCTTAGAAGGGGCATTTTTCCCACTAAAGGATAAAAACAATTTGTCTGCGGCGTGACGGTCAGGGTAGAGTCTGAAGGAAGAAGGCCGGACTAACTTAATTATTCCATGTAGCCGGGCGGCGGCTCGTCTGAAAGACCCAACGCCCATTGAGACTGCAGTTGCGTTTCTAACACCTGTATCCGCGCATGTAACGCTACGTTTTGCTGTCGGAGTAAGACTGAGTCCGAAGTTGAGGTTGCCGTTTGGACAGGGTTATCATTAGGAGCGGTTTGCAGAGCAGCTAATTGCGCTTGGACTGCCGCCAGCTGGTTCGAGAGATATGCCTGCCGCAGGACAGCGGCACGAGAGCCAATCGAGGGAGTCGACGTCAACGTGGTCGCATAACTGGGCGAACGAGAAACCGATCTTGTCGGGATTGTCGGTTGGGAGTCGGATTTGCCGCGACGATTGGGACTGAGCGTGTCAAAGCCCAAAGTTGCTCTGACAGGCGAGGCATCCGAGTACGGCACGGAGGTCAAGGCCGGCTCAAGGTCAAATGCTCTCGGCTCATGGTCCTGTTTGGATCGTCGACGTCGGCGAAGGTAGAAAAGCAGACTGGTGACCAGAATAAATGAGAGGGCACCAATGGTAACACCTGCAATAAGGCCGGCGAAACGAGAGGAGCTGGCACTAATAGGGCTACACGTCAACAGACGTGAAAACAGCAAGGGAATGCTCACCGGGAGTGAGAGGCGCCGACCAAACTTCCGTCTGAAGACTTGGGTAAGATTGATACAGTTGTCGAGCTAAATAGAGCGCTGGTGAAAATAGGGCCGATTGGGCCAGAGCTCGATAATGTTGAGCTTGCTGCTTGACTTGAAGACATGCCACCAATGGTGATTGAGGAAGGCTCATCAGCTTGGCTTGTTGTCGTGGAGCTCGGTGCCTGTGTCTTTGTCTCTGTTGGTGATTTTTGAGATGTCAGGGCCCAAGTCAGAGTCGGTGTATTCGCAATGTCGTCCGTCGGGTTAATCGTAAAAACATCAGATTCCGCAAAGAAACCGTGTGGTCTAGCATTTGTTCAGCAAAAGCTTGGACAAAACAAACCAGTAAAGCTCACAAACTGCTATCACCCGGCCCGGCCGACACCGCCCAGAGCTGCCTTGTAAAATCCAGAACAAAGTCAATTCTCGAATCTCACAGAAAAGAGAGAAAACAGAACGCACCCATCGCCCGCACTATCGGGTATGAACACGCCATACTTCGTCGGACTTGAAACATGGGAGATGTTGAATCCTGCATTGAAAAACCCTCCCGCACCAGTCTGATGCCCAAGCCAGAAGGCCATAACGCCAGCAGGGTCGGAGGCCTCACTGACATAGGTGACCTCGAATGTGCCTGGCGTTGTCGTTTTCGAAGGAATAGTGAAGATCAACGCGTCGACGGTACCACTGGAAATTTCGACACATCAGAAAGAGTGGAGGGGGAGGAAAATGGGAGAACCTCGTCAGTATTGAGAGATATACTGTCCACCGCAAGTTGACCAGCATCCTGCATTCATGAGGCCGCGCGAGAGGGAAAAGAACAACTGTTTACAACCCCAACGGCATAGCGGCGCCGACTTTCAATTGCAAGCTGTTGGCATCGTGAGCATTACGCTATTACTCTAACCCTCAGGAGTGTCGAGTCGTTGTCTTCTTGGGTCTGCTGGTGGTTGTGTTCAGGGTCAAAGGGAAAAGACTAAGGATCACATGATATGTATGGCCTGGAAGAGAAAGCAAAAATAGACGCGATAATTGCAAGATAGTTTAGTAGATAATGTGGATATATGCTCATGGGAATAAGGACTAATGCAGCGAGACATGGTATGTAGTAAGACAGCCAACGAACACAAGACGAGATAGAAATACAGAAAAATAATGGCGTAAGTAGCATGCATGCAAAAAAAAGAAAAAAAAGGAAACTTTCCACTCGTAATCAGAGAAGAAAAATTACCTGTTAATCCGCCTCCGTGACTCAGCTGTGAAGTCGAACTCCATCTTGCCGATAACCTCATCTGACCCTTGGCCCACATCCCCAACTCCACTTGCACTCCCGCTTCCACTGCCGCTTCCACTCCCACTGCCGCCAGGAAAGACTGCGCCGACGGGAGATCGCTGTGCAGCATTTCTACCACCACCCAGTCCGGCAAGTGATTTCCGAAACTCTTCATTCATTCGCCGCAGCTGTTCATCGACTTCTGAGACGCTTGTTGGAATGGTAGCTCGTTCGGCCATTGTCGATGAAGAGGCCGGAGCGGTGCTGCTGCCCATTGGACCCAACGTACTTGCCCGTGACTGACTGCCGCCGGGGTACGTACTCCCGCTCACTCTGATGGTACCGCCACGACTTGTGCTAGGTGAGCTTGAATCACTGAGGGCAACATCTTTGACTTCTGTCTGGTCGACCGGACTCTCTTCTCCCCTGCGATAACGACCCAATAAAGGTGGGGCATCAAGGTCCTTGACAAACGCCGTGATATCGTCCTGTTGCTGTGGGTCCTTAAGCTATCGAGTCATCAATGAGTACAATTATAATAGATAGCATATATAAAGCAACGCGACTCACCAAACTGCCTTGTGCGGACCCACTACCAGCACCAGCGCTAGAACGCCGTTCTCTTTCCCGTTCCTTTTCCCTCGCTGCGATTGCTGCAACAAAACTGCCTCCGCCACTCTGACTTCCGCTTTCTCCACTTCCACCACTACCGACACTACTGCCCGCCGCAGCACCATACCGATGAGAAAAGCTACTTGAATATCGTTTCCGTTGTGATGGTACCGGAACTGCACCGATGCCAGATGACGACGACGAACTTGGTAAGCCCATTCCAATCCCAGTCGAACTCTCTGGCTGTGGAGCTGGCTGAGGAAACGCGACCCCTGCTCGGCCAGGACTACCAGAAACGCCTCGTAACAGAGAGCCGGTGAGTGAACTCCGCGAGAGCGTGTTACTCTTGAAGGGATTGATCATACTTGGGTTTATTGGACTGGGACTTGGTGCGCTGCCTGGTAGACTCCCTATTCCACCGAGTCCAGGACCACCAATGGGAACACCCTTCTCCCTTTCCCTTTCCCGTTCTCGTTCGCTAGGCATCGCCCCACCGCCACGTCCATATCCGCCACTCAACTCTGTACTGCTATCTCCAGCGGCCGTTCGCAATGAAGATAACGGCGGTGATGCGCTACTACTCCCAGCGGGCAGCACAAATCGGTCGATATCAGTGGTGGTTGTTTCGCGTTTATATCCTCCGGCTATATGTACACCCATTCGGTTGGAGTATGATGTCGAGGCAGACGTGGGATCGCTGCCTGTCGGCCGGTGGCCCTGAGAAAGCGTCGATTCTGTTCGCTGTCTCGCATGCAAGACACTCGTGTAGCGACTTGGAGACCCCGCGGTTCCTGGCAATGGAATCGGAGCGCCGTACCGACCGGGAGAAGACGGAACGGCATTGACTGAAGTCGTGGAGACTGAAATCGACCGTCTGGCTAGGGTCGGGACAAAGCCTTCGTTATCCTCTTCATCATGGTCATCTCCCACTGGTGTAGGGTTGGCAGGCCGAGACCCAAGGGGCATTCGGGTGGCCCCACTTGTGGGTGAAGGGATATATGATGATGATCTATCGTCCACACGATTAGGTGGACCTGCATCGAGAACAGCAAAGCGGGAGGACAGTAACGTCTCGATGGATTCGAGTGTGAAGGTCGGGGCGGTGAGGTATGTCGCCGAAAGAGAGAGTGTTCCTGGTTAGGTTAGCTTAGACAGGGGGCAAGTGGAAACACGCACCAACATGGTGGGCGACACCCGGAAACGTATGGCTCGCCGTCGAAAGTGGCACTGCACCCATTTCCACCGATGGAGACTGGCCAAAGCGCAGCACGTTGTTGTCATCCATTTCTGGTTGCAACCGGACCATAGCGCGGAGCGAGTTGCTTGTGCCTCGCCTTCTACCGAGCTTAATGACCGTTTTCCATGCTGGCGTTATTCGCAGAAACGAGAAGAGGGCGCGGAAGAGGGGGATAGTGTTCTTGTATATAGTGGAGGGCTGAATGTCCGAGTCATCCACACTGCTACTGCTGCTGGAAGACGATGAACTTGAATGGGAGTGGAGTGGTAAGCATGAGAGTCTCCATTCTTCCAAGAGCACGTAACGAGGCTCTGGGTCGATCTTTGTACGCGTTGGGGTATGGACCAACGCTGTTCCAGGCGACGGAGGCACTGCAAGCACGACTTGGATGACCAACGGCCGAACCTCCCGCATTGTGGATAGCGACTTGTAAGCATCTAGCTCAGCATTGGGAATGGTTGTCGTTATGGGCGTCTCGAGGTTAAACCACTTGTCGACCTTCGCCTTCTCCTGGTCTGGTATCCGTGCATTCTCAACCACCTGCCACAGTTTGCTGTAGATGTGAGACACGATTTGGTCTGCCTTGGCCGCGGCAGAGTTGTCGCCCGACATCGAGCGGGGGAGCGAAAGAAGAGAAACGAGTCAGTACATGATGTACTGCGATTGCAGCAAAGACCGTGTGTGACGTTATCGCGTTTTGACTTGACGCTAATTTCCCACGAGAACCACCTCTTCCAATTCTCTATCAGCCCGCCGCGGCCAGTGACTGGGAGGGTGCAACAGCATTTATCTCTCTTCCAATAACTGCCAGGGTTCACCGGCCCGTGTTTGGCGCCCAGCTGGAGGCTGTTCCTCCGGTAAACCTGTGCTCATTGGCGAGATGCCTACCGCAACAGCAGGCCTAAAGCATATTTATGACATTCGGACAATGTCGCGCCACCGCTCCATTTCTCCTCTTCAATGGCCGAGCTCTGTGAAGTTATCTTTGAATCTTTAGCTCTTGTTGCCTGTTGGAGCCCCAGCGACACCGCACCCTGCTCATCACTTTGCTGTTGTGACTCCTTCTCCATTCACATTTCTTCACTGATTGACGCCCACAATACTTAGGCTGCTTCTCAGAACAAGAAGAGAACAATCACTTGAGTCAAGATGAACAACTGAGAATAATGGGTCAACAGCCAGAAGGAAGGCAACCATTACTTTATCATCACACCGAATCGGAGGTTGGAGGTGCGCTACTATTCCCTCCTTCTGATCATGAATCATCGATAGTCCCTCATAGCAAAATGACCCAGGATGTCCGATAACCGTGCATGTACTTGTCCACTGCCCCAGATATATGGGGCGGAAATAGCATCATGTTCGCAAATCTTCCGGGGTTGTAAGAATACGACACACTCTGTGATGAGGTTCCTCCGTTCTGAATCACAAACCACTGCATTGACGGCAAATAAACAATTCGAGCCCACAAGCGGGGCTGCGGGCCGGCCAGCTGCAACGAATTGACAATTAAATCAGACTGAGTCCCAACAGTATCGTAACTGAGCTTGATTGAGGCAAAAGCAAAACGTTGAAACGTTTGGTGTGGATTCTACAAATGTGACACTTTCGAAAACCGGACCAATGCGAGCGCTGGGGGCAGTCAAGAAAAGTGGTTTCGGCATTATCAGACAGTCAATCCAGTCCCGCTAATGTGCCAGTCGGTCAGGGGTTTACACAGTATTGGATCCAGGGAGCAAGCACGTAGACTCGAGAACGAAGATGGACTTGCTGAAACTGGCACGTGTAGATCTTTGGTATCATTGATGATGTTACCCCACAAGAACAGATAACTTCAGCCAGATGTTGCACTACACACACAGACAAGTTCTGACAGGCCCGTCGCCGTCCGAGTATTACAATTTCTCTCAACTTCGATGCCAGATATTAGAACCTCCGAGTTCCAAACGAGAAGCCACCCTGGGCTGGCGGTTGCGTCTGCTGAGGTTGGCCAAACGAGAATCCTCCTGTTGGTTGAGCTGGCGCTGCTGGCTGGGTGCCAAAGCTGAATCCAGAAGGCTGTGATGGCGCTGCTGGAGCTCCAAAACTGAATCCAGTTGCAGCTTGCACTGGTGCAGGTGGTTGAGATGGAGCACCGAACGAGAATGCTGCCGGTGCCGCTACTGGTGGAGCTGGTTGACCAAATAACGATGGGACAGCAGGGGTTGGTTGTTGCGGGACAGTAAAGGGCGACACGACAGGCGTGGTATTGGTGAGTGGATTTTGTGGAGGATTCATGTCCATTCCTTGGTCTACGACTGCCGTCCCAAGGCCAAAGGTGGCGGCGATTTGTGCAGAAGTAAGCTCGCTCCCAGCTTTTAGGAAGGCAATACGATGTTCCTGTATTTGTTCCGGCAAATATAAACAAGAAGAATGACAACGCACCTCGAAACTATGACCTGCATATTCTGGTCGAGCTGAGATACTCTGGAACTGCTCTCCATCAGTAGTCGGTGGTAATAGCGCGCTTCCCGAAGATGTTGACGCTTGCGCGACTGTAAATGGAATCATAGTTGTCCCTGGTGGAGGCAGCCGTGTCCCTCTTGCATACGCGTAATAACGCAGCTCCTAAAAACCATGATAAGTAAAACGCGCTATGCGGTCAAATTGCCACGCACATCTGGACTCCAATGTGCATATTCTGGCACGAGAACAATGCTCATATAGGTTTCCTTCTCTCCGGCGGAGCTCCCCGGCACTACTGGAGGTGTAAATACCTGTGAAATGGGTAGTTTTGTAGGGTCAGTGTTCGTAGGGGTGGTACTGAGTGCCGATCCCATCGCGGGGGGCTGAGAATGGCGTCGACGATGTCGGCGCGCCACTTGTTGATGAGGCGCTTCCAGGGAGCGGTGAAGGGACAAATAGAGGCGGGAGACCTTGGGCTGCACGGCTGGCTGGATCGGTTGGATAGGCTGGAACGGGTTGAGGCGGACGGCCAGTTGCGCGGTATGCAGTAAGGTAATCATTCATCCGAATCTCCTGCCCTGGATTGAGTTGAAAGCCCCTAAGATTCGACAATGGGAGGCGATACCTCGAAAGATTCCGTTTGTGTCAAAAGAAACATGCACATCTCGACGCCTCCAGTCAACGCCGCCATTGTTGCAGAAATAGGTGTGTTAGATGTCACACGTCACGACGTCACGACGCGTCCAGGTTATGAAAATGAATGTGCACATTAGAGGAAACTTGTTGTATCATATAACTAAACTGCCTGAACAAATCCGTCACGCCCATCCGTCTGACCCAACCTCACTTTGGTCTTAACCTCTTCCACGTTCTTTCCGTCGATGCCAGGAAAAACCCCGTTGATTCCCCCCGTCGAGGCAGCGGCCACCAACATCAACGGATCTCTCGGGTCGAAGCCGGCTTCCGTGCGAGGAATGCCCGGGTTGTATAGCTGGGCAACAAGCGCGATCGTAATCGTCCCGAGACTGAAGATGATGATCGGGATGAGCACAATTTCGGTGTACACAGATGTGTATTCCCAGCCAATGGTGTGGACGAAAGCTGTTCCGTTGATGGAACGGGTCATATCTGCTGGCGGGGTACCCTTAAAGGGGCCTTCATTGTCGGATAACAGAGTCTTGAAAGCCTGTTTTTGGCTCAGCGTTAGGGCTCGAGCACAAGATACTGAGAATTTACTGTTGCAGTGAACTCAAAAACACCCCGGATATATGCCTCCTGCGAGTATATATTGAGCAAGTCCAATCAAGCCTTCAGTTCAGATACTCACCAATGTCGGAGTAAAGTCATTTATCCCGGAGTCTACATGAATTGCCCACATGGAATCGGCAACAGCGTTTCGCAGCTCGCTTTGACCATACCCAACGGCGCTTCCAAGTGCATACGCTCCGGCGAAGCCCATTGGCCCGATAACGTCAACGGATGAATTGCCCTTGAAGTGGGAAGCAATGTAGAAATCTGTATTGGTCTGTTCGACAACCACATTCCAGATCTGAGGTTGAATGTCGCAAATGTAAGTCCATGAGTTGTCTCCTCGGTTGTCAAAGATAACACCTGTGCATGCTCAACTTCAGCTAGCTTCGAGGCTAATTTACGGACTGAATGTATCTTGGTTGAGATTGTCAACAGTGTAGCAACCGACCATGGCCAGCGTGTTATTTGACCTTGTTATGGCCGCTGTGAGTAATGAGCAAAGAAAAGTATGAAGATGAATGGCGCGGACTAGACCAATCAACCGTCTCATTGCCAGAGACTCCACAGGTTGTGGAGGTGTTCCAGAGAGTGAAAGTGAATCCATCTGCAGCAATAGCTTGTGAACGGCGAATGAGCGAAGGAGATGTAGTTTCGTCTAATGTTCTCGCTGTGCAAGAGACTGCAGCAGTCATCCCTTGTTGGTGCATAGAGTACGAAACATCGGAGACAGCGGTAGAAGGCGGGAAGGGTTCTGTATTCGAGGTGATGAGCTGAGTCTTGGTGTTATTGGAACCATTAGTCGGAGTTGTTGAAGACTCTGAGAACTGGATGGGAAAGATGCCATCTGGACTTAGCAATGAGTAACTTTAAAATGAACACGAAAATATAAACTCCACTAACATGTCGAGTTTACATACGAATATCTATTGAAGTCAACGACAGCATGATAACCAGCTTGGGCAGTTGCACTGGCCGCGCCTGCTTGATCAATGAACGACAAAAATGATGTATCAACTGGCGAGGAAAGATGAGTCAAGTGTACGGTGCTTCCGATGTTGGATGTTCTCACAAAGCGGGGCAAGAGTTTCGTTCCACAGTTGAGAAAATCCGTTCTGGAAAGGCTGGCTGTTGAGATCAAATTCTTTGCCGTTGATATGCACTGGATAGGTGATAGGATTGGGTTTGAACAACGAAGACCATCTAGAGGGGAATATAAATTGCGGAGGTGCGAGAAAATAAGGAAATTTACCCCGATGTTAATCCCAAGTTCAGCAGGAAGATAGCTGCGCCAGCCGCCATCCATCTGTACTGTCCTCTCCAAACAAGTGACTTGTTTGAGATTTTGACTCCATAGCCTAAAATTGGGATGGGCAATGGTCGAGTTGCAAGCATGACTAGAAGAGCATGGCGGACGGCTTGTGCAAAAAGACTGAGATAAATTTAGTTCATGGTCAAATTGTAGTAAATAAGACGAACAAAGAGGATGCAAGCGCCAAAATATTTGCGAACGTCGTGAAAACATAGTTGTTTACTCCCGGAAAAGTTTGGAAGAAGTCGGCGGTATCCAACGAGAGAGGAATTTGCCCTCGAGCGTGAACAGCGCCGAGGAAGCCGAAAGTAAGCGCTAATAGACATAGTTGTCCAAGAATAATGAAAATTGGCCAACCGAGTCGACTTGATGCGAGTGAGCGGGGGACGGATGAAGGATATAAGTAAAGCAGACCTTGTGCTACCTGTCTCCTGCGTAGCGTCGGAATCAATGGACTTGGGGCTTTTCTTCCTGCTGAAATTAAAGAGAGCCATAGGTATCAAACGAAGGGAAGTTGTAGACCGCTATCCACGGGCGCGTTCTCTCTTATGTTTGAGCATAAGCGCCGGCTCTGTGTTAGGCGTCCAATAGCTAGAGGCTGCATAGCCCAATGAATTAGGTGGGTAAAAATGGGAGCGGGAGCACTAGTCGTTGCGCTTAGATTAGGAAACGCCGGTGCAGGAAGCGCCGCTATAGCGATCCCTCCTAAAGACAGGCTAGGCGGAGACTTGGGATGCGAGTTCGGCCTACAAGTAGTATGAAAAAGTCCGCGGTGGTATGAAACTCAAGGTTGAGGTGACTGGCAAAAGTGCATTGAACACCGGGACCGGGGTTCGAGCTCGAAGGTCGGGAAGAGATGAGGTAAAATTGGGCTCAGAAGCCTGGAGATTCGCCGCCCGAGTAGTTGTCAGGTCCTCATTGAGGTGGGAGGGTGAGTTCAGAATTTGGAGAGGAACACATGGCGTGACTGGTGACCATTCTCCTCTGAGGAGCTCCCTCATCCAACTCTCATCGCGCGATGAACGCGGGGATCGTTGACTTGACCGGCACTAGCAAGTCACCCAGGCGCTGTTGATCTTTCCCTCAATGAACAAAATGAACAGGACCGCCATGCGTCAAACAGCCAGCTGGATCACGATGGTCCAGTCTGCTTGAGGGCCGGGCTCCCAATCTTCACATTCCGTGAAAGCTATGGATCGAATCGCCACGGATGCTTGCGCGCTGTTTGAGGGTTCGTTTTCGTTCATTTCTCGGGTGAATTTAGTGGCTTTTCAGTTCAATTTGCTTTTCACAAACGAGTTTTCGCGAAAACGAGCAACATAACGCGCAGTTCGGCTATGGACACGTCTTGTCGACGAATATATGCATGTTTTTTTCACTTGACCGCTCAAACTGCCAAGAGACGCCGCCCACAGACGAAACACAGTGTTTCAATCGACCCGATATCTGGCATACTTGATTGCCGTTCGATGACAACATTCGCCTCGCAAATATTATGCTCTCAATCCTCGAAAAGGCACCCAGTCCCCTCCATTCATGCGTCTTTCTGAAGTACACGGCCCCTCCATAACTCCACTCCTCAAAATTCTGCTCATTTGGCTCTTTGGTGTCGCCCTTGTAATTGCTCATCACATATACGGGTCTCAGCTGAACAACCGCACCGTCCATTTCCTGACCGAAAAACCAACTGCAACCCAGATCTTCCAATCCCAACCTGGCGCGTCTGCTGTGGGGACCACCATCGCCTACCTTGTTTCAGCAGCCCTTTCTACCAGCGTTGGGATTGCATTCATCCAATGTGCATGGAAGCTGGTTCGAGCTCGTGCCCTCACCGTCGGAGGATTAGATGCGCTATGGTCTGCGCCATATTCGTATTGGTCGTTCTTTGAATGGGATTTCTGGCGAACAGCGAGAGGTGTCGTTCTGGTGGCCATCCTTATGCGAGCCTTTCCACTAGTGGTCACGTTTGCGCCCGGAACTTTGACCGTCCACAATGTCCTGAAGAGTACAATGACTCCCTGCGATGTTCCGAGCTTCAATTTCGGATCGAATGGACTCCTTTTTGAGAGTAAGTGCATCTTGTGGAGCACAATTGAAGCGAACCTGAAATAACCATTAGCTCTCAACAGTGCGGCCACACCATATTCTCAACCCTCCTCACTCGCTCTCCGAACTGTTGGTGCTACCATTCTTGCAGGGAAACCCTTTTCACCGACATCCCCGTGTACCGGAAATTGCAATTACAATGTAGAAATCAACGCACCTTCCTTTAACTGCACCAGTTCTCTCAAAAACACTTCCGCCCTCCCATCCAGCGGAGACCCCTCCCACCAACTCGCTCCCCCACCATATGTCGCTGCAGCTTTCGATGCAACACCTTCCATCCAGTACAAGGGATGGGATTTTCAGGCCCACTATCTGGATTATTCGCATCGAATTCCCGTCGACCCAACACGTCAGGGAAAGGACGTCAGTTGCGTGGCATATGATTCGACCTACCACATCAATTATACCTTCTTCGGCTCTACACCATCTGTTGTTATTGAACGAATTGAACAAAACCAGTCCGGAACCCAGCTATCGATTGGAACCAACACATTCATTGACGGCAGCTCCTCGATCCACTCTTCCCTGTTCAATGTGACTACAAATTACTATGCCGTTCTCGCGAGTCTTTACACTTATCTGGCTGGGAATATATCAGCTTCTTTGACGGGAAACTCGTTACAATTTACTCCTCAACCCGCGAATCTTGCTGCTACCCAAACACAACTTGTCGCGGCTAGCGGAGGCGGAAACATAACCTGGGCCGATCTTCCGACAGTCCTCGAATCCCTCCTCCAGAACATCACTCTGTCCATCCTTACGCTGGACCGCACACAGACGACGAAAACAAGTTGTATGACATTTTCGTCAGAGCAACATTTTACGTATGATGCTTATCGCTTGTGGCTTGTGTACGGCCCTGCGCTGGCGGTTGCATTGCTCTGCAATATTGTTGGTGCATTGGCACTGATGGAGAACGGGTTTGGCGCGACGGATGGGTTCAGTGATTTCCTTGCGGCAACACGCTACTCGGAGCTCCGCGAAGTCGATTCGCGGCAGAGAGTGAGACTAAAGTATGGAATGCTGAGAGGTTACGACGGACGCTATGCCTTCGCAAAGCCGGAGGACCTGCTGGATGGCAGGAATGTGGGCACCAGCACTGCCACGCTGGGTCAATATAAGGAAGTGCCTCTGCTATCGAGGGAGGCCGAAGGTGTCCATGCTAGAACTTTAGCTCGTGTCCATTGAATGTGCTTTGTAACTGGTCTGAGCACATAAGTCCACATTTTGTCAGCGACACGATCACGTGTTTAAAAGTTCTAATCATGATCAGCGACCTGCAAATCGCGATATTTACTACAAAGGCTTTCATATTCAAATAATTACAAAAACGTCCTGTAAAAATTGTGCCTGACATACTTAGTCCACAATAGGTCTGTAAATAATACTACGAGTCCGACCAGCCTGATTTCGCAGCATCGGGCATGTGATGTCGCACCATTCCCCGCCGCAGCGGTGTGAGGGGAGTGTGGAGAGCTCGACGGCGTACTGGCATTGACACTTATTGCCGATCGATTGGCAGGGTGGTTCAGTGCTGCTGAAGCGACGGACAGGCTCGAGTGTCCGTCGTAGGAGGCGGGGGGCGACGGGAAAGACGTGTAAGGGTTCGGGCTGAGTTTCGTGTTGCCTGCGACGTTTATGAGCGGGGCGGTGGACCCCGAGGGCTGGTGTCGCGCCTGGATGGCGTCTTTTTTGGGACGCCCTGGCGGTTGTTGGGTTCTATTCGGGGCAGGTGTGAACGACGATGGCGGCGGCTTTTGGGTGTCAGCATAAGTATATCCATATCGGGCCTCGTTTGCGGGGGAAATGATGGGCGAGGAGCTGGGATATAGTACGGGTGAGCCTCTTCCCGAACTGTCTCCGCCCAACACCCTGGCCAGCATGTAATTCCTGAAATCACGGGTCCCGAACGCACTCGTGAAGAAGACAAATAGCGGTTGGACACACATGGCGAGCCCACTAGCTGGAGGTGCCATGCAAAGAATGATGAGGGTCGCTGCGCAAGCGACCGTTGCGCCGAAGACATAAAGAACATGGGCCCGATAGAGGCGGTAGGTCATCTGGGACACCTCGCGGGGGTCGTGGGCTTTGATTTGAAGGAGACTGAGAATGAGGACGGCCAAAAGGAAGGCGAGAGCGGCGCCCGGCGCAAGCGGAAGGTAGGGTGGAGTGGGGAGGACGCGACAACTAGATGGCGAGAATGTGCTGCGTGTCGAGGATACCGATGCGACGCGATATTGGATGGCGGGTGCGACCTATCAAAAACTTCAAACACTGCTGACCTAAAGTTAAATCATGAAAGCGCACACAGCAGCCTATGACCACCAGAATCAGTCCACCCAATGACATCAACAACGTGTTGCGTTTCCCATTATGAGCCCACAGCTGGGCTGTCCGGAATGTAAAAATTATTGCGGTGGATACTACGACCAAAATCATGCCAGCTTGGGAAAGTGACGCTGCCGTTTGGCAGGAAATATTAGAAACAGCGCCGAGGAAAACATTGGGGAGCGTCGCTAGGATGCTGCTATAACGAAGGAAAATAAACCTGGAAAATATCACAATCATGAACGATAGGAAAAATCGAGGGACATACGCGTAGGGTGGCACCGTCGCCCAAACGGCCTTGCGGTACAACTGTATCTCCTGGGGGAGGAGTATGATGCTGGATCACAGTAAGTAGACCCAGAGACTGAGTATTAATGACACGTACAACTCCCAAAGAACGAGCGCAAAGGCCGTCGAAGAGGTGATCGCGAAAGCCACTGATAACCCGGTCAACCCGAACCAGCGGTAAATCCCTACTTACATTGACTTTCAGCGTCCAGCGGCGCGAAACCCTGCAAAGAAAATGTGGCCATAAAGAAGCGTGGCAACGAGGGACGCAGCCTCCTCGCACAGGTTCCTTAATCGCCGTATATAAGTGGTGGGCATATCTGCTCAACGCTGCCTATCGCGGTCAGATGCACGTCACGGACGACACCTCCGCCACTAGGAAAGAGGTTCCATGCGGGTCTTTGGTGGAGACAATCCGGCATGAGATGACATGTCTGGATTCGCAAAAGCAAGCTCGGTGTCATAAGCCGTTTTGGTGGTCGAAACTGTTGATGGTTGCTGAGTCCAAAAGCGCTGACATCCGTGAAGAAACTCAAATGAGGTCATTAGTACAGAGGGCTCCGAACCAAAATTGCTGCGTAGGTCGGGGTCACACTAGCAGCAGTAGCATGTCCACAGCGGCCATATCGTTCAAGCGGGGTCGTTCGAAAGTAAAACAGCGAAAGCAAATGTCCTTGTAGTCTAGCAGCAAAGCGGAGCCGGGAAGAAGACACAGCACATGTCTGGTGTCTTGAAAGTCAATCGCCTGCCAATCAGTCATCCGATACCAAAATACCCATTGGAGGAAGAGTCAATTCAAAAGCCAGGTTCCCACTATCGATCCTGAAGCCTGGTTTCATTACTCTGGAAAGCACCCATAGAGATGGAGGTGCGTCAAATACTCTTTCCTGATCATGGGTCAATCAGTATGTATATCGTTCAGAATACCATCAGCATTTGACTTACCACCACCCAAGGTACCCGTCTGCAAAGCATCCATGCCATCTACGAGAGTTTCAGGTTCACAGCTCTCCTGGAGAAGATAAACAGCTCACTATTTTATGCGGAATTTTCGAGCCATTCCGCCATGATTGAAAGAGAGGACAGATGACGTGATTCATTGCGCGATCAATCTCATCTTATCAATTATCCCATCGTCCAAGGAAAAAATAGACCCTCTCTGTGGTTGATTCGAGCAAGGATTATGATGGATGTCGACTTGACTTCTGGAGCAAATATGTTGTTGCATTGAGGTATGAAAGACGATGTCTCCGTACGAAGGCAAGTGCTACTCCGCCTGCTGCCAAACCGGCATCTTGGCATTGCCCTCCTTCACCAACACCCGCATCTTCCCAAATGCATCAACAGTCGGCAGAGTTACTCTCGAAATGTACTGCGTCTCGAGGAACGCTATCAGGCGCGCAAACGTCGCCTGGCCGTAGGCTGTGACGTCGTCCGAGGTTATAGTGACGGCTTGTAGATGTTCATGCGCATGCTCCTGTTCATGGGAGGCCAGTAGATGAAGGATATATTCCGGTGTGGCTCGAATATGACTGAGGACAGGGAGCAATGGGGCAGAGCACGCATTGAGCGCACCGCGAGGGTAGTGCCAGGCAAGGTCTAGTGTCCGGAGCGTCATTTCATGGCGCGTGATGAACGACATTAGGTCGGGAACAGCGACATCAACACCTGCACCAATGCGCAAGGTCGAAAGTTGGTGCAACGAAAAGGCCGGCAAGATCAGGGACCAGTCGTAATGGGCCAATCCCAGCTCCCGAACTGTCATTTTCTCGGGAGAGAGGCCGCCGCCCAGGGAGAGGGTATGGAGAGGGGCAGTGTTGATAAGTTCGGTGGTATATGGTAGGAAGTGGGCTCGTAGAAGGTATGATGAGTGCAGGTTGAGAGTGGTAAGTCTGAGGAGAGACGAAGGTGGTAGAGTCGTCGAAAGGGACGTGGAATGCGGACTAACACGCGGGGAAGAGGTGAATGTCGTTTCCGTTTGTGGGGGAGGCAATCTTGGTGAATTAAAACGGGGTGTCGGTGGCGGGGTATAGAGAAGGCGTCGTGGAAGGGAAAGTAGGTTGGTGAGAGTATTGACCAACGACTTGAGCAGCGGGCGCAGCGTGAATTTATGGCTTGGGGCTGATGCCGGCGGTGTTTTCTTGCGTAGATGATATGGCACTGGAGTGTCGAAGTTGCTGAAGACAACAACGCTTTCGCCCTGCACCACCTGACGAATCATATGCACGAATGGGCCTCCGCCACCCGTCCGGTCATCGTTCGTCCCAAACATTGTCAAGGCGGATTCTTCTCTCCGAACGATGGTATTGACGAACCGCGTCAACGAATGCACGCATTGCTTAATCTCCTCCTCGGAACGGGAATTGATGAAATAGGGATTGAATTCGACCTCTCCGAGGTGCCCGAGGCGGGTAGCCAGCGTTGTAAGCGCCTCGATGGCCAGGAGGTAGTTTTGCCAGGTGCTAATGACCCGCGAAGAATACAGGTCACAGCTTATATGCTGGACGGATGTGATGCATCGGGCTGCGGCGAGGGCTTGGAGGCCCAGAATATCGTCCCCTTTGAACGAGATGGACCCAACATGTCCGGAGTCGAGGTATTCTCCGGGGAGGTAAGCTCGTTGGAAGAGCGTGGCGATTAAGAGTTGGTTGGTCCGGCTACAGCTTGTGGCGAGCGCCAGCAGTGCATTATCGGGCAAAGAGTCGGAGATATGGAGTATGAGTTCGTTGGGGAGATCGAGAAGCGAAGTCAACATGGTCAGAGCTGGGTTGGAAAACAGTGGTCTGACATGTTACTTATGTGATGCCGTTTTCGAATCTCGCGGAGAAGGGCGGTGACTACTGGGGTCACGGGTCACACTTTGTCCCCCAATACCCCAGATGCATGTTTCTTGCCGTCCGTAGACCGACTCGGATGATGCTAGTGCTCGTCATATTTGCCGACAGCATCCAGAAATAAGAACTCAAAACAATCGTCCCTGTCCCTCCATCATCAGTGGAACGAGATTACTTCAGAAGCAGACCGAGCATACCTACCTAAACCCACTCTATACAGTTTCAGTCGCAGTTTGGCTATAAGCTTGAACAGCAATCTTCTCCTTTGCGCTGGAGCCACTGGCAGTCAGCTCTTGTCAGCTCAGACTAGCGGCGGAAGCACATAAACCGAAAGAAGTCAGTTATGGCCATTCCGTTCATCTGACCAATCTAGCGAGCAATCCAGCCCTGAAGCAGGTCAGACTCCGATGTCCGAGCGATTCTCGAACTTGAGGTTATTCGAGTCTTTCAGCAAGGCGCAGTTGTTTGCGGCCGCAGTTCTTCACAGCTCGATAATCTTGTAAGCGACGACGTGGAGTATCTAAATTTATATGGTGGCACCTACAATTGAAAAATCCCCATCCAGAGCACTCTAAATCTTCGGACTTGTGCAGTCTGTGGTATCTCCGCGTATCTTATCTAGCGGATCATCACTGCCGTGATAACATCATTTACTCGGCCCGGTCCCGTGCTGCACGCGGCTTCCAGCCCTCCTTCACCTCGAAAGCGAATCCATGACATCCACTCCGCCCGGGCGCGGCGGTGGCCAGTCCCAGCCACCCAAGTATGTATCTGGGACTCCCTCGAACGGGACCACAAAAACTGAAAAGCAGCCAATCGCAGATACATCAATGACTTCAGCAAGGCGCTCGCAAACGAAGTAAAAATCTTGCTGGCAGAAGTTGGAAAGTTGAGAGATGAGAAACGGGCGTTGCAATTGTGTGTCCAATCTGCTTTTTCGTCCGTTTTTCTGTTTGTTGAACCGAGGGACAGCGAAATCGCGGAGCTCATGAGCATCAAGGCGAAACACAGCAGTGCAGAGGGGATGTATACCGGTTGGAGACCACCAGTTGCGTGCTTCCCTTGATCTCACTTTTTCTACAACTGAGTATCGTCATCGTTAGCCACCCGCAGCTATTGAGCCTCCGCCACCTGCAGAACCCGCCCCGCCACCCCCGCCTGCACCAGGTGGCTGGAGGGTAATCCATGCTCCTCACGTGCCCAAGCCGCGCAAGCAGAAACTTGCATTGCCTGCTGCCCCAACACCCGCCCCGGCGCCGACCCCCGCCCCTCCTGCGGCAAATATGCCTGCTTGGGCCCAGTGGAGACGTATGTTTATCTAATCGTCAGCACATTATTTGATCATGCCTTACAACAGCAAACCCACTCCTTGCGCCAGGCACGGCCGCCGGGCCGCCAGCACACACTGTTGTGCCTCCCCCACAGAGACCAGGCATATTTGGTGCGTGTTTAATCCATCATTTATTTCTCTCCTCATACGCATTTGGTTAGGTCGCATGACGCCTCCCCCAAAGTGAAGTCTAATCTTGATTCCACGGATCTCGTCGCTTTGCTCGGTCTTTGTCTCATCTACATATCTTTGCCTACTTGGTTGACATACTGCATTTGTGAACTTGTAATCCTCCACGACTTTCGCGTACCTGGCCATGCCTCGTGTGGACTTTCTTGAATGTTCCTTATTCAGACACTGGCAGACATCTTCGATGCGATAACTTTTTGAAAGCTTTAATTTAGCGGCGGGGTACGGCGCATATATGTGCTAAGGTATTTTACGTGTCAATGACTAAATAATTGTCCATTTCAACTAGAAACTTTCCTCCTTAAACCTCCTTCCATACGTTCTGGATGGCGGCCCAGTACTCCTCGGGATGGGTCCGAGCATGTGAGACATGCGCGCTGTCTTCGAAGCACACGGACCTAACATCAATCCCATCTCGCTCCGTTCGCTGGGCATGAGCATCAACGTCGGTCCATGGCATCACGCTGTCCGCCTTGGAGTAGATATATAGCCGCGGGGTCTTCTTATCCATCCAGGGCATCGCCCTAGCGAGTCTGAGCGCGTCCATCATGTTGTCGACAATCGTCGGTCGGCGGAGGACGTGTTTCTGCAGCCAAATGTAGCCAAACACGGTGCTGACAAACCCACCGACAAGGAGCCGGGTGATCGGGTTTTTGATCGGCGAGGTGATCGCGCCGAAGATCCGGTCGAAGCGCTCCGCGGCAGGATTCGAGTCGAGCACCAACAGCGACGGGGAGCGCGGGATGGGTTTGGAGGACGGGAAGGCCAGTTCTAATGCGCGGTTCAGCGCGACAAGATGGAATGCACCGCCTGTAATGATAAATCTATCAGTATCTGGGCGACATCAAGAAGCTGATCACGCACCATTGGAGAACGTATGCGCTAGAATTCTCGCCTTGCCCTCCCTGTAGCCATGTGCCGCCAGGACATCGATGAGGTCCGCATACCGGTTACGCTATAACAACAAAAGGCAAAAACCCAATCAGCCTTCTTTGTTATATTAAAAAACAACGCGGATGCAGACCAAAGCGGCGTATGGCGTCCAGAATATCGAGAGGTGACTCGGAACGAGGATAATGGTCGCGCCAGGGTAGATTTGAGCGTACATTGAGCAGTACTTGTGAAGGTGGACTGGGTAGGCCGACATCCAACCGAAGATGAGCACAACGCTAAAAGGGTAAGCTTGTACCAAAACAAGGGAAGCTTTCGCTGGGAAACGACATACGTCGGGTCGGTGGGCGATGAAGGTGCCTTGCGTTGGGGCTTGTGGATCGAGGCATACGCCCCCAAAGGCGTGAAGTTGGCGGCAGGCAACGCGGCGGCGACCATTTGCAGTGAGCGGGAAGGAAGGAAAGGGAGTGGAGTTAAGAGAGAATGTCCAGGTGGTAGTTATAAAATGGTGAAAGAGTGGTACTTATTTCTCCACGGGGGTATACAGCCGTCCCGACGGCGCGGGACCAATTATGGAAAATCCTTGTCCATCAGCGCTGAGGCGCCCCTATTGTAAAAATGCGCCGCGTCGTGGGGGGGTCGAGTTAATTATTTACTACTCTTTCGTCGACGGTCGCCATGTTTCGCTCAGGGCCGCTGGAATGGAACCCCCAACTAACCGAATTGGAAATCGCAATATTCTTCGGTACAATATTTTTTCAACTTGAAAGCGCGCAACGAAGACTCTGCTGAGAAGAGATGGAAGAGCTCGAGAAGGCTGCTTAAAACGACGAAAACAAGGTTTGCACGACGGCCTTCTCTTCTCTTCTTCGTCGACGCGAAAACACGTTCAATCATGCCGGCGCGCTGCTGGGGGGGGGTAAGTATCCAGAATCACACTCCCGAAAGGACGGTTACCGGGGTTTCACCCGTCTTGGGATCAAGATGGCACTTTTTCGTTTCGCTCTGCAGTTTCTTTCTCTGCCGCGACGGGCGACTGGCAGTCATAATGAAAAGCGCCAGATCCGGTGGGCGGCGGGTGGCGCAACAGCGCGCCGCGATTATTAGGTACAGGCTGAGGCTCGTCAAAGTCCGTTTCTTGCCCTATTGATCCGAGTGTCTCGAGAGCTTCTGCGAAAGAGTAACGTAAGGATACGTATCTCGGCAGGTACACCGACTGATGGCTTGTGGGACGGAGGTGACGGCGGGAACGACGAGGCCTTGGAGAGGTCCACGACGATGAGGAAAAAGGGATAGTGTGACTACGGCAGTCACAGGAAAGCGAAACCAATTCGAACTTGTAGCTCAGGTTTCGATTCAGATAACTCAGATTATTATCGGTTCCTGCCAGTGTTTGCCAATGCATTATTGTCGCCGTCGCGAGAATCGTACACAGTTCCGAACTTCCCAGCGGGTAGCTACGTTGTGTTGAGAAGATTCACAGGCATCCCGAGCCATTCAGTTAATCTCCTCCAGGCAACTCAACGAGGGACGGGCCGTGTGGCAATCGTGTTAGTCCAAATATTCCGTTCTTCCGAGTCTAGGCGATAGCGATACAAAAACACAAAAAGAAAAATCCAACACGAACACGACAATCGAGCTCGTAAAAAATAAAGACGATGGCGCAAAATCTATAATCCGTCTCGATATGTACGATGGCGAAAATAAGGGAAGGATAGGAATAAGATTAAGGACTCTGCGCCAGTCTGTTGGGTTTCAAACGAGCGTTGGTCGGCCGTGCCAGGGGGGGTGGGGCCGGCGATGGTGAGTTTTTGGGAGTGCCTCAGAACATGCCTTTGCCGTCGTGGTCATTGACGCTGCCACTGCCTTAGTCAGAAACGAGTCGGTGCATGAGCGAAAACATACCGATCGTTGTGCATCTCCCGCGCTACCGAGATGTTAACATTGAGAGCGTCGTTGGGTGTCCGCGTATTGAAGTGGGGCATTGAGATATGATCCACTGTACTGGTGTTGACCGCGACAGCACCTATTGAATGGGCGTGTTGGCGCGTGTTCAACCTGTGAAGAATCGGCATCAGTATCCGCTGGAAGCACACTCAATGGGGTGGGTCCTACATCGCCAGCATTGAGTTCATGTAGACTGCCAAGCCCGTCAGCACAAGGCAATGCGCTTCCATGGTTGCAACTCACACTTTCCACTGATGAGAATCATAAGCATGAAGTAGAAGGTTCCGGGTTGGGTCAAGAACTAGGGCGGATCTCATCAGAATAGGACAAGAGGAGAAAGGACCAGGCCTACCAGGACCATGTTGAGCAGAGCAGTGATCATCGTCAACACACCACGATTGATGGCAGTCATGATGAGGAAGTTGAGAAGCTTGTTGGTCCTGGAAGGCACAGAAGTCAGTTTGGTCGTCAAGAGAAGCACACAATCTGCCATACGATTGAATGCCAGTCCTCGTCTCGTGCAGACGCCAGATCAGTCCGACCGTGATCATGATGTCGGCGGCGAGAGACAGAGCGGCCTGGGTGTTGGAGGCAGCCTGAAACAAGTTAGCACTTCCGCGTATGGTCAACGGTTGCTACACACCGAAGTAGACGGGAGCTCGGCGAACTTCTGGATCCTAACACTGTGCAGAGTATCAATAGCGGGACCGGCTGCAGCAATTCAATGACGAACGCGAGGAAAATTTGAGCTGGTTTGGAGTGAGCGGACAGTTTAGCAAGAGCCAAATGCGGACGTACCAACACCTCCGCCGAATCCAACTAAGGAAAGAACGAAAACGATCGAGGGATACCACCAATTGCGTTTATAAACTGTAGGCGCGCGTCAACGGAAACACATCGAAGCCACAGAAGAGAAACATACGTTGATAGATACAGAACGCGAAGTAGCTGGTGGTAGTTGAACATTTTGGAGAACTTTCTTAAAACACAAGACGGACCATTGAGCGACGAAAGTCGAGGCATACAAGGTAAGCAATTGAGCTAATGCTTGCCTGGAAAATATTAGAGCAAGTTCGCATCCAAAAAAGGGCGACAAACCAGGGGAAGTCACTCAGGGCCTCGAAGTTACCGAAGTCGGTAATGAAGAGCCTGTATGTGGCAGCGAAGAAGAAGCCCGTCTGAAGAGTCTCCAGGACACTGCAATGCGAAACAGGGCGTCAGCGTTCGGACCGAGTTCGCAAGCCGGGAGAGACGGACGTGATGAGTGTAACCTGAAGAGGAAATCGTCAGGTCCGATACCAAAACAGACGCCCAAAGACTTACCGTGCCCTTAGTCCACCAGCCATCCTTAGGATACCAGAAGAAGTAGCTGTGAAACCCTAGTTCAGACACGAATATAATCATGAAAGGAGGAATTGAAGCCTACAGGTAAGCCTGGAGGAGCCCCATTCCGTACAGACTGCAAGGGAATGAATTAGCCGAGCGGCAGAAGGGGGCGGGCGGCGGAGAACGAACATGGCCTGGAAGAGTTGGGCGACCAACCAGATTCCGAATGTCTTGTCGAAAGTGGTCGGCATGCTGGAGAGAACGACGAGATAGATAGAAAGAGGGGGGAAGGGTTTTTTTAGCGGCTGCCGAGGCGACGTGTTTATATCTCCTGGAAATCTCCTTCAGACCTGTGATGGGACATTTGGAGCAGTAACGAGACCCTTGAGAAGCCTGTCGTGCGGAGATCACGCTAGTCTTCGCTTATAGTTGCCGGGTACCTTCGATGATTGCTTCTTGTGTGAACCGTTTTGGGTCAAGTTTAGACCAAATTGTTCAGGCAGTGCGCCACACTCCGTCTCCGCTGGAGTTGGTGGCAAACAAGGAGAGAAAAATATTGGAGTCGTTTTGACCGATGGGAAGCCAGCCCGAGTGGCAACGGGGTTGCCGTCGCTCTTCTTTGCGTATGGTCGGAACTTTCCTGTTACGATAATTCTGTTCCATGGGAGCCTCGTCGCCAACTGAGTACTCGTCCCTCTTGTCGCGAGCGTCAAGTCCACATTTCCCATGACAGCGGGTAGGGCTAAGCGAAGACGATCTGATTCCATGATAAGATCAAAAAATGGTATCCTGCGGCGTCCTGAAAGCTAAACTCCGGGCTGCCCACGAAAGCCACCAACGACGCCGGATTGTCAAAGCCGCCACGCGGGAGGGTCGCCACAGCCTGCATCAGCGTGGCCGGAGAGAGTCTGCTGGGAAAGAGCGGCAACGTTATCCTAGTTGAAATTCGTCATGGTTGTCTGCGAGTTTTCTTCCGAGGAGATGCAAACCAGTTCGGCAATTGCGTTTGAACTGTTGAGGAGAAAAAGAGCGACCCACGCTCGTCGGAAAGAGTCTGGACGAGACTAAAAACAAAAGGACAGTTTCTGCCGCGATCGAAAATCAGAATCTCGCACACGATAACGGCATCCCCATCTCCTGGGCCAACAATTCCTTGTGCAACCAACTTGTAGAAGTACCCCCCTTCGTCGCGTGGCGTCGTAAGCTCCAGCCCTATAACACACAGATAATCGCGAGGTGTGGTAAACTTGACTTCTCTCTTCCCGCCTCCTCCACGACCGTACGATGACCACCGATGGACTGAAAACGTTGCGCGCTCTCGCAAAAATTATCAACGAGTCCGTAGACACTCTTGAGACCGCGTATACCAAAGCTGGCCAGCCGTTGCCCCCGCTCGACGCCCCGTTTGACCCGAGCAACCCGGCCGAGAAAGTCCGCGATGAGCCCGCAGTGGCCACAGCGATCCTGAACATCATGGCGGCAACATCGCAAATGGCTGCCACCGTTCGCGCCCCAGCCGCCTCCGTTCTCGATGCTTCTCAAGCTGTAAGCAGCCCAATTTCTCTATGACAATTTCCGATCTCACGCGATCTTCACCAGTTCCATCTTTCCGCTTGCCTTCGCGTCGCATCGGAGCTTAACGTAGTTGAGATTCTTCGCGAGGGCGGATCGCAGGTACGTTTGTTGTTGCGCGAGATTGGCGCGGGAGAAAACGTTTGTCATTCCAGGGCCTCAACGTCAAAGATATCGCGGCTCCCAGTAAAGCTGATCCTGCCCTGCTCGGTGAGTCGCATATCAAACCGGCGAGCGCCTGTTGACGTACCTTTACAGCACGTTTTCTACGTTTGCTAGCAACACACAACATTTTCCGTGAAGTGTCGCCAAATGTTTTTGCCAACAACCGAGTGTCGTCCGCGCTCGATAAGGGCAAGACATCAGAAGCGCTCTACGCCAACCGGCCAGAGCGGCTTCTTGGTACAAACGGTGTTGCGGCGCTCGCAGAGTTCTTGTCAGTCCCAATCGCAAGCCCATCTTAACCAAACTGACACCACCGCCCAGCTCCGAAGACATTTTCAAGAGCTCCGCATGGCTCGCTGATACCATTCTCGAGCCCAAGGAAGGCCAACTTCCGTACAACAAGGCGTTCGGAACGGACTTGCCACTGTATTACTATATGCAGAAGCCAGAGAACCTGTACAGGCTACAGCGTTTCGGCCTCGGCATGCAAGGAACGGCGGCGACCGAATCTCCAGACGCCATCTTCACTGGTCAGTCGTTCTGCTGTGGATCCGGGAGTATCGGGATCTGAGAATGCATAGGTTTCGAGTGGGGCTCGTTGCCAGAGGGCGGCGTCCTGATCGATGTCGGCGGAGGAAACGGTTTCACAGCTTTGACCATTGCCCAAAAGCACCCCAAGATTAAGGTGATTGTGCAGGACCTCGATGTTGAGGGAGCCAAGACGGTAAGTTGATTTGAAGGATCTGAAGGAATTCTTGTAGCTCACGCATACACAGCTCTGGAAGGATAGCTTCCCAGCCCACGTCGAGAAGAACTTGGTCGAATTCCAAGGTAACTTGCAGTTTGTTCTTGTCGTAATCGCTATACTGACTCTCCTCAGCCTACGACTTCTTCAACCCGCAACCCGTCAAGGATGCCGACGTTTTCATGCTCCGCTACATCGCCCATAACTGGAATGATGGCCTGTTCACCAAAATCTTGAAGAACCTGCGTGACTCAGCTAAACCGACCACCAAACTCATCATCATCGAGAAGATCCTCTCCCTTGCATCTGCTGCCCCCGCCACCGACATTCCCGGAGCCCAGAAACCTTCCGCACCGGCTCCCTTATTGCCTAACTGGGGTGTTGGCACGGCTGAGTTCTATCTGTACGACATGGCGGTGTGTGCTGTTGCTTAACGCTAGTTTGGTAGCTGATTACTTTGCTCGTAGGTCCACACTATGCTTGGAGGCGGAGAGCGCACGCTTGCCGGGTTTGTTGATGTTCTTGCCGCTGGTGGTTGGAAGGTCACTTCCGTCCACCACACCACGGGCTCGCAGCTGAGCCATATTGTCGCACTGCCGAACTAGGAAAAGAATTTGCGTGTAATTTAAAAATTGTACCTGTAAAAGATGGTGTACCCTGGCGGAAGGGATAGGAGAAGGAGGGAAACACACGTGACTCTGAATCACAACGAGGTTCTGATTATGCGCAACAATTACAAAGTCACAACGCTGTACCATCCTCGCCCACTACGGTACAACCTCGAACGTGCAAACGACTCAGCATCTGCCTTACGACCTCTCGCTTCAAAAACCACTCTGCAGGCCCATGTAGAACGACCTCCTTCAGGCCTGGAAATGAATCGCCCAGGAGTATCTCTAGCTGACTGCGCAACGCCGGCTTTGAAGGGCTCCAGTCGTCTGGGTTGACTTTGAGTCTTATCCGTCTGATGCTAGCTGCTTGTATGCCCTTTCCCAGCGGGGCTATCTCTGGTGCGGCAAGATAATACGCCAGCTCTCCAAGAACAGGGGTACGGGATAATATCCGCTGTAGCTGGCCAGAGGAGAAGGTCATTTGGGGAGCGAACGCCAGTTCAAGCACGCGAAGATGTTCGCCAACCTTTGCGACAAAATCCAGGAGTGCTGTCGGCAGGGTTGAGTGAAGCACCAAATGGCGGACACGCAAGGTTTGCGGGATTGCGACCTTTTCTCGCGTTGGCGAACGACTCACCGCCCGAATAGCCCGGCTGAAACTCGGTGGGTGATGGGGCGTGATCGCGTGGAAATGAGAGCGATGGAGATGGATGGTGCGGACACTACTCGGCAGAGCGAGCTCGTCTAGCGCACCTGCCCGGTCTGAGGAGAGGAACAGGTAACGCAGCTGGGGTGCCTGGGAGATAATGTCGCGGAGGCGAGCACTGTTATTTGCCCCATAGAACCGCGGGTCTAGTTCTGTTTCGTGCCATTCGAGTCGTTGAAGGTGCTTGAGTGGCTGGGAAATAGGTCGTTGGACAAGGCTTGCCCAAAACGCGATACTGGCCCCATCTAGTGGAAGCGATGGTCGAACGAAAACCTGCAGATGTGTGCAATAGGAGAGAAGATTCGCCAACTGGATCCAGTCGGAACCACCAGCAGGCTGAGAGGGTGATAGAAGTTGCGACGGTTCTAGTGGGCCAGTTGACTTGACATACCCAGCGCTGCAACAAGTAGGCAGCTCAAGGCGCAGAATGTAAGAGCCCAGTGTAATTTCGCCGTCCTCTTTTGCTGACCGTGTCAGACCGCACATCAAGCTTTCCAACGCTGTAGCATCCCCCACGCGTACGTCTTGATAAAGCAACTCGGTCGCCAGTGCCCGGAAAGCTCGAGACACCACTACAAGTGACCGACAAGCGCTGCGCCGTGTCCTTTCGTTCTCCCGCACCCTCGCCGTGTCAGATAATTCCTGTGTCTTCTCGAATGGCCGATATCCAGCGTGAAAAGACTCATCCGATCTAGCTACGAAGCGGAATATGAGTCGCCAGATTTCGGGTGGGGCCGAAGGCATTGCGGTTTAGAGTGCTCCATGGTGGCCCGATATTTAGGCAATCCCGCGCCTTGACAGACGACACCAACCCAGTGTTGGTACCACATGGAGAGGGGCCTGTCGGTGCGACACGGACCAAATCCAAGTACAGTGATTATGTGGGCCGGCAATTCGGCAATATTCTTTCTCACTGGAGTTATAGAGGCTCTGCTATGCCCTAGAGGTTAACAGCATGTGTAGTAAGGACTGGTTTATTGAACCATTGATCATGAAACCTGGGTCTGAGTTGCAAAGTCAGCCATTTCAATGAAAATTTCTATTAGTCGTCTGAAGGATACGAGTAATGATATATAGTCAAAGCCTCATTCAAGGTTGACATGCTCTTCATTGTTCTCACTGGGACCGACGACATTGTCAGCGTCGACATTTGGACACTGAACATCGGACATTCGTGATACTCTGCTCTCAAGCAGCCAACTACTGTTTATAAATAGCAAATCAAATAAGAGAAGGAAGTGCATATGTCGCATAGAAGTACAAGACCATAGACGCATACATGGTTGGAACCAGCCACTAGACCCCGCTAATTGTACCCACAAATAGACATATATCTACACCGACTGTCACCAGGACAACCCACACCTTCAGCTCACGTACAACCTAGCGGGCTGACGCTGCGAGAAGACCGCGACAAGGAGGGCACCGAAGATGAACCCCGTGATGAGACAGGACGCTGTTTCGGCGAGCGAATACGAGAATGGGTTGACCGGTGTTGCTTCCAATTGCTCAACTTCAGCTGCTGGCATATCAGAGTGGGCATCCGATTCTGACTTCTGTTCCTTCACGGGCTCCACACGCGTGTCTGCTTCCGACGGCGCAAGAACAAGAGGTTCCGACGATGGCGACTCCGAATGATGCGGTATCGTTGGCCGCAAGACAGGGGAAGACGGTGGTGTCAACGGTGCTTGGGTCTGATGCCCTTCGGGTTCCGAATAGATATATTTCTCCAGCGCCGCATCGACTTGTTCCACCAGTGGCTCAGAGTTTTTGCGGTGAGATGCTTGTGTGGGGGTACGGAGACCGCATTCAAGGCACTTGTCAGCATTGCCTGGCCTTGGTGGCACAGGAGCGACACTGGAAGGAGACCTTGAAACAAGCGAGGGAGGTGGTGTTGGGGGTGGTGTAGGCAGGTGGGAGTAATCGCGTTGGATCGGTGAGCAGAGGGGAAGATCAGATGGATAGAGGGTCTTTCGTTCAAGCCAGGGAGTTGTATTCTTGTCGACAGGCGACTCCAATGGCGGCGAAGGGAGATCGAATCCGCTTTGTAACACAAGACCATTGTTTTTGTTCTCGCTTCGTACTGGGACCGGTGTCAATTTGACCTTGCCGCTTGTTTCCATGTTTCTAATCTCTTCAGTAACCAGCCGACCCAGTTCGTGCACAATGGTAGTCCACTGCTCGTGCTGTTTCTCGGCTATGTCTGAAGAATATGGCCACCGCGCTATTGCCTTGGCAAGTTCGAGGACCTTTGTCAGCGCCGCATTAGAAAACATGTTCCGATCTTCAGCATTTTCCAGTCCAGTCTGCACATCTTCGGAAACGGCAAGAAGTTTCACCATCCAAGCAGCCCATCCACCAAGGAAAGCCATGGCTAGCCCAACAGCACCACGAGTAGCATCATCTTTCCGAGCATCCTCAGAAAGAGCAGCGAAGAAAGTGGCCTGAACGGCGCAGAAGTTATGGTAGCTGGCCTTGCTCGGTGGACGGGGATAGAACCAGGCAACACGTGCGATGGGAATGGGAAATGTCGGAGGAGAAAGCGGGAAAGGACGAAGACAATAGGATGGGAGAGCGTCAAGCAGTTTTAGCAGAGGAACCGATGCGAGAACTGCATATTGAGGAATAGAACCGTAGACGAGGACGCTTTGCGATTCCTCTGCGTGATGGTACCATTTCCAGTGGTCAGGATGTCGTCTATCTTTGTGGTCAATATCAGCAAGAATCAAAACAGAAAGACTCACACAGCAGGTGATACCGAACGAAGAACCTCGACCGCGGTTATGGCCCGTTGAGAAATAACCGAAGCAGTCGCGTCGATGATGGCAATCTCTACATCGTGCTTGACGCCAAAATGATAACGGCGCAAGGCCTCCCAGATAGCCCACATGAAGCTGAACGACGTCGATATGTACTCTGAGGCATGTCGTGTTGTCCATTCTAGATGTTTGGCGACCTCAACATATGTCGCAGCCGGTGGATCGCGGAGTTGCTCTTCTTTGATATCAGAGTAGCGGGCGTCAAATTTTGGAGCGATAAATGCGTCTTCCAGAGGCGATATGTCGGTCTTGGGACTATGCACCCGGAAGATAAAGGGATTCCGCTCGACCAGTCGGCGGAATTCCACCGAGTCGGACTGGAAGCCGAATTGCGGGAGGTCCAATGCGTTGCAGCAATCGCAGGACATCGAAGAAGGTGGGAGCGAAGGAATGACCGGCGCTGCGGCCAGGGGGGCTGGTATAAGTGCGACCTGGGGCCTGGAGGCGTGCCGGTGGAGACACGATTTTGCGATCGCACTAAGTACATGAACACGCCGAAGCCACGCCTTTCAGAAGTTTGGCTCTGCTGACACATTCAAGTCTCATGAACTGCATCTGCGGAGACTTGTACTCCCGGGCTCCCCTGAAAAGACAGCATGCACGAAACAGTCACAGTGAATGTTGACAACGATATGGGGGAGGAAAAAAAGTGAGGCGTGACTGATGTGTGACTAAGATGAAGAAAGATTCTGCTGAGTTAGCGTAGCAAGGAGTGTCGTAGCCTGTTGCCAGCCCACTCAAAATCACCGTAGTTTGATTCGCAAAACATAGATTTAGCCTAAATATATACATTCGTCTTCGAAAAAGTCTTCTCCTAGTGCACATGCTGTAACACGCATCTATGTAGTCGATCGGTGGTTGAATGCTAGTCCAGAGGAGAAATATTGAAAAGTGACTATGGTCCTGACGAGGTCGAAATTGAAGGCATTAGCGCAAATGATAAAATGCTACCCAGATAGTCAGTGGTACAATGCCGTATCATGCCATCCGAGAAAAAGACATCAAAACACAGAAAGAGTGAAACCGTGTGATTCTGGCTCTGTTCGTCGTCAGACGGAAGGTGACTGGGTCCCTCGCTTGAATACCCTTGTAGACTAAGTAAATCCGGTTAGCTAAAGCAGGAGAACTCGTAGAGTGTCGGAGGTGCAAGGATTACTGTCCTGACTGCATATATCTAGAATGCGTGGAGCCGTGAGACTAGAGGCAGAGTCGACAATATATGTGGGTGATTGTTGTGGTATTTTCTGGAGGAAGGAGTCCCACTTGTCGTTGAGCTCTGGGCTTGCGGCCATTTCAAGAGATGCCACTAGCAAGAAGGAATCCGGTAGAAGGTTGACACAGGACAGTTGACTTGCCAACTAGCTCAATTCTTGGAGCTGAACCAACGCATTCAAGACAGAGACAACAGACGACCAGGCGCGACTAGTGGGTAGAAATGAATGCTGGGTGGTGTGGTACGAAAACCTCAAGTAGCAGCCAAATCGACTGTATGAATTTTCTTCGCAGATTAGATATAACCCAGGGTTGTAAGTATAGTCAGAACTTGAGAGACCCGGAAAGGCGGAAAAAGATATGAACGCAGCTATGTTTCTTCTCTTCCCTTCAAGTTGTTCTATACACAACTTCCGCCCTCGCATTCGATGCATCAACAGCGAAGTCTTTCCCACTAGCGCCTGAGAAACCTTGGTATATTCAAAAGCACACTTGAAGAGCCATCAGCTTGAGAAATCCGAAAGAGCGAGAAGGCCCATAGAAGGCGGCTCTTGAGCAAACAACACTTTTGTTGTTGGCCAAAACCTGTCTTGCATCGGATGCCGTGGCCTGTCGATTACTGTCGTTGGGCATGAAGCCAGTTGTGTCTCGTTTAAGTACTTCGGGTCCTCATAGGTTCATGATCATGATCATCATCGTCAAACAGTGTGCTGACAAAGCTGTGTTATGTCAGCGGATGGTCTTCCTTCCCAAACCATCCCAGGCACGCCAATTTGCATGCCAATGAGCAGCGACCCAGTCACCCGCAAATTGAACCAGGAACGACACTCCTCGGACAAAGCTCAGTCCCTAAAATGCATTGATTTCTCACGCAGTTGCTACTTTCCTCACCGTTCGGTGCCATCGCGCCGTAGAAGCTTCTCCAAACGGAGCCGCAGGAATTCATATGGCTACCGAAGATTTATCCGTAGTCCCAATTCTAAGGAGCGGCGTCCATGATGCAAGCCCGACCAACTTGACACAAAAATAGAAGGTTCGGATATAAGTAAGTTCATCCAGCTCAGTGATATTAGTCCTCGCTGACCGAACTCGCTCAGAAATCTATCTGGGAAATAGGCGCCAGCAACATGAGCGTCACTCATCCGTGTCTTCGTAGGTGGCATCCTCTTGATTTTGTGAGAAGGAAGTTCACGCATTACAGACATCAGAGACATCAACGACGCTCATCGCGTTTTGCAAGCTGTTCGAATGAACATACTACCTATTGTGAAACGGCGTCTGTCAATTTCAGAGCGCATGGGTCTGCGCAGCGGCAACGTATTTGTCTGGGAGGAATCGGACTCTGAGGAGGGTCTGTTGCGATGGACAGAAGGTCGACGATGGCAAGTTTCATGGCAGCACACCAGGCCTACAACGCGCTAAATATATTTCAGGTCGCAGAGTCGAATGAGAGGAGACTGTCTCATTTATGAAGAGAAGGTCCAAACAACTGAGGCAGAGAGGCGAGAGAAAGCCACACGAAGGTTTGTACAAATGATCAGTAAAACCATGTTTTTCAAATTCATCTTAATTTGACGTTGTAAAGGGCTTTCAAGTATTCCGACCTATCTCAGGCAATCCCACCTCCGCCAAAGCGTAAAGACAGACCCACGAAAATAGATGGGCTCACCAAACATGCCTACTCAGTCACAGTCAAGCTGCCAAACCAGACTGCGATAAAGAAATGGCATCTTGTTGCTTATTTCTCGGTACCGCCCAAGATTCAATGCGACCGGAGAGTACTAACTCTCGCAATAGGCCCACGAGGCGTCATTGCTTCCAGTTGTGGAGGACTATAATTATCTGCGCGCGATCGAAATACCGCGGAACGTTTTTGGGGGACACAATAGCAGATCATACGCCGGCGGCGGGTGCCTGGACGTCTTTCCCCGTCCCACCGAGCATCCAAATGCATTTCACTACCGCGCGGTCTCGCGCGACAGTTGCGGGCCTCCGTTGTCACGGTCTCCTCAATCACCTCCAACGCGAGTCTATAACACCACAGACTCCATCACCCTTCCCCCGATGTCGCCCACCATAACATTCAAGGTGCCACTGCCACCACTCTCCTCACTAGGCTGCTTCCTCCCTAAGCCACGAGATTGTTCTATCGCATCAGTTCCCGGTCTGTCTCAAGACGACCGTCGTGTCCTCGAGAAATTTCGAGTTGTTATCTGAGCTTAAGCAACCGCTGGCGTGCGCTCTTGATTCCAAACATCTGGAATGGAGGATCGTCGCCTAGACTTGTGGGCGGAAGCCTGAGAAATCCCAACACGCTAACATAGGAGAAGCGGACGGTCTGGCAGTGTTAGTTCCCATGTTTATTCACGAGTTCACAATTCGAAGGCCCCGAGTCGGTGCCGGTGGCTTAATTAAACCTCAAGCAAGCATGTTTTGCCCACGAAAATGGCTGTTGTGTGGGGAAAGGGCACGTTCGCCAACGGCAGTGTGGATATAAAACGGGAAGACATCAAACGCGCGTTACTCAGAAACCAGTGTTCTGAGCCTGGACCATATGCATGGCAAACTATTGTTCAGTCTGGCCGGGGCATAGTTGCCGGGGCCGTCGAATGCTCGACCACCCACGCTTGTCCGCGACATGGGTCATTTTCTTCATGCCCCAATACATATGGATTTATGGCCAAGCGAAATCGCATTCAAGTTGATTGAAACTTGCTTCAAGTAGGTTTGTGGGAATCCCAGAGAGACCAAATTGACCCTTAGCTAGATGATGTCGATGAAGTTGATCACAATTGAAAACCTCAACACACATTGAAACTCGTTTTTTCGTGCCTGTGCATAATTGCGGCATCCCGCCGACGAGCCCAGCAGGTTGGGTCGTCCTGGATCGAGCAACATGTGAGCATGAGACGAAATTTCAAAATACGGCTTGAGAACTTAAAGCTGACTCGCTGAACCGTGAGATCATGTGAGATCATAAAAGCAGATACCGTGCCAGACTATCAGAACTCCGTTGCGGCTTCGGACCCGCGTCGAATGACGCACTTGGCAATCGGTCGACGCCGCTAGGAAAACCGTTAGACATGCGAGAAATCTCGCACACGGATAAACTTGAGGGTGCATTTATCCGTGACGCGCGATTCTTCAGGCGCTGCAATCACGTGGTCGCGTTGGTTCACTCAGATGAATATCGTACGAATGGCTTTCATATTTCAAGGACGACTTCAGGATGGGTATCCCACTCGTTTGGGAACCACGCCGAATGCGGGCCCAGTCTTTCCAAACATCTTGCGCAAATCACTCGCCAAAAGCGCGGGCACTTCATGGGCAGCAAAATGCCCTCCCATTGGATGAGACGACTCAAACACGATCTTGCCCGTACGACGGATCCAGCTGAGACAGAATCAGTATTGAGGAAAGACAAGGAAGAAACAGCATACTTGCGAGGCAGGCCGACCAATTCGCCCGGGAAGTAGGTAACGCCCATCAGGATGCTCGGATGTATTGTGGGGTCGTAAACAGAGGGAATGAGCCCGCGTTCTTCATGAATTTCGTAGTAGATGCGGATCGACGCGGCTGGTCCTGCGCGAGAGAACCAGTAAATCGATATCCAGGTTAAAACTGCCATGTACAAGTCAGTGAAATTCGAGAATGTAATGATAGCTTACCCTCGTCGTCATCCCAAGGGTACTTGTCTGTCCAGCCTACAAGCTTCTCGTATATCCATGCAAGCAACCCAACAGGTGAGTCAGCAAGAGAGTACCCCAGCGTCTGTGGTTTCGTGCTCTGCATATGGAAATATCCCATACCACTACGCTGCATTTCCTGTGCCCGTTGTAAACCAGCTTTCTCTTCTGCTGTCATCGAGAAAAGAGCAAACAACATCGACGCGGAGGTGAACAGGTGGAATGGGTTCCAGCTGAGTTCCGGTGGACCAACACTGAAATTGCATGAGAGGGAAAATAATGAAGCCGAATTGCAGCAACGCATACACTGGCATATTGGTATGCCACGCTTTGGTGTGTTTGCCGCCATATTCGACGGCGACTTTGCGAGTAATCTAGAGAATGCGTTATGGATTGTAAAGCAGAAGGAAGCTTACAATACTGCCCCAGTCTCCGCCTTGAGTGACTACAATTCTGTGAGCGGCCGAACGTGAGAGGAGGAAATGACACACCATATTCATCATAACCCAGGGCAAGCATCAACTTGTTGCAGACCTCTGCGTACTGCTTATTTTTGAAGCCTCTCTTCTTTGGCGCCTCAGAGAATCCATAACCCGGCAGACTGAGCGCAACGACATGGAAGCTAGGGTGGTCGGGTTGAACTTCTGCCAGAAGCGGTCCCAGTTTGCGTATCTCAAAGAAACTGCCTGGCCCTAAATCATACTCGTCAGATGTTTTTATAGAGGATGTATACCACGCACACCCATGGACAAACAACAGCGGGATAGCATCCGCTAACTCGCTGCGAATATGCACATAGTGAATGTTGAGCGACCCAAACCCATCCACCTCAATGTCCCGTGTAAATTGAGGTAGCTCGTCGTTCAGCGCCTTCTCGTGTTTGCGCCAGTCATAGCCGTCTTTCCACCGTTTCACCAGTCGCTTCACGTCTGCTAGTGGGGCACCATATGCCCAGCCTGCTTCGTCAAGCTCGTCAGGAAACGCGGACAGGTCGAGTTTTGCCTTGAGGAGAGCGAGATCCTCGTCGCTGACTTGGATTCGGAAAGGTTGTTCTCCCATGGTCAGGGCAGAGAGTGCATTAGCCGGTGTCTGTTTTTTCGGTGTAAAAAAACAACTGCCGGCGTGACACGGGTGTGACGGAACGCGAAAGGTAACTTAAGCGCTGGCAAAGCGCTGGTAGTAGAAGCGCCTGTATGTCAGAGACCAGCGCTCGATGCGCTTATTCAAGTTATTGAACGCATCCTCGTGTTGGCATGACTCGGGTGCTTAAACTGCTATGCCCACGACGACCATCGCCCACCAACACAACCGGCTGACTTTCCTCCTCCGACTGCTAGTCCGCTCGTCGTTGTCCCTCAAACGATTCTTCGAGTATGTCCTCAGCCATCCACAAGGCGGGGAGCTGCTGCGCTTTGTTTTCCTCGGGACCGTCATGGAAACGTGTGGTTTGGCTCTCCAGTGTGGAACAGAATGGAGGCTAACTGATAATAAGTGGACGCGCGTTGGCTCTCAAAGTGCCTGAATTCGTCAAAAGCTGTTCGTGACAACTCTTCCCTTCTCCTTCTCACTTAACCGGCCTGCAGTCTTCCAGGTCAATGTAAGTGTCATGATCCAAGACTCAGACAGGTTGCTTATGGAGTTGTGAACGTCGCAGGCCCACTTTCCTCGTGCAGATATCTCACATGAATGGGCAAGTGACAACCATCTGCTATGTGCCCTCCATCTCACCAATATTTCGCCAGATTTCGACATATATCGAGCACCACAACGTCTGGCGGGGGTCTCGCTTCCGCACCTTTACCGTTGTTGCCAAAGACACCACTCGGATCACGGACCGGGAGGTGCCCTTCCGGAGTCACGACGGCTACCTCGATGCAGTCTATACGCAGGCATGGGATCCAGAGCTCTTCTTCTGGCGCCGCCGCTGGATTACGGTGTATGTCGACGACAACGGACTGACGTTGCAGGTCTGGAGCCTCAAACGCGGCGTTCTCGATGAGCTCATTCAGGAGGCACGGAATTTCTATCAGTCCCGCACGGTTCCTCCGCCTATCGTATTGAACGATACCGTAGGTGTCTCAAAGCAATATTTTGATCTTATAACCCTAGTTTGTTTAGTCTGGATCGCTGGTAACCGCGTGGTTTGAAGGTGGGGACTTCAGCTACACGTGGATTCTCGAGTACCTTCAAGCGCAAGACGGCATCATGAGCGAGAATGCCCAATTCTGTATATCGACGAGGCAGCCAGATGCAGGATGGTCCCGCCGTGCAAGGAACTCAACGCCAAGCACTGCAAACCAGATTCACGCGTTACCAATGCGTGCTGGGAGTGCTCATAGGTCGGTCAAAACGATATCTTTTAATTTTCAAGTTTGATTCATTGTTAGATTCCGATGGCGCAACTACTGGGTGCAAGCTAACCTCATCGCTGGAGTAAGTTAACATCTTTTTACTTGACTGATCTAATCTAATCATTGTCAGGGCCCACAAATCACCATCCTCATTCACACATCAGACAAGTCTGTCATCTTCGAATTCATCGAGGCTGCACGGGCGCACTACGCTGCAGCCTCTATGTCCCGTGTGAACGTGCATTTGACTAACTTTGGCAACTGGGGACGTGTCGTCACCAAAAGCCGCCGCGCATATTCGACGTTGATTCTCCCTGAAGGCATCAAGGAGAATCTACTTGCTGACGTGAGAGAGTTTCTGGATAATGAAGAGTGGTATACTTTTGCTGGGGTTCCACTGTTGGAACTAGCGACGTAGCGTAGTACAAGTTGTTACTGGGACGACCACGTGAGGCAATCCGTCTTGCCTCACCCGTCGTTCCAGGTATGTCGTAGTGAATACAATCCGTCTTGCCTCACCCGTCGTTCCAGCTTTGAGAGCTTGAGCCTCCGCGCACGTACCTAATTCAACATCCACATCGCCGTGGGTATCTTTTGTATGGCGAACCTGGGACTGGGAAGAGTACGACTGTGCATGCTCTGGTAGCTGCCTATATTTCTGACGGCCAATTTCTAAGCTGACTAATATTCCTCTAGGCGGGAGAATTAGGTATGGAGATTTACTTCATCTCCCTTGCGTCCCCCGGGTAAGCTGAATTCTACAAACTTGGTAATTTATAATAACCATCTGGTTCTCGCTTGTCAGTATCGATAATCACACCCTCGGCGAGCTCTTCCACTCGACACCGCCGCATAGCATCCTGCTCATCGAAGACATCGACTGCGCGTTTCCGTCGCGTATCCTCGACAGCACCCAACTTGATGAGCACGGCCAACCGACAGAGGTGCTCAAGCCGCGTTCACTTGTGACGCTTTCAGGTCTTCTGAACATTCTGGACTCGGTCGCAAGCCAGGAGGGCAGAGTGCTAATCACCACCGTACGCTCTTTCCTCTTCGTTGCTTTCTGCATCTTGACTTGACTTGCCTAGACAAATCACATCGAGCAGCTCGACCCTGCGCTTATCCGTCCCGGGCGAATAGACATGCAAGTGTGTCCAGATTGGGCCCATCATCGTTGCACCACTGAATTGTTTCAGATCAAATACAACCTCGCCACTGCTGAGCAGCTGCAAGACGTTTTCCACCGGTTCTACCCCAGCGCGGACAAAACGGGCCCCGACCTGCCCAAGATGGCGTTCCGGCCCGGCCCGGGGATAGATGTCGATGCCTTGGCGGAAGCGTTTGCACAGGCAATTCCGCAGGGCAAATACTCGCTTGCGCAGATACAGGGCTTTCTGCTCGGGTTCAAGCAGGATCCAGCCGGCGCGGTTCGGGACGTCGGCACGTGGGCGGCGGATGTCACGGCCCGGGAAGCGGAGCTGAAGGCATTGAGGCAGAGGGAAGCAGAGAACGCGCCGCCGGTGTTGCGGGGGTCGCGCTATTCGCCGGTTGGGTGGGGAAATCCATCAGGCGGGTGGGGTAATTATTAAGTAATTTTTGTTGTGTTGGTACAATAGTGGTACAATCCAAGATGAGGTACAAGTCGTCTAGATCTATAGACACGAAGAAGACGAAGGCGAAGGCTAGGGATACACGAGCGCGACCAACGGCGCAGCCAAACGACGAAGAATAAACAGGCAGTGTGGGGCATCTGAGACCATTTGTTAGGCAACCAATAAAACAAAAGAAAGCAGATGGCTACTAACCAGATGCACGAGTACATCCTGCATGAACGGGCCTCCTCCGTCTCTACTTCAGCCTCGACAGCTTTTGGCTGGAGGGCAGGTACAGCGCGAGCGACATCCTGGATGCCGACGAATGGGGCGTGTTCCTGCACCATTATAAGCATCGAGGGAATGAAAATGGAAGTGAACGACGCACAATCTCGCGAGCGACGGGCTCTGGCGCTGGCATAGGAGCAGCAGCAACGAGGAGAGCGCCTGATTTACATCAGTGAATAGCAGAAGGAAAAAAAAAAGGACATACAGAAAGCGACAACAGAGACGAATGAGCAGCGCATTTTAATTGGGTGAGAGGTGTCGCGGAGATTGGCTTTTTGGATTTAGGCCGGTCTGTGTGGGCGGGCTCGAGGGCTCAATGGAGAGCATCTCTCGTCATCTTCGTCCTTATATTCAGGCTGCCCAGGCGTCAGCATAAGGGCACTGCCGTTTTGGGAATTACTTTGAAGGGCATGGCCGGATGGGGAAGGTGCGCGTCAGAGGCAATAAACGGATGGCCCGAATGGGAAGAAGGCGAGGGGTGTTGACAGAGATTCGAAGGAGACGTCAGATGGATTTGGGTGCGCAATGTGGGCTACAAGACATAGATTTCTGGATGATGGCGGAGAAAGTTCTCAGCTTGATAGCAATTTAGAGCAGCAGATAGTGCTGCAATCATAGGCAGCGATAGAATTACCGTTATCGACTCCTTGAGGCCGTATTTGATTGCGATTGGGCAGCCACAGAGGGACGAGCGAGTGGGGTGGTGATGGCAAAATGGTGAGAACTTGAAATCTTCGACCATCACTTGTCACCCGCCGATACCTCTCATGACCTTCCCCCATGTCATTACCAACCGAGCTCGTTTGGGCAATCCTGCACCAGATTGAGGACATCCAGTCGCTCCAATCATGCTCCCTTGCCTCCTCCCACCTCCGTATTCCAGCCCAACAAGCTCTATTCACCGACTTCAAAATACCTACCTTGCGAGCTGCCGCTTGCGATGACTTTCTGCGGGACGCACCACATATTGTGGGCTACATAACGAGCCTCCGCATTGAGCTCCGTGTCATCGATCTGTCATTGGAGGATACCAAAACATATGGCAAGCAGCTAACACATATCCTCTCGCGATTCGGGTCGGTCCGCCAATGCTACCTTGACGGCTCATTCGATGTACCGACACTGCTGGTTGACAACCCCTTCATATTGTCGCAGCTAGAACGACTCTGTCCACAAGAACTCCACATTCACCGACTACGCAATATCCCCAGCAGCCTTTTCCAGCGTTTGGCTAGAATCGCGCCACGACTATCATTCTCCACCGCCTTGCTGGCTGATCACCGTGCGTCGGAGAAGGAGTATGACGTGGAGCAACTCAATTTGTGGACGTTAACCGATCCCATTTGTCGGTTTTTCGCGAACGCCAGGTTGCCGCAGCTCGTGCGTTTGAGACTCGATGTGAATGCAGACATCAATGTGGATGCATTTAAGCTTGTTGAGAACTGTGCAGAGACGCTACAGAGCCTCACGTTCATGTACTCTCCTGGTGAGTTTTATCTCTCAATTTTGTTTTGAATTCTCATTTCATGCATTCCCAGCTTCAGGAACCCACATACCTCCCCGTCCCCTTCCCATCCTCCCTACGCTACTTCATGTGACTTTCTTCCTCCGCTTTCAAGATCGCGGCTCGTCCTGGTTCCAAGAAACTGCCACTGCCATTCTCTCTCCAAGTACAGCACCGTCACTTAGACACGCCACAATCGCATATATTCCGACCTACACTCCATTCTCTTGCCCGCCCTACATCGCGCGGGACCACCTTCTCCCTCTCCTTGACGCCGTCTTGTCCCGGCATCCGGTCCGGCCCCGCCTCCGCTGGGTTTTAAATCTCATCACAGCGCACTGTCAATGGGAGCACGCGAACGAGACCGCGTTCAATGTATTCGCGGATGGGTTGAAGATGGGTATGCCGGTGATGCAGCGGGAGAGGCGGTTGGAATTCGAGAAAGTGTCAAGCAGGAAATGACTGAAAACGGAACGGCGCAAGATACGAATGTCAGAATTGCTGCGTTGTCTTTGATGCAGACCTGAGCTAATGAATGCTTCACAGAATTGATCGAGTCCTGAGTCCTTTCAAGTTCTCGACTGAATACTTGATCTTTCGACCAATGAAACCCTTCGTTTGCTTGAATCTGGAGGGTGATGCCAGTGGAAAGAAAGGCAAACGCACATAACAACTTCAACTTGGACGTAGACATGGTTTTACAACCTGAGCCTGAAGGAAATAGAGGCTTCGACCTGTCGTGTTACTGTACAAACGAGTGCTCGAATCAGAAAATTGCTTTGCCATCGTGCTGACGCTGCCGTGGAATGATATCATTAGCGCACATGAATCGTGTTGGTAGATTGTCAACTTGCTGCTGTCGAATGAGATAGCATCTATCGAGTCGGAATACCGATGAATATTCAACTCCAATAATCACAACTAGATAGACCATTCACTCACATCAAGCATAGCTTGAAGGAAAACTTGAGACGGATTTTCGCGTGTCGTCACGCCGCGTCACGATCAAGCCGGGTTGAGCTTACTTAAACGACCGGTTAATGTTCTCTCCCAACCCCGACCATGGGAGAACAACCCTTTCAAATCAACGTTAGCGACGAGCACCTCACTCTCCTCAAGGCGAAACTCGACTTGTCTGCGTTTCCTGATGAGCTTGACGAGGCAGGCTGGGCGTATGGCGCACCACTGACGGACCTGAAGCGACTGGTGAAGCGGTGGAAGGACGGCTATGACTGGCGCAAACACGAGAAGGCGTTGAACGACGAGCTACCCCAATTCACACGGGACATTGAGGTGGATGGGTTTGGGTCGCTCAATATCCACTATGTCCATATTCGCAGCGGGTTGGAGGATGCTATTCCGTTGTTGTTTGTCCATGGATGTGCGTATGCTATACAACTCAGCATTTCATGAGTTAACAATGGCTTTTAGGGCCAGGCAGCTTTTTCGAAATACGCAAAATGGGGCCACTTCTTGCACAAGTCCATCCCGACCACCCCAGCTTCCATGTAGTTGCGATCAGTCTGCCGGGCTATGGATTCTCTGAGGCACCAAAGAAGAAAGGCTTCAATAGCAAGCAGTATGCTGAGGTCTGCCACAAACTAATGCTTGCACTGGGTTACAACGAATACGGTATGTTACCTCCCCTTTTTTGTTTGTCGTCCGATGTCCGGCGACTGAGAGAACTTCAGTCACCCAAGGCGGAGATTGGGGCGGCATTGTGAGCTTTCCCCTCATATGCACTACCAAAGCTGATAGATTCTCTGGATTACTCGCAAACTCGCTGTTGAATATGGCGGCGAACACGCCAAAGCGTGGCATACGAACTTCCCTGTGTGAGCTTCAAACTGCTTTGAGTCTTGATTTTGACGCAGGCCTAGTGTTGGCCCTCCGCGATTCAGCTGGAACCCGTTTCAGGTTTTCACCTCTGCATCGATGCTGTTTGCCCTTCTCTGGATGACACCAGAAGAAAAAGCAGGGCTTCAACAGGCACAGAGCACACAGCGCCACGAACTGGGGTACTTCCAGATGCAAACTACGAAACCTCAGACGCTGGGGTACTCTCTTGCTGACTCACCTGTTGGCCTGCTCGCTTGGATTTACGAGAAACTCGTCCGCTGGACGGATAAGTATCCCTGGGACGACGATGAGGGTGAGTTCCATTCTTGTTATCATGACTCGCTTAGCAATTATTTTCTGCAGTCCTAACATGGATATCGATTTATTGGTTCTCCCGTGCCGGTCCAGCGGCCTCGCTCCGCATCTACTACGAAATCGCCCAGGAACGCGGACTTATTCCCTCTGTTTACGACCCCACGACACAACCAAGCATTCCTATGGGTATCACCTACTTCCCCGGCGAGATATTCGGTCTGCCGCGCAAGCGAGTTACTCCTCTTAGTTTTTGGTCATTCACTAAGCAAATATATTCTCAATTTTTTAGCTGGGTTCGTCGCACCGGGAACGTCGTATTCGAATCGGCACACCCGATGGGCGGGCATTTTGGGGCATATGAAGCTCCTGCGCTGTTGGCTGATGATCTGCGCAAGATGTTTGGAAGAAATGGCCCTGCGTATGGGGTGGTTCCTAAACGAGTTGGATATGCAGCACGGAGCCGTTTGTAAGATAATTTTAGCAGAATCATAACACGACCACGTGACTAGAGGCGACACCAAAAACGCACGTCTCAACGCGTCAACGATGTCCCGCTACACTTTAAGGCTCTCCCCACGCATAGAAGATCGCATTTCACCCCAGGTCTGGCAAGGAAGAAATGTTTTTCCGCTGACATTGGGATCGTCAGGAAGTTGCGAGGAGTTCTGATTACACTCAGTTTGGGAGGTCATCTGTTTTTCGAACTCATGCTTCGGTGGGTAGAAATTGTGGAGCTCAAAAAGCGTGTCATATCGGCGGGCGTTGGGTTGGTGTGCTGTTCGGCGGGCTCTTTGTAAGATGCCGCCAGTGTCTAGAGCTTTCAAGCCCTCTGAATACTCGTGCACGACGCTGGTCAGCAGGGGTGTTACAACTGCAAATGTTCTGCTACTGAACACCTCAGGGCCGGCTCAGGCTTTAAATGAGGCAAACTCGAGTTTCGGGGTGTTTTAGCCAGCAAAATGATTTTTAGTGCCCGAATTTCGAGACACTGGGTCGCGCATCCGTATGCATGGGTGCGCAGAGAAGATGTCCCATGTCAAGAAGCACAGTACACCAGCCACAATGAGACAATTGAATGCCCAACGGCCCCGGCAAGTGGTGATATCACTCGCATCGTTATTGGGCAGTTAAGCTCGACAAGAGTTGACTAGTGGCGCCTGAACCGCACTCCCGATGCGTGACTTCGCGGCGAAATGAGCTTGTTCCTGAGGGGTTGGGCTCAGAGCGACAGATTCACACCACCGTCCATCGAACATGTCATTTCCCACACAACAGCCAGTTGCGTGAAAGATTATTCCCTCCTTGAGGCTTAAACTTCGCCGGTACCGACTCGGAGCCTTCGACCTTGCGAACCACCGTATGTTGGTCGAATCTTGCGGGTTTCTCAGGCTCACGCGTAGAAATAAATGCACCATATCCCAGATGTCTGGATCGATAACGCATGATACAATGAGCACTTGACTATCGTTCCAAGTTCAAAGAATAACACGGAATTTTTCAAGGACACGACGGTCATCCTGGGACAGCGCGGCTGACGCGACGTAGTGATCAGGTGCCTTAGGGAAGAAGTGGCCCAGTGAGGAGAGCGGCGGAAGCGGCACCGAATAGACGTTAGGCGATATCGGGGGAAGGGTGTTGGCCGTTGTGGAAGAAAGCTGAGTTGGCGGTGATTGTAGTGCCAACGGAGGCCCGTAGTTTTCGCGCGGCTGGCTGGGCGAGATCGTATGATGGGCAAACGCATCTGGTGGCTCGATCGGACGAGGAAAGAGGTCGATACACCCGCCGTATGATCTGCCGTTGTGTCCACCGAAAACTCCCCGCGGTATTTCGATAGCACGCAGATAAGGGTAGTCTTCCACAACAGGAAGGAGCGCTGATTCTCGAGCCTATTTCAAGTACGTATAAGAGTTTTGTCCATCACAGAATCGGAAAAAGAATTACCGAAAAGTAGGCTACGAGATGCCATTTTCTCGTTGTGGTGTGGTTTGGTAGCTTGACAGTAACAGAGTAGGCATGTTTGGTGAGACCATCTACTTTTGAGGGTCGGTCCTTGCGTTTTGGTGGAGGTGGGACCATCTGTTCCGGCGATTCAAAACATTTGAAAGCTCTTGGGATGGAGATTAGCCTTGAATTTCAAACACACAGTTTTTGCTATACCTTCGTGTCGCTTTCTCTCGCCTCTCATCTTCTGTCGTATCGATCTTCTCCTCATAAATCAGGCAGTCTCCTCGCATCCGACTCTGAGACCTGGACAAGAGGTGAACGACCCAGCATTTCCCCTAAAGCACTGTACCATCTCTTTCCCTCTGTCCACCGCACAAGACCGTCGTCGGTGTCAGATTCCTCCCAAACGAATACATTGCCGCTCTGGAGGCCCATACGTTCTGAAGGGGACAAACGTCGTTTCACGAGTGGGAGAATGTTCAATCGAACGGCTTGAAGAACGCGATGAGCATCGTTGATATCTCTAATATCTGCAAAGCGTCAAATGCATTGCTCACAACGAAGAGGAGAGGCTTACGAAGAGCAGGATGAGTGATGCAGCAGTTTTGGTAGCTGGTCGTGTTCATTGTCGAGTGGGCAAAAGTTTTGAGAGAAGGGGACCGATGAGGACAGGTTTATAACTGTGTCAGTCCTATTCTTTGACTTTCATCATGGTCCACCCCTCAGGACCGGGACGATGCAGAAATCTCTGGTAACAGAACCGCATCATTTTCAGATTTTCGACGGCTCCGGCTGAAGAAGCACCACGGCACGATCCCGACGTCCATCGGCGGGGGGGAAAGTAGCGTTCTCGTGAGAGTCAACCAAGATATAGGCTGGCCCGTTTCTCCGAGGCATGTTCCTGATGCTGGTTGGAGACAAGCCATAGAGTGACGTAATAATCACTTGGTCATCAAACCACCACAAGCAAGATCTCCCTCTGAGACGATAATGCGTAGTCGGACGACCTGCCGACATAGCGCGTCTCTCTTTCTGGTACACTCAAATGCAGGCTGAGGGAGGGTGACACTGCACACTCACGATGCTTGTTCAAGCTCACCTGCTTCAACCCAACTTTCAAGTCGGTTTTCTCAGTTCTGCCTGAACACGACATTCAGATTACCAACGGGCAGAAATACTTAATAGATCGGATGGACTACGCACTTGAAGCTGCTCTTACCAAAGGACGCCAAAGAGCACGATTCCCAGAGAAGGCTCCTGATTCTACGGCGAAGGTTTGGATCGCATTGAGGTGATCGAGTTTGCTGAGGTGTGGCGGTCAGCGGAACGGGCCATGCCATCGTTCAAATTGTGTGTTTATCACGCTTCTTCAAGGCTTCAACTACCAAACAGTGGGACTAAATACTTCGGCAGAGAATCAGCTACTCAGTGTTTGAAAACATGATCTTGTACGACAGGGTGCTGGTATCTAATGGACTACTTACTCGCGTGCCGAGCTTCTTCAAAGTTACCCGCTCACGGGATTCACGTAGGTCATTGGCGCCAATCCAATCGACAAACGCCCCAAGTCCCGACTGCAAACTTTGAAACTTGGCTTCAACGGACGTCCCTCGCTCCACTTTCCTGGTCCGCCTAGCAATCCGACTCGCTATCCCCTTTCACCATCATGATTTCGCTAGACTCTACGACAGCGTCGCCGTTTCGATGAAGAGTCCGTGGTAAGGCTTGCATTCTAAGAGCGGTGGATTTGGATTCTTTGCTCTACTACCGACTATAACCACCTATCAGGTCTCTTCTCCGTTGTGGCGACGCGTATAAATCAACAGACCACTTCTGTAACCTCCACAATGAGTTGTGTCTGAATCGCCTATGTGTCACGATTATGGACTGCCAGTGGCTCCGACATATTTTGTGCCATTTTAGAGAATTTGGGGAAGCAAGTGTGTAAGTAGAACCCTGCGTTACCGTACTCATGAAGGTCGAGGATCGACTTTTGCTTGCGGATCTGTCGATACGGATCAATGATCGGGCTTTGGACTCATTCTCTTTCCACCAACTTCAATTTTTCGCTGTCTGGCTGCTGAGCTGCCACTGGCCACTTCTGCAACTCATAAGCTCATTTTTGATACGTCTCCCATAACTCGAGACCGCGACAATGTCATGGACTTCAATCTTCTCCGTGTATTCAGAGCAGGAGCAGTTAAACATGAAACGCTCTCGTGGACTGGTGTGTGTTGTGTCCTAGGCAGAATGGTTAGTCAAACTGACCACTCTGAAGGTCGCTTGTGCTGAATGCCAAAGGCAAGGATGCTTGCCACGCTGATTCGGGACCTTCTTTCATGTCGTTGGCCAGGCGGAAGCTCAAGTGCGACAAGAAGTTCCCGTGTTCTTCGTGTGGCAAGCACTTGGTTCATCGACTCTCGCTTCATGTATTGACGCGTCATGACTAGTTCGCAGAGGCAAGGCACACGTTTGTCCCACAGGTTCGTTGGTTTTCAAGTTTTTTTTTGGTTTGTACTGGAAATTTTCAGGTGACGCGGGCCCGTTGAGTAGGGGAAGACGGTACGCTTTATTCGACTTGCATATCTTAAGTCTACTTCTCCTCTACTCACAGCGTACAACGTTATGGCTCTTTGGAACAGGGCACCATCATTCATAACATGGGGGCTCGCATTCGAGAGCTGGAGGAAGCCCTGGAGAAGGCACACCCTTCCGGACAAGCACATCCTCTTCTTCGCCAAGACCTTGTAAAAATCAAAGAATATAGCCAACTTTCGTACGGCGGCGCTGGCAACGACGCGGACACAGCTTCTGAACTTGCGGATTCATTTGGTGTGTTGGCTATCAGCACGACGGGCTCTTCAAGATACTTTGGACCAACGGCTGGGCATTCTGTAAGTCGAACTATAACATGCTTACTTTTCCAATTCTTTTCTTATGTCCCCCCAGGCATTCCTTTCTGTGCGCGATCAAGCTCCGCTTGAAATCTCAATTCATCTCCACAGTCTCAGGGGAGAGCGGACCCAATCCTGTGCGGGTTCCCATGGGTATCGCGGGTGGGCATATGCCCATGGGCATGTCCTGCAGGATGGGTCTATCTATCCTGCAGGATGGGTCTATCCTGCAGGATATGTACCTATCCTGCAGGATGGATAGACCATATACCCATCCTGCAGGATGGGCCTATCCTGCAGGATAGATAGACCTATCTTGTCCTGCAGGATAGGTCAGACCTATCCTGTCCTGTAGGATGAATCGACCTACCCTGCAGGATAGACTATCCTGTAGGATAGATAGGGCAAAATCCATCCTGTAGCGTAGACTGTCCTGCAGGATAGATAAACCCAACCTATAGGATAGATTTACATATTTTTATATGAGAATATCCTGTAGGATGTTTGTTCTCTCTAAGCAACCTATAGGATATCATATCTATCCTATAGGTAGCCGCCAATGTATACTGTAGGTATGGCACCATCACGTGGTTATATTGATGTCCTCACAGGACGCGTCTGAGACACGCGTCGACCAAACCAAATGGTGTCACATTTTTTTCCTTTGCTACCATAACCTCCGAGGAAAGACTATGGACACAGATACTACCACTCCTCTACCTCCTCTTGGTTCTACATGCCTAAGCTGTCAACGGGGAACTATCCTATTTAGCAAGAGGTCATCTGGACGGCATCATCCAGACCACAAAGGCCTTCTGTTCGTCAAGGTATAATGTAGTTTCTGTTGGCACGAGCAATACTGAGTTTCTTAGTGCTCAAATAACTATTATGACTATGGTGGAGGACACCTGCCATCTTGGCTCACAACAACGGCAGTAGAGGGCAAGTGTGGTGGCTTCTGGTGGGTAGCAAATGGCGTTCATGCCAAGGTGCGTCGACCTTCCTGAAGTAAATTTTTGGCTGACTATAAGTAAACTCTAGCCCAATGGTTCCACCAAGTGTCAAGGACCTTATTGCGCTGCCGACGGTGATCGCAATGCCAATTGTACTCATTGGCTATGTAAGTTATGCTGCACAGGCTATATGGGACTGTATGGGGTCGACTACCATTGCTGTAACCTTGCCACACACCGTACTACAGCAACAGTGACCACTCCTAAGAAGAAAAAAACTCGGGCCTACTAGGTATGATTTATTCTGTATATTTTTCAACGTGCTAAAACTAGCCCTAGGAAATACACCAAGTCATACTGCTACCATGCCCTTCTGGACTCCTTCCTCTGAACCTACACTTACATTGACTCCTTCTGCACCTTCTATATCCTCTCAAACGCGTATCCTGGAAGCTCCAGGTCAAGCTTTTCCCTTTTAATATATTCCAATACTGAATGTTCTTTCAGCATCTGAAATACAAATTGAACAGCCACGGTCGCTTCCTCTCCATGGCCATAATCTTTCTCCATACTGGCGTAGCTTGCCCCCAGGCTTTGTCGAGAATTCAGTCTCAAGAACGAAAGATATAGCGAAGCCTACCACAGCCAAGGCACCACAACTTGAAGTCGCATGGTGCAAGGTAGCTTATTTACGCTTTCCTTTTTTGAATACATTGTCTAATATTATCCTTAGGAATTAGACGAGGCAAATGCACCTATATTCTGTACGGCTGCCGCACCAAACCTTCCCAGCTTCAACCCAGCAGAGTCTATATCTGTTCGTCTTATGTCCGATCTCTCTGCTGAAGAGCTGGTGGCGTACGCTGTTCTGACTAATAATATCTGGGTGGGTCGTGATATGCCGCTTACTGGGCTGTCATCCGGTCAGAAAGTTATTCTTGGACCATTCAAGTTTTCGGGTAAACGGTGTGGCAGCGTGGCAATGCGACTAGACTTCTCAAGCACACGTAACAAACGTTCTGCCCCTCCTATGGTATTGGAGGAGTCACCTTCTAAAAAAATCAAGGCTGAACACTCGTGCGTAATAACAAAACTATTTTTGAAAAAAACAGTTAATTTTCAATATATAGGGATATAATTGTTATTACCGATTCGAAGATGAAGATATCTTCAGTGCTCCCAAGATAAAAACTGACTTGAAGTAAGTATTTGCTAGTTCGTCAATATGACCTGAAATAATTGTAGATTTCCGGGCAAATATACCTTCGACGTTCACACAAAATTTACACAATACACTCAGAAGCTTGCTATCAAGTCGCGCCTAGCTGTCGTTAAGGACGTTTTTGGATACGCCGTTTCAGATACGACATTCTATCGTCACTACAACCTATAATGCGCACGCGAAAATATTGACGAAATCAAACGGCTCTTTCAGGCAAGTTTGGATGCAGGTCATAGTGAGACAGGACGGTGGAATATAGTATACTCACAGGGCATTAAGCATCTCCCCAAGGCTGCCCGCAAATAGATACTATATACTCTACTATCCTATAGGACATAAAATTAGTTAGCTTCTTGTAATGTCACACCAGTGTGACTTTCTCTCGAAAAGCCAAGTCGACATCCCTATGACTCCGTCCCTACCTACCCTTACCTTTTCTCAAGATGTTCTGTAAGTGCTTGATGTTACAGTCAGCCCTTCATAACACTAATATGAAGTACTAGTGAAAAGCTGCCGATGAATCATCTAGAGACCCTTGTGGCCAATCTTGGTCGATC